TGGCTCATCGTGCTCTAGTGACTCCTTGTGGTGGGCCGGGCACCTGCAGGCTGACTTTGGTCGTCAATTGAACAATGTTTCCTCCGACACATTGGTGTGGCTGGCTTCCGGGTTAAGCGAGCGTGTGATAAGAAGCTCGACCTTCGTTTCTCCTGAGCCCGTTGAGGAGTTGCAGCGATGAGACAAGATCACAATTAGATATCACGAAATTGGGTAGAAAAAGGGGATAAAATACCCCCCCCCCCCTAAAAAAAATAGGTATTTAAATGGATCCCTTTGTGAGCTCTAGAAGTGTGATGAGAGAAGTAGCATCCAGAGTTACAAGCCAATCTATTTCACTAAGGGGTGGCAGAGACGGTAGTGTGTTCAAGAAATCTGTAGTGGCCTATCACTTTGTGGAAACAAACAACAGCTTAAGAATTAGCCTGAGCATCACTGTATTTTTAAGTTGGGATCTTATCGTAATACGTGTGGGTTGGAAATGTTCTACTGTATGTATGTATCAGACGTGTGGTTAAAGAGTGTCCTCCTAATGTCATTACCAGTTTATATCTACTTTAGACCACATTTCCCTCTTTGTTTAGGCCAGAATCCATTATATAAAGTCTCTGGTAATGGCTTTTTTATGAAGTCGTGCAGTAACATTTATACTTAGAGCTGTGAGCTGTGAGCAAAGACAATATATCAATTCTACATCTATGGCTATGAGTTAATATCAGAATACTGTGTTGAGGTCAGGCAGCACTGTGTATGAAACAGGGTGATCAGATCTTCTCTCTCTCTTTACGTCTGGCCCAGCCACACCACCCTTTATCTCTCCACTAGCTGAGGCCCTAAGAACTGAACACGTCATTAAGCCGGACGGAGTTTGACAAGAAAAATGAAGTGCGCTATTTCCTGTGGCCTCGAGTGTCTGTCTGAATAATGAGCGGGGCCTTGTGGACCCCCCTCTTTCTCCTTCTCCCTCTCTCCAGTTTACCCTTCCTTCTTCTCCCTCCATCCCAGTCACTTCCTGTGAAGATCCCAGTCACTTCCTGTGAAGATCCCAGTCACTTCCTGTGAAGATCCCAGTCACTTCCTGTGAAGATCCCAGTCACTTCCTGTGAAGTTCCCAGTCACTTCCTGTGAAAATCCCAGTCACTTCCTGTGAAGATCCCAGTCACTTCCTGTGAAAATCCCAGTCACTTCCCTGTGAAAATCCCAGTCACTTCCCTGTGAAAATCCCAGTCACTTCCCTGTGAAAATCGCAGTCACTTCCCTGTGAAGATCCCAGTCACTTTCCTTTGAAGATCCCAGGGTCTCGGGAACGAGGCATGCAAAACTTGTGATTTTTGAAAACACCAAGGTAATGAGGTTGTGTTGTTGATTGTTGCTCTTGTTTTTACAGTCTGCCACAACCAATGACAGAGAGAATATGTATCCATCTATGATACCAGCCTTCAAAACCAACAGAGGCTCTCCTACAACCCACAAAGTCAATTGACTTTAGCAAGCAGGTATGACTTCTGATACATGCCTAAATGCCATGTATACATTTTGGATTTATTTAATCAGTAATAAGCCTCTTCTAAAGTCATAAGAACATTTTTTTATTTCCATCTATGCTTTTGGAGATTTGCCATAATGAGCCTGGAACGGCTTAAGTCCTTCTGCCTCGAAGGACCACTGGCCGGTTAGCAGAGATGTCCTTTCAGCACCATACACACACTTACACAGTAGTAATAAGATTATACCAAGTAGTCTTTGAAAAATCCACTGAACTACATCCCAAAGCAAAGACAACTAATTTGCTCTATGTACGAGAGCATCTCAGTGCAGTGAGGCGTCGCTATACCATCAGGGTATGTTGTTGACTTGCCGCAGGCAACAACACAGGGTTAAGCACACAACCCCATCATGTGGCAAAATAAATATGTTTGACTATTATATTTATGGACAACCAAATGCCACTAATAGTATCAGACTTTGGGTAAATGCAGGTGTGATTGTGATATCTTGAGGAACATTGTTATTCTTAAGCTTACTTTGTCTCACTACCACTGGCAAGTTGTTGAAAAGCTTTTAAAATATTTTAATGATAAAGTCAAGAGTTCAACTTGAGCAATCCCCATAGAATAAAAAAACGATGAGTGAATACAGATTTTAGCACTATGAATAACCAGCTCTTGAAACAGTTTAAAGTGAGAGTGAAAGGAACCAGATCTACATCTGCTAGAATGGAGCAACACTGATGTGGGCGATGTGCATTAAAGATTCATGCAAACAGCTGTTCTTCCTACAGGACAGACAGCAGGAACCAAAGCCAGTGTGCTCACATTCCCAATCAGGGAGACAGAGAGAGGAAGTGGGCTATACATGTTTTTCCTGTTTAGATATAACAGCTCGTTGTACTACCCACAGTGAGGAAAGACTGGGGAGGGGGGAGGGGGGGGAGGGGGAGGGGGGAGGGGGGGGAGGGGGTAGAGAGAGAGATAGAGAGACAGAACCCACAAGAAAAGGGCAACCAGTGAAGAACAAACACCATTGTAAATACAACCACTATTTATGTTTTTTTATTTTCCCCTTTGTACTTTAACTATTTGCAATGGACATAGCCATAATAGGACATTTGAAATGTGTCTATTCCTTTAAAACTTGTGAGTGTAATGTTTACTGTTCATTTGATTGTTTATTTCACTTTTGTTTATTATCTATTTCACTTGCTTTGGCAATATAAACATACGTTTCCAATGCCAATGAAGCCCTTTGAATTGAAATGAATTGAATAGGAGAGAGAAAGAGAATAAAAGAGAGAGAGAATAAGAGAAAGAGAGAGAATACAGAATACAAAAACAAAGAGAAAGGGAATAAGAGAGAAAGGGACAGAGAGATCAGAGAGATTATCACCTGTCTGTCATCACAAGTCTGTCATCACAAGTCTGTCATCACCTGTCTGTCATCACCTGTCATCACCTGTCTGTCATCGGCTGTCTGTCATCACCTGTCTGTCATCGGCTGTCTGTCATCACCTGTCTGTCATCCCCTGTCTGTCATCCCTTGTCTGTCATCCCCTGTCTGTCATCACCTGTCATCACCTGGCGGCTGATCAAAAGAGCCCATTGGCAGGTGGAGCACAGAATCCACTGGAGCCTCTTCTTCATGCCAAGCACCAGCTTCTCTGAGGTAGACAATGCAAGAGTCTGTCTCCAGGCATGGAGTAGAGAAGGGGTTTGAGGAGGGACGGAGGGAGGGAGTAGAGAGGAGGTGTGAGGAGGGAGGGAGGGAGGGAGTAGAGAAGGGGGGGGTATTTGAGGAGGGAGGGAGGGAGGGAGTAGAGAGAAGGGTGTGAGGAGGGAGGGTAGGGAGGGAGTAGAGAGGGAGAGGGGTGAGGAGGAGGAGGGAGTAGAGAAGGGGTGTGAGGGAGGGAGGGAGGGGAGGGAGTCGAGAAGGTGGTGGAGGAGGGAGGGAGGAGGGAGTCGAGAAGGGGTGTGAGGAGGGGAGGGAAGGGAGGGAGTAGAGAAGGGGTGTGAGGAAGGGAGGTGAGGGGAGGGAGGGGGAGTAGAGAAGGGGTGTGAGGAGGGAGGGAGGGAGGGAGGGAGTAGAGAAGGGGTGTGAGGAGGGAGGGAGGGAGGGAGGGAGTAGAGAAGGGGTGTGAGGAGGGAGGGAGTGTGTGTATGGGTCCTAAAACATTTTTTGGGCCCTAAACAGAATTTAGAGATTCTGCAATTTTATAACTAATTTCACAGCAAATTTCCTGCAATTCTACTAATTTTGCCAGGACTTATGCCATGTTAATATGATATCTGTGTGAGACTAACAAAAAAATCAATGTGGGCCCCCTGGAGGTCAGGGCCCCTGGGCACGTGCCCGGTGTGCCCGGTCGGTAATTCAATTCAACCATGATTACTACAAGTTTAGATAGCTGACTAGACTAACTTACCAAACATGTGATAATTGAGTGACTGCAAGCATCGGGATTTGGAGTGTAGAGTAGATGATCTGTCGGTTTGGAATGAGCTCTGTTTCAGTTCCTTTGTCAGATTGAGACACTCCAATTCACATCTCCAATTCACACATGCATATTAATACACACTTGTGCATGTGTGAAATAGGACAAATATAAGCACCCACCAAATTATATTATTATTATTTTCAAGTTAGTGAGATTGACATTTCCCTTTTGTTTTGATGATATTTTCAAAAACCACACTGACTTCAAGGGCTCTGTAAGAGGGGACAGCCCCTGGTAGAAATACATTCATCTCTCCAGGTAAGGAGAAGACAATTATATTTTCCTGTGGAGAGGGAGGCCAAGAGCTTATCAACATCTCCATCCTCCCTTCCAAAGTGCTCTTCTAGCTGAAGTAGAGTCTGTGACACTGCTGAAACAGGGCCTGAGCTGAAATGCTACTACTGGCACGAGAAGCACACCACAGGACCAAGGAAATGGTCAACAAGATTTTCTCAAGATTATTTGATTTTTGCTGAGAGAGAGAGCGAGAGAGAGCAAGAAAGAGTGTTAGAGAGCGAGAGAGAGAGAGAGAGAGAGAGAGAGAGAGAGAGAGAGAGGAGAGAGAGAGAAGAGAGTTAGAGAGAGAGAGAGAGAGAGAACTACTCTAAGTACAAACATGCCGATTATTAAAGCCTCTCAAGTTCAAATTAATTCACCAATTAAATATCTGATGGTATTAAATTATGTGCATTTTTAAGTACTGGCTTCTTCTCTCTTGTTTTTAAAGAGTATATCTACTTTGCAATCCTGAAATCATAAAGATAGCTAAAGCTTTGATGTTTCAGATACAATCACATGCTCTGCTGTGGAGTTGAGATGTAGATTTCACACTTCATATGTACGTAGATGTGCATTGTGCAAGGTTCTTTCCTTGACCCCATAACCATAAAACACGCTCTCAGGTTTATCTCAAGTCAAATTTACATAAACCGAGCTTCTACACTTTTTAAGTGTAACAAAATGAGTCTTAGGGAAAAGGAAGCTGTGTGGGTTTGAAGAATGAATAAGCATGTCTAGCGTCGCAGGCAGCCTCTGGAAGCCCCAGTTTCAGCCTCTGGAAGCCCCAGTTTCAGCTCTGGAAGCCCCAGTTTCAGTCTCTGGAAGCCCCAGTTTCACATTTTCTTGACAGTGCCTTTGATGATCACTGATAACATAGCAAGACTCCCAGGGAGCGAAGCAGCCAACAATGCAGAGAGTCAGTGTAGACCAGCTCTACTGATCCTGACTGCAGAGAGTCAGTGGAGACCAGCTCTACTGATCCTGACTGCAGAGGGTCAGTGGAGACCAAATCAAATCAAATCAAATTTTATTGGTCACATGCGCCGAATACAACAGGTGCAGACATTACAGTGAAATGCTTACTTACAGCCCTTAACCAACAGTGCATTTATTTTAAACAAAAAAGTAAGAATAAAACAACAACAAAAAAGTGTTGAGAAAAAAAGAGCAGAAGTAAAATAAAGTGACAGTAGGGAGGCTATATATACAGTAAAATAAAGTGACAGTAGGGAGGCTATATATACAGGGGGGTACCGTTGCATAGTCAATGTGCGGGGGCACCGGCTAGTTGAGGTAGTTGAGGTAATATGTACATGTGGGTAGAGTTAAAGTGACTATGCATAAATACTTAACAGAGTAGCAGCAGCGTAAAAAGGATGGGGTGGGGGGGCAGTGCAAATAGTCCGGGTAGCCATGATTAGCTGTTCAGGAGTCTTATGGCTTGGGGGTAGAAGCTGTTGAGAAGTCTTTTGGACCTAGACTTGGCACTCCGGTACCGCTTGCCGTGCGGTAGCAGAGAGAACAGTCTATGACTAGGGTGGCTGGAGTCTTTGACAATTTTGAGGGCCTTCCTCTGACACCGCCTGGTATAGAGGTCCTGGATGGCAGGGAGCTTTGCCCCAGTGATGTACTGGGCCGTACGCACTACCCTCTGTAGTGCCTTGCGGTCAGAGGCCAAGCAGTTGCCATACCAGGCGGTGATGCAACCAGTCAGGATGCTCTCGATGGTGCAGCTGTAGAATTTTTTGAGGATCTGAGGACCCATGCCAAATCTTTTTAGTCTCCTGAGGGGGAATAGGCTTTGTCGTGCCCTCTTCACGACTGTCTTGGTGTGACTGCAGAGAGTCAGTGGAGACCAGCTCTACTGATCCTGACTGCAGAGAGTCAGTGGAGACCAGCTCTACTGATCCTGACTGCAGAGAGTCAGTGTAGACCAGCTCTTCTGATCCTGACTGCAGAGAGTCAGTGTAGACCAGCTCTACTGATCCTGACTGCAGAGAGTCAGTGGAGACCAGCTCTACTGATCCTGACTGCAGAGAGTCAGTGTAGACCAGCTCTACTGATCCTGACTGCAGAGAGTCAGTGGAGACAGACCAGCTCTACTGATCCTGACTGCAGAGAGTCAGTGTAGACCAGCTCTACTGATCCTGACTGCAGAGAGTCAGTGGAGACCAGCTCTACTGATCCTGACTGCAGAGAGTCAGTGTAGACCAGCTCTACTGATCCTGACTGCAGAGAGTCAGTGGAGACCAGCTCTACTGATCCTGACTGCAGAGAGTCAGTGGAGACCAGCTCTACTGATCCTGACTGCGCTTTATTGTCTGGCCTCTCTCCAGCATCACAGAGCCCATCAATGCCTTGGCTTAGCGCTCTCATAAACAGTCGTTATCACATAAATTACACATTCCCTTGTCACAACATCACAGGGAGCTAGCATATGTATGGCATGTTTCTCTTTTCTGTTTACGTGGACAATCTCCAACATTGCAGCTTTGTCTTAGCTGGAGGTATATACGTCTGACTCATAGCATTTATTCACACATTCTCTGAAATCATCACTGACTGAGCTTTTTGAGTGCTAGACGGGCTGCATCTCCTATATGCTATATGGTCTGGGGGAATCACACATCTCTGATGTGATGTCTAAATAGGAACAAAACCATGTCCCAGACAGTCTACATGTTGTCTGTCTGTGGACTCCCATCCCCTGTCTGGCCTCAGGTGTACCAGAGCTGACCCTTCAGTGATGCTCTTATTCATCTGAGTGCTGCTGTTTTAAACAGGGTGAACCTGTGGGTGAACCAGTGGGTGAACCTGTGGGTGAACCAATGGGGGAACCTGTGGGTGAACCAGTGGGTGAACCTGTGGGTGAACCAGTGGGTGAACCTGTAGGTGAACCTGTGGGTGAACCAATGTGTGAACCAGTGGGTGAATTTGTGGGTGAACCAGTGGGTGAATTTGTGGGTGAACCTGTGGGTGAACCAGTGGGTGAACCTGTGGGTGAACCAGTGAGTGAACCTGTGGGTGAACCAGTGGGTGAATCAATGGGTGAACCTGTGGGTGAACCTGTGGGTGAACCTTTTAAGAGGCACACAGAGGCAACCATAGCCCTGTTCACTTATAACACCCCACACTTTCCCCACATTGTTACAAGGTTATACGACTGTTATACATTTGATTTAACCACATAACCTGTAGATCGATGCATTGAGCTGCATTCAGACTTAAATAGCAGAGCAATGAGCAGATTATCGACCGAAAGAAACCAATTAGAATTGATTTGGTGAGAACAGGGGTAGACTTTCCAACCGCCTGTAGTGAATTAGTAATCCAGTGGTCTTGGGGGAAATCTATGTGGTAGTACTGGCCTCTCATTAGACTGGTCTGCAGAGGAGCAGACTGGGAATTAGACAGACAGGCTGTATTAAGATTCAATGCCCCTCGATAGACAGTTGGGTTGAAAGAAAGGGATTCTTGTTAAGTGAGATTTCGTCTGGGTATGTGATACCTGCCATGATAGAATTACTCAGGTTAGTTGAGTCTGGCTGTTCAGTGCCAGCTAGTTGTTGGTGTCGTTTTAGCAGAGTTGGCCATTAGGTTGCCTCATCATTCTCTGCAGAACTATTTGGCAGCCCTTCCTACAAGTAATCCTAGTAGAATAAAAGGTGATTGTGTTTTCCACACTTAGTTCCTCCCAAGCTGTGTTTGTAATGGCAAAGCAGACAGTGCGCTTTCTGTGGTACAGGACAAGTAGTAGGGGGAATATCACCCCTTCATCAGTGTTCTACCAATAACTGCTGCTGCCTGACACACTCTGCTCCTGATCCTGATCCTGTCCCTGAACTTGATCCTGATCCTGAACCTGATCCTGTCCCTGATATTGATCCTGATCCTGATCCTGATCCTGAACCTGATCCTGTCCCTGATCCTGAACCTGATCCTGATCCTGATCCTGATCCTGAACCTGATCCTGTCCCTGAACTTGATCCTGATCCTGATCCTGAACCTGATCCTGTCCCTGAACTTGATCCTGATCCTGATCCTGAACCTGATCCTGTCCCTGAACTTGATCCTGATCCTGAACCCAACTCAGATACTTCTGCTACGACATCCCTTCACATCCCTCAGTCTGTCAAATCTGTCTGTCATTCTGTCTGTTCATAGGTTCCCTGGAAAGATGACATGTTCACCCCTCCTGTCAGCTGAGCCACAGTGTCACTGTGGTCTAGAGCACCCCCCCCCCCCCCTGCAGCCTTACTACCCAGCTCCAATAGAGAGAGTTGGGTCTGTTGTCACCAACCCCATGTGTCATTAATCAACACTGCCTGTTGGAAACAATTGTATATAACGATGTTTATCAGTCATGACATAGTTTTTTCCTTTAGCTATACCACTGAGATCAACCCTGCAGGACACTCTTATTGATGCTACCTTACCATTACTCTGGTGGTCACTATGGAGACCAACATCTAATCCAGGCCTGTTTACTGCATCCTTGAATCTTCTACTATCTCCTGAAATGTTCACCTCAAGACTGCAGTGATTGTTATTGGTATTATTTCGAGTTGTAAACACTAACAAAACATGTCCAGTGAATTTTACTACTAGGTAGTGTAAGGGAGGGAAGTGATGGTGGTTACAAGACACTAGGCTTGTGAATACAGGTTTTATTGGACACGGGCAGGGCACATTACACAACGTTTCAGTGTTCACATCAATGTAAATGTGCTGTACTTAGCAAAAGTGGTCATCTTCATCTGCAATAATATCCTACCTAATAATGTTCTTCCCTGTTGTATCTACAGCCATTCTCTCACATGTAATATCATTTGAAATCAAAATAACTGCTTTTCCCGCAGTCTGATATCACCCCTTATTCTCTTCTTGGTGTTTGTGCAACAACACACATTGTCATGTCTCCAGAATGATCTATGGCAAGTATGGTCCCTCAGGGCATTGTTGACTTGTCACAAGAGGGCTATTCGTCATTGGAAATGGGACTCAGACTAGCTGGATAGTTCCCGCTGACAGAAAGTCATCACGCTGGGAAAGTCTCCAGCAATATCATATTCCACAGCCTGATCGCCCAGGGCCTCCAACAACTGGAATAATGCAATAATAGGGAATTGATTATATCTGCGCTGGAGACCAGACTGAGCAGTGACCTCAGTCAAATGTGTTGTGAGTAGTGTACCCCCCCCCCCCCCCCCCCCCCCCCACCCCCACCCCCCCCCCCCCCCCCACATGCCAAGATAGGAATCACCTCCCATCGATGCTTATTGGGCCAATGGATGATTCATGAGACAAATACATAAACAATTGAGCAATTTGGTTCTGGTTGCCGAGATAAACAATTGAGTAAACAAAACAAACAAAAACACTGGGCACACCATGTCATTTCAACGTACTGTAGAAATGTGGGTAATTTTTGGTTGACACGTTGATCAATGAGATTTCAACCTTTAATAACCCACTCAAAAAGACAGCCAGAAGTTTGTTGAATTCCCAATGTGTTATCACTACTGTGCCTTGCAAAAGTATTCATCCCCTTTGGCGTTTTTCCTATTTTGTTGCATTACAACCTGTAATTTTAATGGATTTTTATTTGGATTTCATGTAATGGACATACACAAAATAGTCCAAATTGGTGAAGTGAAATGTGTATTCACCCCCTTTGCTATGAATTCCCTAAATAAGATCTGGTGCAACCAATTACCTTCAAAAGTCACATAATTAGTTAAATAAAGTCCACCTGTGTGCAATCTAAGTGTCACATGATCTGTCACATGATCTCAGTATATATACACCTGTTCTGAAAGGCCCCAGAGTCTGCAACACCACTAAGCAAGGGGCACCACCAAGCAAGCGGCACCATGAAGACCAAGGAGCTCTCCATACAGGTCAGGGACAAAGTTGTGGAGAAGTACAGATCAGGGTTGGGTTATAAAAAAATATCAGAAACTTTGAACATCCCACGGAGCACCATTAAATCCATTATTTAAAAATTGAAAGAATATGGCACCACAACATACACCTGCCAAGCGAGAGCCGCCCACCAAAACTCACGGACCAGGCAAGGAGGGCATTAATCAGAGATGTGGTCCTCTGTAGCTCAGCTGGTAGAGCACGGCGCTTGTAACGCCAAGGTAGTGGGTTCGATCCCCGGGACCACCCATACACAAAAATGTATGCACGCATGACTGTAAGTCGCTTTGGATAAAAGCGTCTGCTAAATGGCATATTATATTATTATTATATTATTATTATTATTATATTATTATAGACCAAAGATAACCCTGAAGGAGCTGCAAAGCTCCACAGCGGAGATTGGAGGATCTGTCCATAGGACCACTTTAAGCCGTACACTCCACAGAGCTGGGCTTTACGGAAGAGTGGCCAGAAAAAAAGCCATTGCTTAAAGAAAAAAATAAGCAAACACGTTTTGGTGTTCGCCAAAAGGCATGTGGGAGACTCCCCAAACATATGGAAGAAGGTACTCTGGTCAGATGAGACTAAAATTGAGCTTTTTGGCCATCAAGGAAAACGCGATGTTTTCACCACAGTGAAGCATGGTGGTGGCAGCATCATGCTGTGGGGATGTTTTTCATCAAATCAAATGTTATTTGTCACATACACGTGTTTAGCAGATGTTATAGCGGGTGTAGCGAAATGCTTGTGCTTCTAGCTCCGACAGTGCAGTAATATCTAACAAGTAATATCTAACAATTTCACAACATATCCACAATACACACAAAACTAGTAAGTAATGGGATTTAAGAATACATATATGGACAAGCAATGACAGAGTGGCATGGACTAAGATACAGTAGAATATTATTGTAATGAATACTCGGACAGAGTGGTAAGATCCAATCGCAGAATTGCGATGCTTTATTTGAGTACAGACAAGGGAATAGCTTAATCGTGGTCGTGCGAGCTGTGGTCAAAACCGTGCCAGGCAGAGACAGGCAGAGGTACCAAGGGAGCGGGCGTAGTCGTAGTCGAGGGCACAGGCACAGGATCAGAGTACGGTAATCACTGGGATAGACAAGCAGAGGATTAAGCAATTCGGGGAGTCAAACAACAAGGCACAGGTCGGATACACGGGTAATCAAAAACAACAAACTCTCTCTCTCTCTCGGAACAAAACGCTTAGCAAGTCACAATGGAACAATACCTCGCACCGACTGAACTTCTGAGCACACCTTATATCCTACACTAATTACTGACAGGTGTGCTCAGAACTCAGGTGAACCAGATCGAGTCTGATGACTCCCCCTCTCTGTAGATCGGGGAAGTGTCAGACTCTGTCTAGACCCAGCCAAACCCTGCTCCCTTACAGTATCCCCCTCCCCAGGGCCGGCTCCTGACGGCCTTCTACCTCTACCGGGTGGTCTTCCTCTGGGTCGGGGTCCTGGATGATCTGGGTGTTCAGCGTGGAAGGTGGCCTTGAGAGCGGGATCCAGTATGTCCTTAGCAGGGATCCAGGACCGTTCCTCAGGTCCATACCCCTCCCAGTCCACGAGATATTCGATGCCCCCTCGTCTCCGTCTTGACTCCAGTATCTCGTGGACTGTATAGGTGGTGTCCTGTTCATCCTCCAAAGGTGGTGTAGTAGGTTGTTGAGCGATGGGGGGGTACATCGGGCTATAGTGGACAGGTTTCAACAGGGAGACGTGGAACGTAGGGTTTATCCTGTAGTGTCGAGGGAGTAACAGACGGTAGGTGACAGGGTTAATACGTCTCAGTACCTTGAAAGGCCCGATGTACCTGGGTTGGAGCTTCTTGCAGCTCCGTCGGAACCGCAGGTCTCGGGTAGACAGCCACACTCGTTGCCCGGGTTGATAAGTGGGAGTAGGTCTCCGGCGTCGGTCGGCGTAGGTTTTTTGCTGTTGTGAAGCCTGACTGAGATGTTGATGGGCCGTCTCCCAGACCTGCGCACTCCGACGGAACCACTCGTCCACAGCCGGTACCATCCCGGGTGCGGTATCCCACAGGAACAGGGGTGGTTGATACCCTAGAACACACTGGAAGGGCGTTAGACGTAGGGAGGTGTGAATGAGAGAGTTCTGAGCATACTCTACCCAAGGCAGGAATCGGCTCCACTCTTGCGGCTGCCGCGAACATTGTTGCCGTAGATATTTCCCAATTTCCTGGTTGAGCCGTTCTGTCTGCCCATTAGCCTGGGGATGATATCCGGAGGTGAGGCTCACCGAGATGCCCAAGCGTTCGCAGAAGGCCTTCCATACCCGGGATACAAACTGGGGTCCCCGGTCGGAAACAATATCCTCCGGAACACCAAACTGCCGGAACACCTGGTTAAACATAGTCTCCGCCATCTGAGTGGCGTTAGCTAAACGGGTCATGGGTACTAACCGGCACATCTTGGAGAATCGATCGATGACCACGAGAATTACAGTATGGCCCTCTGATTCTGGTAGATCGGTAACAAAGTCCATAGCAATGTGTGACCAGGGTCGTTGAGGAGTTGACAATGGCATCAGCTTACCCTCCGGTAGTGCACGAGGCGCCTTGGACTGTGCACATACTGGGCAGGATAATACATAGTCTCTGACGTCATCTGTGAGGGAATCCCACCAGTATTTTCGGCTGATGAGTCGTGTAGTTCGAGTGATTCCGGAATGACCAGATCCCAGCGACGTGTGGCACCATTCCATCAGTTGAGGTCGAAGCGGAGCTGGTACAAACACCTTAGACACCGGGGTCTCAGGAGGGGCTGGTTCCGCTTGTAGGCTCTCCTGAATAGTGTCATCGATGGCCCACCTCACAGGACCAGCACGGCAACTCATGGGAAGGATAGGTTCTGGTTCCACGGGTCTTTCCGCGCGCTCGAACCGTCGGGAAAGCGCGTCCGCCTTACCATTCTTGGACCCAGGGATATAAGAGACAGTGAATCGGAAACGGTTGAAGAATAAAGACCACCTTGCCTGTCGGGAGTTCAGTCGTTTAGCACTGTGAAGATACTCCAGGTTGCGGTGGTCCGTGAGCACTTGAAACGGATGATCTGCTCCCTCCAGCCAATGTCTCCATTCCTCCAGTGCTAACTTCACCGCCAGTAATTCCCGATTTCCCACGTCGTAGTTCTGCTCGGCCGAATTCAGCTTCTTAGAAAAAAAAGCACAGGGTCGTGATTTAGGCGGCTCACCTTGGCGCTGGGATAGCACGGCTCCAACTCCAACCTCTGAGGCGTCCACTTCCACGATAAACGGCAAGGTAGGGTCCGGCTGACACAAAATAGGAGCGGTGGTAAAGCGTTGTTTCAACGTCTCAAACGCACGCACTGCCCCCTCCGTCCAGTTCAGACCGCGACCCTTGTAGCTGGTCATCGCCGACAGGGGAGCTGCGGTGGTGCTGAAATTACGCACGAACCGTCTATAGTAATTGGCAAACCCTAAGAATCTCTGGAGCTCTTTCACCGTCTGGGGTTGAGGCCAGTCTTGTACCGCTTGTACCTTGGATTCATCCAGTTTAACCCCGTCGGGAGTGAGTATGACCCCAAGGAAGGAAATCGTAGTGACATGGAATTCACTCTTTTCTGCCTTCACGAACAGAGAATGGTGTAGGAGCCGATCCAGAACCTGTCGTACATGGGACACATGTTCCCTCAGAGAGTTAGAATAGATTAGGATGTCATCAATGTACACTATAACAAAGCGATCAATCATGTCCCTGAAAATGTCATTCATGAACGCCTGGAATACTGAGAGCGCGTTGGTAAGTCCATAGGGCATGACACAATATTCATAGTGTCCTCGATGTGTGATGAAGGCGGTCTTCCATTCATCCCCTTCTCTAATGCGCACCAGATTGTACACACTCCTGAGGTCCAGTTTACTGTAGATAGAGGCCTGCCCCACCTGCTCGAGGGCTGCTGGGATCAAAGGAAGAGGGTAACGGTTTTTTATGGTAATATCGTTCAACCCTCGATAGTCTATACAAGGACGCAGTCCGCCATCTTTTTTCTTCACGAAGAAAAAACTGGATGCGGCGGGAGACGTAGATGGGCGAATGGCCCCTTGCTGTAGCGCCTCATCAATATACTTGCTCATCGATTCTCGTTCCGGCTGTGACAACGGGTAGATTCTTCCACGAGGAGGTGTAGCCCCGGATAGCAGATCAATCGCGCAGTCCCAGGCCCGATGAGGTGGTAACACGGTAGCCCTCTCCTTGGAGAACACCTGCGCGTAATCCTGGTATTCTGGTGGAACAACAGTAGACACCGCACCCTGCGCATCCTCCACAGTAGACGTTTTGCAAGGTAACTTGAGACACTCTGCCCTACATACCTCACTCCAAGCAGTGATATCGCCAGATTTCCAGGAGATGACCGGATCATGAGTGACGAGCCAGGGGTGGCCGAGAACTAGCGGCTCCCGTGGAGCGGAGATGACGAACAAAATGATGTCCTCATGGTGTATGGAGCCCACTTGTAACTTGATTACCTCTGTACGGTGCGTAATGAACCCAGTGCCCATGGGCTCACCGTCTAGCGCGTTGACTCGCAGGGGAGGTTGAATTGGGATAAGTTGAACTCCCAATTCCTCAGCGAGACCCATATCCAGAAAACTGGCAGCCGCTCCGGAATCAATAAGACCCTCCAACCTGCGCACTTTCTCTCCGACAGATAAGGTAACTGGCACATACATTTGTTTAGATGTAATGTTGAACACTTGAGTCTCACTCACCGGTTTGGCAGTTCCGAGGCGATATCCTGGGTTACGGTTTGGTCGTACCGGACATTGACGAACGAAATTACCCGACTGACCACAATACAGGCATAGTCCGTCTTGCCGACGTTGTTGTCTCACCGAACCTTGTAGAGGTGACCGTCCCAGTTGCATAGGTTCCTCCTCAGCTTCTCTCCTCCGCTCTGACGATTGCGTAGGACCAGTGACCGAGGGCTCCCGGACTGTGGATACCTTGTGTTGCACTATAAGATTATCAATAGAGATGGCTATTTTGATAAACTCATGTAGCGCAGTGATATCTCCTCGACAAGCCAACTCAGTCTGTACGTCTTTTCGCAGCCCTCTTCGGAAAACAGTGAGCAAAGCAGTCTCGCTCCATCCGCTACCGGCTGCTATAGTACGGAACTCTAAAGCGTAGTCGGCTGCTGTGCGACGGCCCTGCTGAAGTTCGCATAGTTGGTCTCCCACACTACGCCCAGATACTGGGTGGTCGAACACCTCTTGGAACAGTCTCTTAAACTGAACTTCCGCATTCAACTCGGGGACCTCAGCTGCCCAAAGCGCAGTAGCCCAATCCAGTGCTCTTCCCGTTAGCAGAGAAATCATGAAATCCACCCTGCTACGGTCATCGGGAAACATAGTATGATTATACGACATATACAGGGACGTCTGGAGTAGAAACCCCTGACATTTGCCAGGTTCCCCGTCGTACCTTGTCGGTAGAGAAATCGGAGGTGCATGACGAGGACTGACCGTGCTCGGGGTGGTGCCTTCAGCCGCACCAGCGTTGAGTAGCTGTAGGAGTTCATCCATCCGTTTCTCCTGTATCTCCCATCACCTCTGTAATTCCGCTGGATCCATGGTAATGGCGAGGTATTCTGTAATGAATACTCGGACAGAGTGGTAAGATCCAATCGCAGAATTGCGATGCTTTATTTGAGTACAGACAAGGGAATAGCTTAATCGTGGTCGTGCGAGCTGTGGTCAAAACCGTGCCAGGCAGAGACAGGCAGAGGTACCAAGGGAGCGGGCGTAGTCGTAGTCGAGGGCACAGGCACAGGATCAGAGTACGGTAATCACTGGGATAGACAAGCAGAGGATTAAGCAATTCGGGGAGTCAAACAACAAGGCACAGGTCGGATACACGGGTAATCAAAAACAACAAACTCTCTCTCTCTCTCGGAACAAAACGCTTAGCAAGTCACAATGGAACAATACCTCGCACCGACTGAACTTCTGAGCACACCTTATATCCTACACTAATTACTGACAGGTGTGCTCAGAACTCAGGTGAACCAGATCGAGTCTGATGACTCCCCCTCTCTGTAGATCGGGGAAGTGTCAGACTCTGTCTAGACCCAGCCAAACCCCGCTCCCTTACAATTATAGAATAGAATACAGTATATACATATGAGATGAGTAGTGCAAGATATGTAAACATTATTAAAGTGACTAGTGTTCCATTTCTTAAAGTGGCCAGTGATTTCAATAGGCAGCAGTAGCCTCTAATGTGCTAGTGATGGCTATTTAAAAGTCTGATGGCCTTGAGATAGAAGCTGTTTTTCATTCTCTCGGTCCCAGCTTTGATGCACTTGTACTGACCTCGCCTTCTGGATGATAGCGGGGTGAACAGGCAGTGGTTCGGGTGGTTGATGTCCTTGATGATCTTTTTGGCCTTCCTGTGACATCGGGTGCTGTATGTGTCTTGGAGGGTGGGTAGTTTGCCCCCGGTAATGCGTTCGGCAGACCGCACCACCCTCTGGAGAGCCCTGCGGTTGCGGGCGGTGCAGTTGCCATACCAGGCGGTGATACAGCCCGACAGGATGCTCTCAATTGTGCATCTGTAAAAGTTTGTGAGGGTTTTAGGTGCTAAGCCGAATTTCTTCAGCCTCCTGAGGTTGAAGAGGCTCTGTTGCGCCTTCTTCACCACACTGTCTGCGTGGGTGGACCATTTCAGTTTGTCAGTGATGTATACGCCAAGGAACTTGAAGCTTTCCACCTTCTCCACTGCGGTCCTGTCGATGTGGATAGGGGTGTGCACCCTCTGCTGTTTCCTGAAGTCCACGATCATCTCCTTTATTTTGTTGATGTTGAGTGAGAGGTTATTTTCCTGGCACCACACTCCCAGAGCCCTCACCTCCTCCCTGTAGGCGGTCTCGTCATTGTTGGTAATCAAGCCTACTACTGTTGTGTCGTCTGCAAACTTGATGATTGAGTTGGAGGCGTGCTTGGCCACGCAGTCATGGGTGAACAGGGAGTACAGGAGGGGGCTGAGCATGCACCCTTGTGGGGCCCCAGTGTTGAGGATCAGCGAAGTGGAGATGTTGTTTCCTACCTTCACCACCTGGGGGCGGCCCGTCAGGAAGTCCAGGACCCAGTTGCACAGGGCGTGGTTCAGACCCAGGGCCTCAAGCTTAATGATGAGCTTGGAGGGTACTATGGTGTTGAATGCTGAGCTATAGTCAATGAACAGCATTCTTACATAGGTATTCCTCTTGTCCAGATGGGATAGGGCAGTGTGCAGTGTGATGGCGATTGCATAGTCTGTGGATCTATTAGGGCGGCAAGAAAATTGAAGTGGGTCTAGGGTGACAGGTAAGGTAGAGGTGATATGATTTCAAAGCACTTCATGATGACAGAGGTGAGTGCTACAGGGCGATAGTCATTTAGTTCAGTTACCTTTGCTTTCTTGGGTACAGGAACAATGGTGGCCATCTTGAAGCATGTGGGAACAGCAGACTGGGAAAGGGATAGATTGAATATGTCCATAAACACACCAGCCAGCTGGTCTGGGCATGCTCTGAGGATGCGGCTAGGGATACCGTCTGGGCCAGCAGCCTTGTGGGGGTTAACATGCTTAAATGTCTTAATCACGTCGGCCATGGAGAAGGAGATGCCACAGTCCTTGGTAGTGGGCCTCGTCAGTGGCACTGTGTTATCCTCAAAGCGGGCGAAGAAGGTGTTTAGCTTGTCTGGAAGCGAGACGTTGGTGTCGGCGACATGGCTGGTTTTCCTTTTGTAGTCCGTGATTGTCTGTAGACCCTGCCACATACGTCTCGTGTCTGAGCTGTTGAATTGCGACTCCACTTTGTCTCTATACTGATGTTTTGCCAGTTTAATTGCCTTGCGGAGTGAGTAGCTATACTGTTTGTATTCTGCCATATTCCCAGTCACCTTGCCATGGTTGAAAGTGGTGGTTCGCGCTTTCAGATTTGCAAAAAAAGCTGCCATCTATCCACGGTTTCTGGTTAGGGTAGGTTTTAATAGTCACAGTGGGCACAACATCACCTATACACTTCCTGATAAACTCAGTCACCGTTTCAGTGTATTCGTCTAAATTATTTTCGAAAGCTACCCGGAACATATCCCAGTCCGCGTGATCAAAACAATCTTGAAGCGTGGATTCCGATTGGTCAGACCAGCGTTGAATAGTCCTTAGCACGGGTACTTCCTGTTTGAGTTTCTGCCTATAGGAAGGGAGAAGCAAAATGGAGTCGTGGTCAGATTTGCCGAAAGTAGAGCGGGGGAGGGCCTTATAACCATCCCGGAAGTTCGAATAGCAAAGGTCGAGGATTTTGGCAGCGCGAGTACAACAGTCGATATGTTGATAGAACTTCAGCAGCCTAGTCCTTAAATTTGCTTTGTTAAAATCCCCGGCTATAATAAATGCAGCCTCAGGATATGTGGTTTCCAGTTTGCATAAGGTCCAGTGAAGTTCTTTGAGGGCCGTCGTGGTATCGGCTTGAGGGGGGATATAACGGAAGAAAATTATCTTGGGAGATAATACGGTTGTGAGATATTATAGGTCAAGTGAACAGAAGGACTCGTTCCTGTATGTTACTACAATTACACCATGAGTCGTTAATCATGAAACACACACCTCCGCCCTTCTGCTTCCCGGAGAGATATTTGTTCCTGTCTGCGCGATGAACTGAGAACCCATCTGGCTGGATCAATTTCGACAGAATATCCCAAGAGAGCCATGAAACAGAGTATGTTACAGGCCTTGATGTCTCTCTGGAAAGAAATCCTTGCCCGTAGTTCGTCGACCTTGTTAACCAAATAGTTATGCACGCTCAAGTTTTCTGTTTTCTGGTCTTATTTCTTGTTTATTTCACAACAAAACATATTTTGCATCTTCAAAGTGGTAGGCATGTTTTGTAAATCAAATGATACAAACTCCCCAAAAATCCATTTTAATTCCAGGTTGTAAGGCAACATAATAGGAAAAATGCCAAGTGGGGTGAATACTTTCGCAAGCCACTGTATGCTTTCAACCATTTAAAAGCACAACCAAATTGGGAATACAAACATTTTATATTTATACAACAACTTAATGTGTTATCACTGTGCTTCATCTAATATCACAACCAAATGACCTGGATGGCAGTTGAGATTACATTAAAAGTACATAGTGCAAGTGATCAATGCTGTTGGAGATTCTGACAGATATTTATATTGTGAAGCTCTCCACAGACCTGCGACCTTTGCATGCTATCTTGAACATGCATGCTTTCTATGATTACATAATAAGACTTTTATAGTTACAGTAACCTCAAAATGTGGTCATGGATGAGTTACTCATTTTAAGGTTGTTACATTAGTTTGTAAGATAGCCTTAACTTTAGGCTATTTACTGTATTACAAAAGTCATATTGAATTGTGTTAGGTTGACAATGCAACCAAATACCAACATTTAAAGGAGATGTACAGTGCATTCGGAAAGTATTCAGACCTCTTGACTTTTTCCACATTTTGTTACGTTACAGCCTTATTCTAAATTGATTAAATAAAAATGTTTCCTCATCAATCTACACACAATACCCCATAATGACAAAGCAAAACATGTTTTTAGAAATGTTTGCAAATGTATTAAAAATAAAAAACTGAAAGACCTTATTTACATAAGTACTCAGACCCTTTGCGATGACTCTCGAAATTGAGCTCAGGTGCGTCCTGTTTCCATTGATCATTCTTGAGATATTTCTACAACTTGATTGGAGTCCTCCTGTAGTAAATTCAATTGATTACACATGATTCGGAAAGGCACACACCTGTCTATATAAGTTCCCACAGTTGACAGTGCATGTCAGAGCAAAAACCAAGCCATGAGGTCGAAGGAATTGTCCGTAGAGCTCCAAGACAGGATTGTGTCGAGGCACAGATCTGGGGAAGGGTACCAAAAAATTTCTGCAGCATTGAAGGTCCCCAATAACACAGTGGCCTCCATCATTCTTAAATGGAAGAAGTTTGGAACCACCAAGACTCTTCCTAGATCTGGCCACCTGGCCAATCTGAGCAATCGGTGGAGAAGGGCCTTGGTCAGGGAGGTGACCAAGAACCCCTATTGGTCACTCTGAAGGAGCTCCAGAGTTCCTCTGTGGAGATAGGATAACTTTCTAGAAGGACAACCATCTCTGCAGCACTCCACCAATCAGGCCTTTATGGTAGTGGCCAGACGGAAGCCACTCATCAGTAAAAGGCACATGACAGCCCGCTTGGACTAAAGGACTCAGACCATGAGAAACAAGATTCTCTGGTCTGATGAAACCAAGATTGAACTCTTTAGCCTGAATGCCAAGCGTCAAGTCTGGAGGTAACCTGGCACCATCCCTACGGTGGAGCATGGTGGTGGCAGCATCATGCTGTGGGGATGTTTTTCAGCGGCAGGGAGACTAGTCAGGATCGAGGGAAAGATGAACGGAGCAAAGTACAGAGATATCCTTGATGAAAACCCACTCCAGAGCGCTCAGGAACTCAGACTGGGGCGAAGGTTCACCTTCCAACAGGACAATGACCCTAAGCACACAGGCAAGACAATGCAAGAGTGGCTTTGGAACAAGTCTCTGAATGTCTTTGAGTGGCCCAGCCAGAGCCCTGACTTGAACCCTATCTAACATCTCTGGAGAGATCTGAAAATAGCTGTGCAGCAACGCTCCCCATCCAACCTGACAGAGCTTGAAAGGATCTGCAGAGAAGAACAGGAGAAACTCCCCAAATACAGGTGTGCCAAGCTTGTAGACTTCATATCCAAGAAGACTCAAGCTTGTAATCACTGCCAAAGGTGCTTCAACAAAGTACTGAGTAAAGGGTCTGAATAATTATGTAAATGTTATATTTCAGTTTTTTTTTTTAAACATTTTGGTTTAGTTGGAGATGTGAATCCAACATATCATTTGATAACTGGTTGACAAGTTAATAGGCTATTTACTGTATTTGCAAAAGTGATATTGAATTGTGTTTGGTTGTCAATGCAACAAAATATCAACATTTGAAGGAGTTGTATATTTTGTGCCACTGACTTAGTGTGACTTTAATTCCAGTTTGTCTACAAATGCATAATTGATATGTTGCATTCACGTCTCCATCTTAACCAAAAATCTAAGTTAAAGAATAGGACTACATCAAATCAAATCAAACTTTAAATGCACTTTTAATAAAGTTTGATTTGATTTACTCCTATTCTTTAACTTAGATTTTAGTTGAAATGGAGACATGAATCCAACATATTCATTATTAAAGGAGAATTCCACCCCAAAACTATATTTTGGTATTTGTTTCATTAGTCCATTGTTGACATAGTCACAAAATGTTTTGCTTGTCAGCAATTAAGTTTTCAAGATATGTAACTTTGAAAATGCAGAAATAATCCCTGTATGATGCATTTTGCATCATATGATGCAAACGCAGCATTTTATGATGCAAAATGCATCATACGGGGATGATTTCTGTTTTGAAAGTTACATATCTTGAAAACTTGATTGGTGAAAAGCAAAACATTTTGGGACTGTGTCAACAATGTAGTAATAAAACAAATACCAAAAGATAGTTTTTGGGTGGACTTTTCCTTTAACTTGAAGATAAAATTTGACATCAACCAAAGCTTGAAACCCTAGGCCTATATGTATTGCCTATTTTTAGTTGAACCCTGGGTTGAATTGAAACAATAGCTGTTGATGAGTTCGCAAATGCTATATAGGCCTAAACAGTATCATTGATGATATATGACTTATAGAGTATGGTTAGATTTAATTTGCTCTGTTAAACCTTTGGAATGACTTTGATAGCAACAGTAAATCTATTTGGTTATTAAGAGATTTCTTAATAATCTTTGTCACGAAAGCACATTGGTAGTAGTCAGTGACAAATATCAAAGCTAAACAGGGCTTGGTTAAAACCCTGGATTGGAGACCAAATGGACAGCTGTAGATAGGTCAAATCTCCAGTAGGAGGTGTTGCCCAGCCTATAGTTTTTTTTTCTGCTAGTTGATATATCGTTGAAGATCTGACGTTGTTTCAAAGGTACAAATTCAATATATTTTATACAAGGTTTGTCTATGTTGAAAATTGGTTACCATGATGACATAATTCTGTGGTTGGAATTTCACCCAACAAAAAAAAACAGTTTACGCTGATGACTTTTTGCAAATCCAATGTATTTTCTATATAGATTCCACGTCACAATACTTAACAAATTACGTTGAAACAATGATGATTCAACCAGTTTGTGCCCAGTGGAACTGCACTGTTCACTAACTCTCTCCCTGTGTAGAAACACAGGGGTCTGGATGGATCCACTGCTCCACTAGTTCTAGATTCTAGATTTTACAATCTGTAAAATAATGTAGAGTAGCCAAGTGATCAGCCCTAGGAACTGACATTTAATCTGACATCAAATATCAACAGTTGCACTGGAAACATTCAAGTGGAACAGCATGAGATAAAAACAGAGATGATGTAATTAACCAGTTAAATGTAACTAAATGTAATCTAAAATGTCATCTATGTAGTAATTATTTATTATGAGGGGGCAATAAACAATAACTAGTAATGCTGCATACTCAAAGAAATGATTAAAAAATAATTTAAATGCTGAGATGTAGTCACTTTTGAGGACAAGCTCAAGTACACAGTACAAATATGATAAAAAAATATGAATATACGAAATATTTTATATGATGTATTTCCTATTCAACAAAACCGTATGAATAAGGCTTGAAATGACTTATATACTTTCTAAATATAGTATAATAAAATTATAAAACCACTAACTGTAAGATTTCACCTTCCTTATAACTGTAAAATACATATTTCTATGTTTAGTGTTAGAGGAAATGTACATATTTTCTAAAGGTCTCTTTTGGTCAAAACGTCTTCCCCCGTTGCTGTGAACGTCTCACAGAGCTCTAGCTTGGCTTCCTGAACTCGGTAGGAACTCACCTTTCATCTCTGTCTATCACAAACAGAAAGTGTTTTTTTGTTTAAAATCTATGAATGATTTGAGATGCTATAAATCTCTGAATGCGCTACCCTGATGAAAACACTCTCTCCTGCTGCGCTACGATGTAACGATTACAGGCATATGCTTTGTCAGTGGCTGAGATGTAGGAGCCAGGAGTTGATAGACAGTCGGAAGAGCGAATGAAATGGTAGTAGGGACATCCCAGCTTCAAGTGGTTTCAGATTTGACATACTATGTCACACAGGTTCAGAAAAAACATTACTGTGTCCGTGGGAACCAGGGCTTTCGCTCAATTTTGATCTACGGTGTCCACAGGTCGATTTCTAAGCAAAAATGACGGTCGGAACCGATTACAGAAAGGGGACCTTATATCTAAGAGTTTTTAATGAATATGGTTACGTACATATTGGCCAGACAATCTCAGCTGCATTTGCAGCTCCTCATACCTGTGTGCATGTCTGATGGATATATCCATATCATTTGGAAGAAGTACTCCATCTTCCTTCCCTATTTCATCTTCTTTGTTGTCTCAATAGTCATTGCTATTATTATTAGTGACGTTATGGATGCTTTCCCCGAGACACAATAAAACAAACTGAAATGTCCACTAACACCCATAACCCAGATAATCGATTTCTCCTTCCTCCAGCGGAGCTTTGACAGCCCACACAAACAAGATGAGCGAAAGAGCAGGCCAGGCCAGGCTCAGTGCCCATCATCACACACAAGGCAATAATCCTCCATACATGTCCAATCTAAGGCAGAATGACACAGGGTGACAAAATGGACTCCCCAGTCAGAGCCCAGCAGCACTGAGGGGGGGGGGGGGGGGGGGGGGGGGGGGGTGAGAGGACACTCAATGACACCGTAAACACATTCAGCATCACTGCCATTTGGAAGGAGAGAGATGTGACTGCTACAGCTGAGTGAATAAATGGCGTAGCTTTATGTACAACATTATCCTATTTTATGATCATAGGTTGAATATTTTAAGGCTATGGACAATAACGCAGTCATCATACATCCAGTAAGGGCCTCATAGATCAAGTAGCTGACTGGGCTGGTTGAAGAGATTGGTGTCACATGGTGTCATGTATTGGCTACTTGTCATTGTTACAGGGTAAATGTGACTGTCATTTGTAGTATAATTTTTAGTGATGGATTTGATGAAATTGTAGGTTTAAGAGCAGTGAAGCTATTTTGTGCCTGGCTGGTTGCAGTGCTTCAGCCCCCACTGTATCAGTGGCGAGGGATAGCCTACATTAACTTAATGTGCTGAAGACTGAACACACAGTGTTGGGCATGAATATTTGAAGAGGCCGGTACAAAGCTTGGAGAACTTTAAACTCGACTCACTGGTCCCCATGTTTGACAAGGCAACAACAAGTTGGCTGATGCAGAAAGCTAGGCTGCATGATACCTGTATGTTGTCATCAAACAAATGAACAGCAGTGTTTACCAAATGGCTTTGTTGTACAACACACCCGCTTATTAAAATGGCATCTCATTAGCCGCATTGAGCAGCCGTTTCACATAAAATGAATTGGCTTTTTTGAAAGGACTTTCTCTTCATTATCATTCTGTCTTGCAAATGGATTCACTTGAACAGCGATGCATATTCATATTCATTTTACAGGAAGCTTGGAAATTGTTAGGAAGTGAGCCAAGGGTGGAACTCGGCTGGTGTGCAGGCAATGCCAGGCACACGCTGAAAAGAGACCAGTTATCTGTCTGTAAAGAAAATGTTCACCTCTTCAATAATATGTTTTTATGGGCAGAGTACAATCAATTCATTCCTGTCAACATAAATCCATCTCAGAGGCTGTTTATACATGACATAAAATGTTAATTTGCAATCAGAGAACCCTGCAATAGCACACCTCATATTGATACAAATATAGTGCAAGTCTCTCAGCAACACTTCCAGGTACACCAACCTCTCTCTTACTTCTGTGCTATAGGGGAACAATATGCTCCTATTGAATAAGGATTTTGATCCAGGCTGCTTCCAGAGTGAAAGCTCTCTGGGTATTTACCTTTAAGATCAGAAGGAAACATGAAAGGCTTTGTGGTTCCATCAGTGGCGAGCGTAATGAGGACGGGAGGCGGGAGGAATGATTCATTAGCCTCTCTCAGGCCCTTCTCAGCAGTTTGCACTTTGACCCAGATTAGCGCTCCACTAGAGGCCCACTGGGGAGGGCTGGAGATGGAGGGCCGTACAACACACTGTACAAGTGTGTGTAAGTTTATAATTTATAATTCACTGTATCACAATTCCAGTGGGTCAGAGGTTTACATACACTAAGTTGACTGTGCCTTTAAACAGCTTGGAAAATTCCAGAAAAGTATGTCATGGCTTTAGAAGCTTCTGATAGGCTAATTGACATAATTTTAGTCAATTGAAGGTGTACCTGTGGATGTATTTCAAGGCCTACCTTCAAAGTCAGTGCCTCTTTGCTTGACGTCATGGGAAAATCAAAAGAAATCAGCTAAGACCTCAGAAAAGAAATTGTAGACCTCCACAAGTCTGGTTCATCCTTGGGAGCAATTTCCAAACGCCTGAAGGTACCACGTTCATCTGTACAAACAATAGTACGCAAGTATAAACACCATGGGACCACGCAGCCGTCATACCGCTCAGGAAGGAGACGCGTTCTGTCTCCTAGAAATTACAAACTTTGGTGCGAAAGTGCAAATCAATCCCAGAACAACAGCCTTGTGAACCTTGTGAAGATGCTGGAGGAAACAGGTACAAAAGTATCTATATCCACAGTAAAACGAGTCCTATATCGACATAACCTGCAAGGCCGCTCAGCAAGGAAGAAGCCACTACTCCAATACCGCCATAAAAAAGCCAGACTACGGTTTGCAACTGCACATGGGGACAAAGATCGTACTTTTTGGAGAAATGTCCTCTGGTCTGATGAAACGAAAATAGAACTGTTTGGCCATAATGACCATCGTTATGTTTGGAGGAAAAAGGGGGTTACTTGCAAGCCAAAGAACACCATCACAACCGTGAAGCACGGGGGTGGCAGCATCGTGCTGTGGGGGTGATTTGCTGCAGGAGGGACTGGTGTACTTCACAAAATAGATGGCATCATGAGGAAGGAAAATTATGTGGATATATTGAAGCAACATATCAAGACATCAGTCAGGAAGTTAAAGCTTTGTCGCAAATGGGTCTTCCAAATGGACAATGACCAAAGTTGTGACAAAATGGCTTAAGGACAACAAAGTCAAGGTATTGGAGTGGCCATCACAAAGCCCTGACCTCAATCCTATAGAAAATGTGTGGGCAGAACTGAAAAAGCGTGTGCGAGCAAGCAGGCCTACAAACCTGACTCAGTTACACCAGCTCTGTCAGGAGGAATGGGCCAAAATTCACCCAACTTATTGTGGGAAGCTTGTGGAAGGCTACCTGAAACGTTTGACCCAAGTTAAACAATTTAAAGGCAATGCTACCAAATACTAATTGAGTGTATATAAAATTCTGACCCACTGGGAATGTGATGAAATAAATGAAAGCTGAAATAATTCATTTTCTCTACTATTATTCTGACATTTCACATTCTTAAAATAAAGTGGTGATCCTAACTGACCTAAGACAGGGAATCTTTACTAGGATTAAATGTCAGGAATTGTGAAAAACTGAGTTTAAATGTATTTGGCTAAGGTGTATGTAAACTTCTGACTTCAACTGTACAGTGGGGAGAACAAGTATTTGATACACTGCCGATTTTGCAGGTTTTCCTACTTACAAAGCATGTAGAGGTCTGTAATTTTTATCATAGGTACACTTCAACTGTGAGAGACGGAATCTACAACAAAAATCCAGAAAATCACATTGTATGATTTTTAAGTAATTAATTTGCATTTTATTGCATGACATAAGTATTTGATCACCTACCAACCAGTAAGAATTCCGGCTCTCACAGACCTGTTAGTTTTTTCTTTAAGAAGCCCTCCTGTTCTCCACTCATTGCCTGTATTAACTGCACCTGTTTGAACTCGTTACCTGTATAAAAGACACCTGTCCACACACTCAATCAAACAGACTCCAACCTCTCCACAATGGCCAAGACCAGAGAGCTGTGTAAGGACATCAGGGATAAAATTGTAGACCTGCACAAGGCTGGGATGGGCTACAGGACAATAGGCAAGCAGCTTGGTGAGAAGGCAACAACTGTTGGCGCAATTATTAGAAAATGGAAGAAGTTCAAGATGACGGTCAATCACCCTCGGTCTGGGGCTCCATGCAAGATCTCACCTCGTGGGGCATCAATGATCATGAGGAAGGTGAGGGATCAGCCCAGAACTACACGGCAGGACCTGGTCAATGACCCGAAGAGAGCTGGGACCACAGTCTCAAAGAAAACCATTAGTAACACACTACGCCGTCATGGATTAAAATCCTGCAGCGCACGCAAGGTCCCCCTGCTCAAGCCAGCGCATGTCCAGGCCGTCTGAAGTTTGCCAATGACCATCTGGATGATCCAGAGGAGGAATGGGAGAAGGTCATGTGGTCTGATGAGACAAAAATATAGCTTTTTGGTCTAAACTCCACTCGCCGTGTTTGGAGGAAGAAGAAGGATGAGTACAACCCCAAGAACACCATCCCAACCGTGAAGTATGGAGGTGGAAACATCATTCTTTGGGGATGCTTTTCTGCAAAGGGGACAGGACGACTGCACCGTATTGAGGGGAGGATGGATGGGGCCATGTATCGCGAGATCTTGACCAACAACCTCCTTCCCTCAGTAAGAGCATTGAAGATGGGTCGTGGCTGGGTCTTCCAGCATGACAACGACCCGAAACACACAGCCAGGGCAACTAAGGAGTGGCTCCGTAAGAAGCATCTCAAGGTCCTGGAGTGGCCTAGCCAGTCTCCAGACCTGAACCCAATAGAAAATCTTTGGAGGGAGCTGAAAGTCTGTATTGCCCAGCGACAGCCCCGAAACCTGAAGGATCTGGAGAAGGTCTGTATGGAGGAGTGGGCCAAAATCCCTGCTGCAGTGTGTGCAAACCTGGTCAAGACCTACAGGAAACCTATGATCTCTGTAATTGCAAACAAAGGTTTCTGTACCAAATATTAAGCTCTGCTTTTCTGATGTATCAAATACTTATGTCATGCAATAAAATGCAAATTAATTACTTAAAAATCATACAATGTGATTTTCTGGATTTTTGTTTTAGATTCCATCTCCCACAGTTGAAGTGTACCTATGATAAAAATTACAGACCTCTACACGCTTTGTAGGAAAACCTGCAAAATCGGCAGTGTATCAAATACTTGTTCTCCCCACAGTACATACCTTACATATGCATACGTGCACTGCTGACTTCAAACAAGCACATCAACAAACATGGTAAAGGCAGTTCTGTGTACACAGTATACACACTCGCACAGACATACTGTACATTCAACAAAACTGGATTGACTTTGGGGGATGTAGATCGAATTCGCCTGCGTACACAGACAGTCTTTTGCGAATTTTTTCAAACAATTTGCTTTAGGGGATTAAATACAAATCTTCCAGTGAGCTCTACAGGAAATCGGTGTGCATCAATGATATCCTTTGCTTTAACTGATTTGGCTCTGTTTTAATGTTGTCGTTTCTCTTCCTCTAGTGAGTGTCACCATCATGAGGCTGGTGTGGAAGTCCCTGGACAAGATGTGTTTCCGTAAACGCTCCACCATCCCCTTCCTGGGGGTCCTGATCACCTGTCTACTCTTCCTCAATCTCTACATGGAGGATGGATACATGTTGGTAGGCTGTCTTTGGATCTTCCTTCCTATGATGTCATATTTGTATTTTACATTTGAGTAACAATGCTGTCGTTTTTTAGGAGGCGGGTAAAAGACCGCTGAGAGAGACATCAATGCATCCTTCAAACTCTGAGAGATATGTTCACACCTTCAGAGACCTCACTAATTTCTCTGGAACCATAAACGTCACATATCGTTACCTCGCTGGGACCCCACTGCCCCGAAAGAGTAAATATACCTTTTAATATACCTGTAGATACAGTGGGGGAAAAAAGTATTTAGTCAGCCACCAATTGTACAACTTCTCCCACTTAAAAAGATGAGAGAGGCCTGTAATTTTCATCATAGGTACACGTCAACTATGACAGACAAAATGAGAAAAAAAAATCCAGAAAATCACATTGTAGGATCTTTAATGAATTTATTTGCAAATTATGGTGGAAAATAAGTATTTGGTCACCTACAAACAAGCAAGATTTCTGGCTCTCACAGACCTGTAACTTCTTCTTTAAGAGGCTCCTCTGTCCTCCACTCGTTACCTGTATTAATGGCACCTGTTTGAACTTGTTATCAGTATAAAAGACACCTGTCCACAACCTCAAACAGTCACACTCCAAACTCCACTATGGCCAAGACCAAAGAGCTGTCAAAGGACACCAGAAACACAATTGTAGACCTGCACCAGGCTGGGAAGACTGAATCTGCAATAGGTAAGCAGCTTGGTTTGAAGAAATCAACTGTGGGAGCAATTATTAGGAAATGGAAGAAATACAAGACCACTGATAATCTCCCTCGATCTGGGGCTCCACGCAAGATCTCACCCCGTGGGGTCAAAATGATCACAAGAATGGTGAGCAAAAATCCCAGAACCACACGGGGGGACCTAGTGAATGACCTGCAGAGAGCTGGGACCAAAGTAACAAAGCCTACCATCAGTAACACACTACGCCGCCAGGGACTCAAATCCTGCAGTGCCAGACGTGTCCCCCTGCTTAAGCCAGTACATGTCCAGGCCCATCTGAAGTTTTCTAGAGTGCATTTGGATGATCCAGAAGAGGATTGGGAGAATGTCATATGGTCAGATGAAACCAAAATAGAACTTTTTGGTAAAAACTCAACTCGTCGTGTTTTGAGGACAAATAATGCTGAGTTGCATCCAAAGAACACCATACCTACTGTGAAGCATGGGGGTGGAAACATCATGCTTTGGGGCTGTTTTTCTGCAAAGGGACCAGGACGACTGATCCGTGTAAAGGAAAGAATGAATGGGGCCATGTATCGTGAGATTTTGAGTGAAAACCTCCTTCCATCAGCAAGGGCATTGAAGATGAAATGTGGCTGGGTCTTTCAGCATGACAATGATCCCAAACACACCGCCCGGCAACGAAGGAGTGGCTTCGTAAGAAGCATTTCAAGGTCCTGGAGTGGCCTAGCCAGTCTCCAGATCTCAACCCCATAGAAAATCTTTGGAGGGAGTTGAATGTCCATGTTGCCCAGCGACAGCCCCAAAACATCACTGCTCTAGAGGAGATCTGCATGGAGGAATGGGCCAAAATACCAGCAACAGTGTGTGAAAACCTTGTGAAGACTTACAGAAAATGTTTGACCTGTGTCATTGCCAACAAAGGGTATATAACAAAGTATTGAGAAACTTTTGTTATTGACCAAATACTTATTTTCCACCATAATTTGCAAATAAATTCATTAAAAATCCTACAATGTGATTTTCTGGAGAAAAAAAATCTCATTTTGTCTGTCATAGTTGACGTGTACCTATGATGAAAATTACAGGCCTCTCTCATCTTTTTAAGTGGGAGAACTTGCACAATTGGTGGCTGACTAAATACTTTTTTCCCCCACTGTATGTAGATACAAATGTATTTCATCCTGAAAGTCATTTATTTGTCTTTATTTTATTTTATGTATAATCATATCAATGTTTTTGTTTCTAGAATATCTAACCATTGGGTTGTCATCTGTGAAAAGAAAAAGAGGGAATTACCTTATGGAGACGATCAAATCCATTTTTGACCAGTCCAGTTATGAGGAGCTGAAAGAGATTGTGGTGGTGGTCCACCTGGCGGACTTTGACCTGGCCTGGTGTGAAAACCTGGTGCAGGACATCTCCAGGAAGTTTGCCCACCACATCATCGCTGGGCGTCTCCTGGTGATCCATGCCCCTGAGGAGTACTATCCATCACTGGTTGGGCTAAAAAGGAACTACAATGACCCAGATGACAGGGTACGCTTCCGTTCCAAGCAGAATGTGGACTACGCCTTTCTCCTCAACTTCTGCACCAACCTCTCTGATTTCTACATGATGCTGGAGGACGATGTGCGCTGCTCACGGAACTTTCTGACATCCCTGAAGAAGGTGGTCACCTCCAGGGAAGGCTCCTACTGGGTGATGCTGGAGTTCTCCAAGCTTGGCTACATAGGGAAGCTCTACCACTCAAGAGACCTGCCACGCCTGGCCCACTTCCTGCTCATGTTCTACCAGGAAATGCCCTGTGACTGGCTCCTCATTCACTTCCGGGACCTACTTGCCCAGAAAGACGTGATACGCTTCAAGCCCTCCTTGTTCCAGCACATGGGCCACTACTCCTCATATAAGGGGGCAGAGAACAAGTTGAAGGATGATGACTTTGAAGAAGACTCCATTGATATCCCTGACAACCCTCCTGCCAGCCTGTACACAAGCATTAATGTATTTGAAAACTATGACACCACCAAGGCTTACAGCAGTGTGGACGAATACTTTTGGGGGAAACCCCCTTCTACCGGAGACTTCTTTGTCATAGTCTTTAACAAATCAACTAAAATAAGCAAAATCAAAATCGTGACAGGAACGGAAGATCGTCAGAACGATATCCTGCACCATGGAGCTCTGGAAGTAGGAGAGAAGCTGGTGGGGACAAAGAGAGGAAGGCAGTGTTCTTCCTACATCACTTTAGGGGAGTTTAAATATGGCAACATTGTGGTTCAAGACGTGGACCACAAGATTGCCTTTGACATTGAGTGTGTTCGTATTGTGGTGACTGCCAGTCAGAAAGAATGGCTGATCATTAGGACTATAAGTCTGTGGACTACACAACCACTCAGTCAATGGTACACTGAGGGACCATACCGTTTGGACTAAAGTTTTTTATTAATGTGCCTATTAATTTATATTGATTATATGTTGGATGCTCTATGGTTTATTTTATTATTACATTTACATTCAAGTCATTTAGCAGACGCTCTTATCCAGAGCGACATACAAATTGGTGCATTCAACTTAGGATAGCCAGTGGGACAACCACATCTTGATTATCCATTATATTTGACACAGCACATTTTTGAGAATTTGAAAGTTAATTGGGTTGTCAACGTTGTATTTTTGTTGTAAAATAAAATGCAGACAAAATGTGTTTCTGTTTCTAAAAGAGCACAACTGTGAAAAACACTATCTCTATCATAACAAACTGTTCATAAACCAGTCAATATCTAATTTGCAGAGGAATGACCTGTGATTGCCTTTTCTTCATATGTTTCCTCAATAGCCGATATATAGCAACCACGTGTTTAATGTTGCAGCAATTATACTGACACAAGAGTGTTTTAAGATTACTGTGTTATTTTATTGTCAAGTGGAGAACAAAACACTTGTTTTTGCCCATCTTCAGAGGAGCTGTGATACAGTCCAATACACTCAGAGGAATGAGGTAGAGCTTTCTTTCTCTGCACATACAGTGAATTAGGTGATGTTTGGTCCTCTCTTCCTAGAATTACATTAAACATTTTCTCTATTAACAACCCTTCAACAAAATGATATCAAAACGTGTTCTCAGGAAAGGAAAGGTGAATTCAGACAAAGAATTTTACAGAAAGTGCAGTACACAAATGCGTGTAAAAAACAACAACAACCCAACAACAACAACTTAGTGAAGCACTTGAGCATTGGTTGAACACAGTGGAGGCTGTTGGGAGGAGCTATAGGAGGACGGGCACATTGAAATGGCTGGAATGGAATAAATGGAACGGAGTCAAACGTGTGGTTTCCATATGTTTTAATGTGTTTGATACCATTCCATTAATTCCATTCCAGCCATTACAATGAGCCCGACCACTCCTATAGCTCGTCCCACCAGCCTCCACTGGTTGAACATCTCTTTGAAGAACTGTATCATTTGTGGGTGTATTGTGTGCTACTTAGACCAAGGAGAGGAGAGTAGTGCCCCCTACTGGTTCTTCAAAACCCATCCCAGCAGTACAGTATCTGGCCAGATAGGAGTAGACATAGCAAGAGGCCCAACTCCCCCTCACTTCATTTCCGCCTGCGCCTTGGTACTTTAATTGCTGGTAGTTGTTCATGTTGGCAGTTGACCAGCAGGCATGCCACTGTGAACAGTTGAATGATTGTATCTGACAGGTACAGGGGCATCACTGTCTGAAAGAGTTTGAGGTCTTTGACTCTATGCATTGTCCTTTCTACCGGTCCCCTCAGTTTTGCAATGATCTGTGTCTCATCCTCCTTCATATTGCGCCATGCTGGAATCTGTGTGTCCTTTGACCAGGAAGTTGACCTTACAAGGTCGTCCACACGGAGGCCCTTATCCACCATAATGGCCGTGTCTGTGGTGATTAGAGCAACGATGCCACACTGCAGGAATATCTCCTCGACACTTACAGCTCCAGGATAGAGTGCAGATACAGACGTGACTGTGCCGTGTGGTGTCATCCCCACCATTACCTTGAAGGTGTAGGAAGACTCTTCACTGTACCGCTGATAGGAGTACGGTGAGCGGCAGCGGAGCTCTGTGAAGTCTACCAGAACCTTAGTGTCTGCGTAGTCCTTGAACTCCGTGGGCAGGTGGGCACTGAAGCTCTCTGGTGACATCCAGATGGAGGCGGAGCCAAGCAGGCAGGTCAGGAAGTTGGCCCAGGAAGTGATGATGCAGCTCACGGTGGATTGGCAGACACTGAAGCGATTGGCCAGGTCCCTCTGCTTCAGGCCCAGTGCAAGACGAGTCATGAACAGGAAACACTCATCCATCTGTGGCAGGGTCTATTGAACACAAAGCAAAACATATTGGTAGTCAAAAAGATTTACCTTAATTTACATAACTCTTGAAATCAGTAGTAATCAACATTATGTTTATCATTAGCAGAAATGTTGTTTCATTGTTGGAAAAATGGGTTCAATGGCAGCATTACTTCCTCAAGACTTCCTGATTACGCTATATGACCTCCTGGATCATTAATAGCCTGAAAGCACTTGCCTCATTAGCAGTGCCATTGTGTGTGTACTATCATGCCAAAGAATGTTTGGCTTGACAATGACAGCAATGGAGTTGGCAAGAGCCCAAACAGATCTGGGACCAGACTGGATCATCATAACATACAATATGTACTATACTGTACTATACTCAAGTGAGTAGTCACTTACAGCTTTTCTTCCAGGTAGGCTAGCCGTAGATGTTTTAGCGTTGTTGACTCTGACTTTGTTGTTGCTGCTGGTTAAGTCAAATGCCAGAAGGCCATCAGGTGCTTGTAGCTTGCAAATCTACAGAAGGAGGAGAAGACAAATCTGGACACATCAGTTGGAAGTATCCTCCTGCTTCACTTCGACTGCAGGGGGAGGGGAAGGAGGTCTAGGGGAAGGGGGTCTAGAGGAAGGAGGTCTAGGGGAAGGGGGTCTAGAGGAAGGAGGTCTAGGGGAAGGTGGTCTAGAGGAAGGAGGTCTAGAGGAAGGAGGTCTAGGGGAAGGAGGTCTAGAGGAAGGAGGTCTAGGGGAAGGAGGTCTAGAGGAAGGAGGTCTAGGGGAAGGAGGTCTAGGGGAAGGAGGTCTAGAGGAAGGAGGTCTAGGGGAAGGAGGTCTAGGGGAAGGGGGTCTCTCTACCCTTTCTCACGCAGGTCTCTGCTTGGCCGGAATGATATAATTCCAATGGAACAAGGTAGGAAGCACACCTTTCTTGAGGCGTCTACGTCCCCCTACTGCGGTCACCAAAATGAGTGCTGCATACTTTATGGTGTTTAGTGAACTTCTTTCTTTTTATTTTGACGAGACACTTTTTCCTGACTTCTTCATCTACAGGGAGTGTGGAAATTAACCGTGGAGTTGTACCAATGATGTGTATAAACCCTGGATGACTGACAAGGGGCACTCCTCCTCAGTTGTAAAAAATATTTTGGAAGCTATAGTGATTCATAAAAAAACAAAAAAACATTTGTATTCTATTACAGACACCTTGATGCATACTTTTAAATTACACTATATATATACAAAAGTATGTGGACACCCCTTCAAATTAGTGGATTCGGCTATTTCAGCCACACCTGTTGCTGACAAGTGTATGAAATCGAGCACACAGCCATGCAATCTCCATAGACAAACAATGGCAGTAGAATGGCCTTACTGAAGAGCTCAGTGACCTTCAACGTGGCCACCTTTCCAACAAGTCAGTTCATAAAAATGTCTGCCCTGCAAGAGCTGCCCTGGTCAACTGTAAGTGCTGTTATTGTGAAGTGGAAACGTCTAGGAGCAACAACGGCTCAGCTGCGAAGTGGTAGGCCACACAAGCTCACAGAACGGGACCACCGAGTGCTGAAGCGCGTAGCGTGTAAAAACTGTCTGTCCTCAGTTGCAACACTCACTACCGAGTTACAAACTGCTTCTTGAAGCAACGTCAGCACAAGAACTGTTAGTTGGGAGCTTCATGAAATGGGTTTCCATGGCCAAGCAGCTGCACACACGCCTAAGATCACCATGCGCAATGCCAAGCGTCGGCTGGAGTGGTGAAAAGCTCGCCGCCATTGGATAATAGAGCATTGGAAATACGTTCTCTGGAGTGATAAATCACGCTTCACCATCTGGCATTCCGATGGATGATTCTGGATTTGGTGGATGCCAGAGAACGCTACCTGCCCCAATGCATTGTGCCAACTATAAAGTTTGGTGGAGGGGGAATAATGGTCTGGGGCTGTTTTTCTTGGTTCGATCTAGGCCCCTTAGTTCCAGTGAAGGGAAATCTCAAAGCTACAGCATACAATGACATTCTAGACGATTCTGTGCTTCCAACTTTGTGGCAACAGTTTGGGGAAGGCCCTTTCCTGTTTCAGCATGACAATGCCCCCGTGCACAAAGCGAGGTCCATACAGAAATGGTTTGTCGAGATCGGTGTGGAAGAACTTGACTGGCTTGCACAGAGCCCTGACCTCAACCCCTTCAAACACCTTTGGGATGAATTGGAACGCCGACTGTGAGCCAGGCCTAATCGCCCAACATCAGTGCCCGACCTCACTAATGCTGTTGTGGCTGAATAGAAGCAAGTCCCCGCAGCAATGTTACAACATCTACAAATTAGTGGATTTGGCTATTTCAGCATCTCCATATTAATGCCCATGATGAAAAAGTGGACCCTTGCATTTTGGCTGATCCATTTGTGGTTTCAGGGTGGGTGAAAACAGAGTTGGGTGCTGTGGAATCGGTGAGGGTAACCAGAAGTGGTCTGGTGATAATTGTTTGTGTTTCTGCTGGTCAGAGGGAGCAGGCGCTCCGTGTTAAACGAATGGGGGCAAGAGATGTGAATTGTTTTGCTCTCAAGAAAAGGGTGCCATTGAAAGGTGTGATTACTGGGGTAGCGGTAAATGTGAAAGCTGACCAACTGAAGGGGAAGATTCCCGGTGTTTGTGATGCTTGTCGTTTGGTGCGACGCAGACAGGGTGGCGTGAGTGATGAAACAGAAGAGTCGTTGTCTGTTCTTTTGAGTTTTGATGTTGAGTCTTTGCCCGACAAAGTGATGTTAGGATATATAAGTTATCCGGTACGAGCTTTTGTGGCAGGTTGAGAGGCAGGTTGAGGTTTCCAGGGTTAGAGTAGTGCAGAAGTTGTCATATGCTGAGGCAGTGAAGAAAGTAGAGGAGGATGGGTCAAGGGGGAGGGATCCTGAGAGGAATGGTGTGAGTAGTAGATCTGTACCAGTACAGAGGGATAAACCAACAAGTGATATATGTTTCAGTCAGATTAAATTTTTTCATTTATAGCAATGGTAATCAACTGTACTGCAGAGATGGAACGTAAGTCGCAGAAAATAGAGGTTGTGGTGGCAGCTGTAGAGAGGTATTTGGGTGTGCCAGTCTTGACATCAGAAGAGTTACAGGGTGTGTTAACATTTACATTTACATTTTAGTCATTTAGCAGACGCTCTTATCCAGAGCGACTTACAGTTAGTGAGTGCATACATTAATTTTTTTATTTTTCATACTAGCCCCCCGTGGGAATCGAACCCACAACCCTGGCGTTGCAAACGCCATGCTCTACCAACTGAGCTACATCCCTGCCGGCCAATTGTGTGCCGCCCCATGGGTCTCCCGGTCACGGACAGCTACGACAGAGCCTGGATATGAACCAGGATCTCTAGTGGCACAGCTAGCACTGCGATGCAGTGCCTTAGACCACTGCGCCACTCGGGAGAATGCAGTGGAGGGCCAGGTCTTCTGCAGGGCCAGGTCCAGCAGAGACAGGCAGTGCAGCACTGCAGACTCCAACTGCTTCTTACCAGGGAAGGGGGCGTTAAGTGGTGGTGTTCCATCCTTTCAGGCTGTTGGCCTGAAGTAGGAATAAATAGATTTAAATAGTGGAGTATGGTAGTTATTATTATTATTACTTGTTTTTTTGTGAGTGTAGTGTTAGATGGTACGGTATTTGTGGTATTTTTTAAAGCAAAGTATAAGGGAGTTATACTCCAGTCCAGTAGGTGGCGGTAATGCAACATTTATTGGATGCCAACCGCCGTTAAACCTCATCGAAGAAGAAGAAGCAATCCAGGGTTTATATACACTACCAGTCAAAAGTTTGGACACACCTACTCATTCAAGGGTTTTTCTTTATTTTTACTATTTTCTACATTGTAGAATAACAGTGAAGACATCAAAAATATGAAATAACACATATGGAATCATGTAGTAAACAAAAAAGTGTTCAACAAATCCAAATATATTTTACATTTGAGATTCTTCAAATAGCCACCCTTTGCCTTGATGACAGTTTTGATGTCTTCACTATTCTACAATGTAGAAAATACTAAAAAATAATGAAAAACCCTGGAATGAGTAGGTGTGTCCAAACTTTAGACTGGTACTATACATCATTGAGTTGTTGCTTGCCGAGACAGAGCAAAAGGGGACTCAACAATAATCAGAGGATCCCTCGCGTCATTTATCTAAATATTGTTTTTACATTGGTCATCATATTCGCCTTTTTGTGTAGAATTCACCACAACAACTAGCTAGGTACCTCGACACCACAAACAAACATCAACAACAGAAAAACACACGCAAATAGGAAGTAAAACGGAAGCGCGTCACTGCTGAGCTGACTAATCGACAAGGAGTTGTACGTTTGGTCTAGCCAATCACACACAACAACAGTGGCTTCGAAAGATTGGCGGTCGAAGCGCAAAGAATAGGGTGCCTTTGATTTTAAAGTTATTGTACGTCACATATAGCTAAATACGTTAGTATGATGCAGGTAAGAGTTTAATTGTTAATTAAATTAGTCAAGTTTCGTCCTACATTACTGATGTCTCTAGCTAACTAACACTGTAGCTAATAGCTAGCGTTAACTTTGTTTGAAAAATGGCTTTGGCTAGCTAACGTTAGCAAAGTTGCTAGCTAGTTAGCTAAGGCAGCTAACACAAATATTATCTATGGCTAACGTCAACTTCTGAGCAGTGCCAATGGTGACGTTAGCCAGTTTAGCTTGTTAAACTATTAAATCTCTTTGCAGAATAAGGAGAATTGTGATCCTAAAGGCCTACAAAGACCGGTAGGTTTCGCCACACTCGTCCCTTTTCTCTTTATAATTCCCTCCTGTCCTAGTCGAGTTTTTCTCAACTCCACGGTGAAGTTACATCACATCAATGGAGTTGAGTGAAGACGAGCGTGTGGACTACGGGTGTCACTAGTTACCACAGTCAGTCAAGATGTGAACTTGCTTATGGTGGAAAATGAACATTTTAATCCTCTGGCAACTCTGGTGGACATTCCTGCTGTCAGCATGCCAATTGCATGCTCCCTCAACTTGAGACATCTGTGGCATTGTGTTGTGAGACAACTGCACATTATTAAAAAAATATGCACTCACTAACTGTAAGTCGCTCTGGATAAGAGCGTCTGCTAAATGACAAAAATGTACATTTTAGAGAGGCCTTTTATTGTCCCCAGCACAAGGTACAGCTGTGTAATGATCGTGCTGTTTAATCAACTTCTTGATATGCCACACCTGTCAAGTGAATGGATTACCTTGGCAAAGGAGAAATGCTCACTAACGTGTGTAAACACATTTGTGCACAAAGTTTTATAGAAATACGCTTTTTGTGTGTAAGGAAAATGTCTAATCTTTTATTTCAGTTCGTAAAACATGGGACCAACACTTTACATGTTGTGTTTATTTTTGTTCAGTGTACTTCCAGAAAAGGTCTAAATAAAAATGTACAAGCTACCGGCACCTCCAATGTAAATCACTCGGAGCGCCCCAGCTTGTCCTAAAACCTGTAAATGGGCATCTTGGTCTGTTTCGTTCAGCTATCCCTATGGGGAAAGAATAGGGTTTTGGGATAAATGCAGAAAATAAGGTCTGAGGTTAACACAGGCTTAGGAGATCTTATATGTTTTGTTCTATGAGATATCAGTCAGTTAACATGACCTCTATGAATTTATGTGCTTAAAAAAAAAAAGTGTATATAAATGCTTCTGTTGAAGATTCTCATAGAATAAAATGTATAAGATCACCTAAGCCTGTGTTTACCACAGACCTTATTATTTGGTGAGTAACTAACTTATTTTGACATGAAAATGCTTGCAGAGCTGTCTAATGTTGGGGAGTTTGAATCAGCGCTTCCTGCCCCACAAGCTAGGGCAGGGTTCGGCATAAGGTTAGCAGTGTGGTTAGGTTTAAAATCAAATTTCAAAACTTTTCAGCGTCATATTCATCTCTAACACCACCCCAACATCAACATACTTTTGGTTTTTGTAGCGTATGTGGACACCTGCTCGTCGAACATCATTCCAAAATCATGGGTATTCATATGGAGTTGGTCCCCGCTTTGCTGCTATAACAGCCTCTGCTCTTCTGGGGAAGGCTTTCCACTAGATGTTGGAACATTGTTGCGGGGACTTGCTTCCATTCAGCTACGAGCATTAGTGAGGTCGGGCACTGATGTTGGGCGATTAAGCCTGGCTTGCAGTCAGTGTTCCAATTCATCCCAAAGGTGTTCGATGGGGTTGAGGTCAGGGCTATGTGCAGGCCAGTCAAGTTCTTCCACGCCGATCTCGACAAACCATTTCTGTATGGACCTCGCTTTGTGCACGGGGGCATTGTCATGCTGAAACAAACTGTTGCCACAAAGTTGGAAGCACAGAATCGTCTAGAATGTATGCTGTAGCGTTAAGATTTCCCTTCACTGGAACTAAGGGGCCTAACCCGAACCAGGAACAACAGACCATTATTCCCCCTACACCAAACTTTACAGTTGGCAGTATGCATTGGGGCAGGTAGCGTTCTCCTGGCATCCACCAAACCCAGAATCATCCGTCGGACTGCCAGATGGTGAAGCATGATTCATCACTCCTCCAATGTCCAATGACGGCAAGCTTTACACCACTCCAGCCGATGCTTGGCATTGCGCATGGTGATCATAGGCTTGTGTGCGGCTGCTCGGCTATGGAAACCCATTTCATGAAGCTCCAGATGAACCGTTCTTGTTCTGACGTTGCTGCCAGAGGCAGTTTGGAACTCGGTAGTGAGTGTTAGACGATTTTTACGCGCTTCAGTACTTGGCGGTCCTGTTCTGTGAGCTTGTGTGGCCTACCACTTCGTGGCTGAGCCATTGTTGCTCCTAGACATTTCCACTTCACAATAACAGCACTTACAGTTGACCAGGGCAGCTCTAGCAGAAATTTTATGAACTGACTTGTTGGAAAGGTGGCATCCTATGACAGTGCCATGTTGAACGTCACTGAGCTCTTCAGTAAGGCCATTCTACTGCCAGTGTTTGTCTATGGAGATTGCATGGCTGTGTTCTCGTTTTTATACACCTGTCAGCAACGTGTGTGGCTGAAATAGCCGAATCCACTCATTTGAAGGGGTGTCCACATACAGTTGAAGTCGGACGTTTACATACACCTTAGCCAAATACATCTAAACTCAGTTTTTCACAATTCCTGACATTTAATCCTAGTAAAAACATTCCCTGTCTTAGGTCAGTTAGGATCACCACTTTATTTTAAGAATGTGAAATGTCAGAATAATAGTAGAGAGAATGATTTATTTCAGATTTTGATTTCTTTCATCACATTCCCAGTGGGTCAGAAGTTTACATACACTCAATTAGTATTTGGTAGCATTGCCTTTTTAATTGTTTAACTTGGGTCAAACGTTTCGGGTAGCCTTCCACAAGCTTCCCACAATAAGTTGGGTGACTTTTGGCCCATTCCTCCTGACAGAGCTGGTGTAACTGAGTCAGGTTTGAGAATGATAATTATTGTGTGTGTCTCTTCTTAAAGGGACATTTCAAAATTGTTGAACTCCATATACATCATCTCCAGCACCACCCTAACATCAACACACACAAACATACAGTTGAAGTCATTAAAACTCGTTTTTCAACCACTCCACAAATTTCTAGTTAACAAACTATAGTTTTGGCAAGTCGGTTAGGACATCTACTTTTCATGACACAATTTTGAAATGTTTATGAAGAGACATTGTAGAATAAGTCGAGGTTTAGCCATAATTATGACTTTGTGGTAACTAGTGACAACCCTGTATCTCCGACTACATCGAGTCGCTGTCGGTCGATACTTCTAAAATGTAAATTGTTAAAAAAAATAGTAAAACCCTTACCGTGTACCTAATGTTTGTCCTCAGTAGCTTTTTTGTTTGCTGAAATCCGTACTTTATAATAAAGCGTTAATCAAATACAACCACCAACTGTTTCCTCGTATCGACTGACAGCAACTCGATGTAGTCAGAGGTACACTCCGCCCACAGTCGTCGCAACCCAACTCCTCTGATATGTACATCATGGAGTTGAGAAACCCATCTAGTAGATGGCATCTACTCCATTCCTAGCTAGCTAGTTGCCCATAAAAGAAAGTTGCCCATTTGGCTGTCTATCTAGCTTGGTACCATTTTTGATTTCATAACTTTGAACCAGTACTGGGGACATGGAGGCAATTAGGTTTGATCCAGGATGTTTTTGTACCTGATAGATGGCAACTTCAATGGCTTCTGTGGGTCCTCAGAGAGTTCAAATGCCCTCTGCCCCAGAGGCTACAGACAAAAACGCAATTACAGGTACGTTTCTATAGCTACCATTCTGCCTTTGGTGTTTCTATACACTTTCAAATGGTACATCACACCACTTTAATGGTGTAAACAATATACCAAATGTTTTTTGCTCAATTCTGAATCCCCATGATCTCACTACAGGTCCTGGGAGAGAGCCTGCGACATCTTCATCCAGTGCAGCTCAAGCAAAGTAAGTATTCTGTCCAGTAATATCGTCACTTGACCCTGACGTTGTGCATTTGGAATTTGTTTAAGAAAAAGGGTCAATGGCGTTAACATTTCTAGGGTTTATCAACTAGATGTGTCATGAATGTGTGGTTTTACAACCTCCTACGTCTCTCCTCATCAGGAAATTCACCATCAACGACTTTGACATCGGGCGGCCCCTGGGCAAGGGCAAGTTTGGGAATGTGTACCTTGCGCGGGATAAGAAGCTGAAGTTCATTGTGGCGCTGAAAGTGCTCTTCAAGTCTCAGATGGAGAAGGAAGGTGTGGAGCACCAGCTCCGAAGAGAGATTGAGATTCAGTCCCATCTTAGGTCAGTAGTACCCTGATTTGGACTTTTCCTCAACTTTTAGAATCTAGCCAAGCCTGGGGGGGGGGGGGGTATTGGTTGACGTTGCCTTAATATTATGATTTCTCTGCGGGAAATGATTTGACTTGCTGGTTAACACCAACATCATGAAATATACTTCAGTGAGCGGATTTCAGCTGGCGTTTGAAACTGACCAGTATTCACTTTATAATTCAGGGTGCATTCTTTTCTCAAATTGGGGAAGGTAGGAGATTTAAATCAATCATTCCTCCCTCCCGTTCCTTTAGACACCCCAACATCCTCCGCTTTTACAACTACTTCCATGACCGCACCAGGGTCTTCCTGATCCTGGAGTACGCCCCCCGGGGTGAGATGTACAAAGAGCTGCAGAAATGTGGTCGCTTCGATGACCAGCGCACTGCTACGGTAAGAGAAGTTGGCATTTTATTGTTGTATAGACAAGCTGATTAATCTATTCTGAATAATCAGAATCCTTTGCTTCTTTTACCCATGATCTCCAATCATAACATTTGGTTGTTAGATAGCCGCTAATATAAATAATTTGGTCTGATAATGGTAGCTATGTTTTGGCATTGAGATTTAAGTTGCCATTACTTTCTTTGCATTTGAATTGCATTGTGCAAATTTGTCATATCTAGTATCTGTATGTCCTTTGTTAGTACATGGAGGAGTTGGCTGATGCGCTGCAGTATTGCCATGAGAAGAAGGTGATACACCGGGACATCAAGCCTGAGAACCTGTTGCTGGGGCTCCGTGGGGAGCTGAAGATAGCAGACTTCGGCTGGTCTGTCCATGCACCATCCCTAAGGTGAGCGAACCCTGAACTGAACCCTCTACAGCCTCATATGTTTGCTTCACAAATAAATACTGTGAAGTCAATTTGTATGTTTGAGATTGACTACATTTACCATCAGATTGTACAGAATCACAGATCTACAAATCACCTTGTTGCATCCCAAATAACGACTTGTTTATGTGAACAAGATTAGAGATTCTGCACCCTGCCTTGCTCAAACGGATCTCCTGAAGGTCACGAATTCACGGTGTTTTCCCTTCCTCTTCATCTTGACTGTCTATTTGTAGGTATGTTGCCGTTAAAAACCCTGTCACCAATCTAGTTGCTGTCTTACCCCCTCTAGGCGCCGTACAATGTGTGGAACACTGGACTACCTGCCCCCAGAGATGATTGAGGGGAAGATCCACGATGAGAAGGTGGACCTGTGGTCCATCGGGGTGCTCTGCTATGAGTGCCTTGTTGGAAACCCCCCGTTTGAAACTGCCAGCCACTCCGACACGTACAAGCGCATCACAAAGGTTTGCATTTTTTTATCATCAATTACTTGTGTATCCAGTAGTAATATTATCCCTAATTCAAGTGTAATCGCTTGAGTAGTTCCATTGTGATTTCTGACTGACATCTGTTAATTAAATGGAATAGGCATACATGTAGTAGCTAGATATTCAACCAAGGCACAGCTTTAAACAGTGATGAATGACCTCCCTCCCATCTCTCAGGTTGACCTGCAGTTCCCCAAGGTGGTGTCTGATGGTGCTCGGGACCTGATCTCTAAGCTGCTCCGCCACAGTCCCTCTATGCGGCTCCCGCTGCAGGGCGTCATCAACCACCCCTGGGTGAAAAGCAACTCCCGACGGGTCCTACCTCCCGCCTTCGCTCCCAAGAAACCCTAAATGTCCAATGTTCCAGCCTGTCTACGCTTCTAAGAAACCCTAACTGTCCAATGTTCCAGCCTGTCTACGCTTCTAAGAAACCCTAACTGTCCAATGTTCCAGCCTGTCTACGCTGCCAAGAAACCCCAAAACCACCATAAACATACATATTCATATGTTTATAAATAATTGAATATTCATGATTATAAATTTGAAAACCACCAAGTCTGTCCCAGCCTGCCTTCTACCTGGGTGGAGGACTGACTCTTACCCTGCTGATTGGGAAGGACCGTGGAGATGCGTGTTTTAGATTTTCCCACTTTCAGGGATTTTCACATTTCTTAGTTATCCGGACAATCTTCATCCACAAACTTTTAGTTTCACCCGCAGATATAGATGGATCTCCAGATCTGTTAAGCTGGGACAACCAAACGACTATAGATTACTGTCATTTTTATTTCCATTCACTCCCAGAACAATTCAAGGGCGCCCTCTACTGTGAGAAAGATGATTCCTTATTTCTTGCGTTTCTTAAATAGATTTTATAAATGTATTTACTTTGTCTTTGCTTTCCTATCTTCTGTTTTCAAAGCACCTTTTTGTACAGCCTGCATGAAACATCCTCTACAAAGCTTATTCTCTATCTGTGTTCCTTTTGCAACGGTTTTGAAATAAAAATGGCATCAGGTGCTTCACAGGATGATGCCAAATTAATTTATGGAAAAGGGTGGCAAGGATCAATTGAGGTTATGAATGTAGCGGGTGAAATTCCATGTCTTACCCCCTTGTGCCAGCTGATGTCAGTGGTGTTCTGTGGTCCACTGGGAGTAGCATTATCCTCAGTCCTGCAAATTACTCCTGTCATGGGGTGACAGTTTTTCCCTGGGCTGTTGTCTCTGGGGTGCATCTGAAATGGCCATAGCCGTGGTCAAAAGGAGTGCTGTCTATAGGGAATAGGGTGCCATTTCATACGCAGCCTGGAACACTGACAGAAGATAAGGATACCTGTAATACATTGTAAAGCATGGCTGTGACTGTAATAAAAACACTCAGGGCTGTGAGTAATTATACTGTCTGGTAACACAGTCTGGCTGTCACGATAACAGAATAATGCAGAGAGATTGATGAATACGGAGACTATGAAGTGAAAGCAATGCTCATTGAAACAGCCTTTATTTTATTCACACCCCAACCAAAGCACAAACACACTTCATCCCCCAGTCAGTACCCAGTGAGAGGTCATGTGTGTATTCAGTTGGCTGCTGTGTTAAAAAAAGAAAAGGCCATTTGGGAGATTCAATTAAAAGCAACCCCAGAGTGCCACTGGCACGTTCTATACCTTATGAATGGACCCATGTTTTCTTTATTTTTTAGCTTGACCTATTACACCGTTCTGTTGTTATTGTATGTCTATAGGAAAAATCAGTTCTCTCCGTGCACCTGGTAATCCAATGGGTGTGCAAGTTATTTTTCTATAGCTGGAGGAAAGACCTCTGCTGATGTCTTTTCCCATCCATACTTGTGGTCTGGAGGACTCTCAGCTCTCTAACAAGGCCCTCTTTTAAACTTAAACTCAAAGCCTACATGGTGACGTTTGCAGTAATTATTTTGGTGAAATATCATCTAGATTGACTTTATATCCAAAGCTTTCATAAAACTGACATTACTTTACATTTTTGATCTGAGGTACAATATTTCTGCCCAATTTATATGTAATGAATAGTACCACATTGGCTGAATGACCACAGCCTCAGTCTTTAACTAGCTGAAAGTGTGGCAATGCATCATGCAGTCATCTGTAAATGAGCCGTGATACAGTGTGAAACTAAAAAATAATGATTTGTAGTTTGTGATGAAAATGGGTTACGCCTCGGAACCAGAATTTGATCTAGAGGAAATTACCAACCTTATAAGCTCAATAGAAATGTATGCAGATCCGTCTTTTTATTTATATTCAGAATAACAATTCCCATTTGTATTACATGCTTGAATATGAAGTTAACATAGCTTTAGGAGTACCTTCATGTATTCGCTCTCTTTTACTACAATGGGAGTGGCCCAAATGAGTTGGTACAACTCAAGTGTGCTACCTTTTATCCAATGATGACTAACCTCAATAAGTCTAGTCGTGTGTGTCTGCCTCCCAGTTTTCAGCAAGACCGTTTGCTCGGTTTGTGTGTATGTGTGAGGAGAGGGGCAAATAGAAGATAAATGAAGTCCCAATGCCTCCTGGGTCTCATTACCTCTGCTGGGAGCTTTAGAGACTCTGAGTACGTACACAGTAATCACTCATCCTGTCAGTGGGTCTGAAGCTCACTCTCACAGTCACACACCATCACTCTCACAGTCACACAGCTATACCATCACTATCACAGTCACATATACCGTCACTATCACAGTCACACAGCTACACAATCACAGTCATCCAGTGGTCCAACCATCAAGTAAAAAGAACACTTAACAAAACAGGAGGAAATGGTCCTTGAGCTGAGCTGTGGCTGCAGCATTGTAGCAAGGAGGCTACATCATGGGAGATAATGTCAGATGTAATTCTCCCTACAGATGTCTCCGCTACAGGTGAAGTGAGGCAGCAGCGGACTGTGAAATTACATTTTAAATTACAGATGAGGGCTGTACTCTGCTGGGCCGTGCAGTCAATGCACAGAGGCCATATTGCTCTGATGGGGGTAATAAAGGAAACCATTGCCTGGCCCAAGGACAGATAGACCTCCAGCGTGTATTCCAATGATGTATATAAACATGTATGTCTATGGGTGTATTCGCTGTGGCTGAGTTGATACAGGAGATTCCACTGGGGAGGTCATCCATTGGTGACGGGAAGGGAGAGATTTGTAGAAGATTGCGGGGTTGTTGGTAAACAAATAAGCAACTAAATGTGTTTCTGGGGGGGATTGGACCATATAAATATAATCTCATTCTAGTTCTGTGAATTGGACACCACAAACTGAGCTCTCAGTAATAAAGTGTGTTGTCTAGAAGAGCTTGTCCTATAAGGTTGACAAAACCTGCTACTGGCAGTGATGGAATGCTATCAGGATTAATATGGTTCCTACTGAAGCAGAACATAGGGTCACACAGGGGTCAATAGCATTATGAGGAGGACTGATGTTGTGGAGGTGCCCTGCTGAGTTATATAGACTGGAAACACCACACCAGCCACCTCCTGTCCATTACCAACGTATGCCTGACTGCTGTGGCAATCATGACATCATGAACCGCCCTAAAGTCTTAAATGTCTCTGGGTTTGTGAGAGGGTTATTTGTTTCATCAGCTCTACTGAGTATTAACCAGTAGGTGTTTATTACTGAAAGAGGAAAATTATTTAGTTTTTTGTTGATACCACACATTAAAAGCGAACTGACACAGCCCATAATATCCATTGGCTCCGTAGTTGGGTTCACTTCTTCTTCTTACAGATGACAGAATTGCTATGTGTTCTTTGTTCACATTAATAACTGACAATCCCCATGATATCCATTGGCCGGCCTGTATCTGTGTTCACTTCTTCCCCTGGTTAGCATCTGCAGGGTTTGAGTGTGTGGCAGAATGCTTAGTAAAGGGCACTGATAGACAGTCAGCACCCAGTCCACAGACATTAAGCAATCTGGTTCACCTAATCAGGACTGTCAGAGGTGAAGATCCATTACAGGTGCCTAGACTTAGAGAGACAGATGCATAGAAGACAGGCTGAGATGGGCCTTTTAGTCTGTTGATGAATGATTGGAACTGATGGGGGACTTGATGTCCTGCCTAATACAGCAACTGAGCCACATCATTGGGGGACAAACATTTGAAAATGGCTCAGAGAGATGAAGGGAGCTGGAATGTTCATGTCCTCATTTGTCAAATATTTTGTATTTGATTGCCTTGAAAAACGTAAATGTTTATGAAAAACAAAAGGTGCGGACATTAGGGTTGAGCAGGGGTGTGGACATGAAGCTAGGGTTATGGCTAGGTTTATGGTTGAGCAGGGGTGTGGACATGAAGCTTGGGTTATGGTTAGCGTTATGGCTAGGTTTATGGTTGAGCAGGGGTGTGGACATGAAGCTAGGGTTATGGTTAGCGTTATGGCTAGGTTTATGGTTGAGCAGGGGTGTGGACATGAAGCTTGGGTTATGGTTAGCGTTATGGCTATGTTTATGGTTGAGCAGGGGTGTGGACATGAAGCTTGGGTTATGGTTAGCGTTATGGCTAGGTTTATGGTTGAGCAGGGGTGTGGACATGAAGCTTGGGTTATGGTTAGCGTTATGGCTAGGTTTATGGTTGAGCAGGGGTGTGGACATGAAGCTTGGGTTATGGTTAGCGTTATGGCTAGGTTTATGGTTGAGCAGGGGTGTGGACATGAAGATAGGGTTATGGTTAGCGTTATGGCTAGGTTTATGGTTGAGCAGGGGTGTGGACATGAAGCTAGGGTTATGGTTAGCGTTATGGCTAGGTTTATGGTTGAGCAGGGGTGTGGACATGAAGATAGGGTTATGGTTAGCATTATGGCTAGGTTTATGGTTGAGCAGGGGTGTGGACATGAAGCTAGGGTTATGGTTAGCGTTATGGCTAGGTTTATGGTTGAGCAGGGGTGTGGACATGAAGCTAGGGTTATGGTTAGCGTTATGGCTAGGTTTATGGTTGAGCAGGGGTGTGGACATGAAGCTTGGGTTATGGTTAGCGTTATGGCTAGGTTTATGGTTGAGCAGGGGTGTGGACATGAAGCTAGGGTTATGGTTAGCGTTATGGCTAGGTTTATGGTTGAGCAGGGGTGTGGACATGAAGCTAGGGTTATGGTTAGCGTTATGGCTAGGTTTATGGTTGAGCAGGGGTGTGGACATGAAGCTTGGGTTATGGTTAGCGTTATGGCTAGGTTTATGGTTGAGCAGGGGTGTGGACATGAAGCTAGGGTTATGGTTAGCGTTATGGCTAGGTTTATGGTTGAGCAGGGGTGTGGACATGAAGCTAGGGTTATGGTTAGCGTTATGGCTAGGTTTATGGTTGAGCAGGGGTGTGGACATGAAGCTAGGGTTATGGTTAGCGTTATGGCTAGGTTTATGGTTGAGCAGGGGTGTGGACATGAAGCTAGGGTTATGGTTAGCGTTATGGCTAGGTTTATGGTTGAGCAGGGGTGTGGACATGAAGCTAGGGTTATGGTTAGCGTTATGGCTAGGTTTATGGTTGAGCAGGGGTGTGGACATGAAGCTAGGGTTATGGTTAGCGTTATGGCTAGGTTTATGGTTGAGCAGGGGTGTGGACATGAAGCTAGGGTTATGGTTAGCGTTATGGCTAGGTTTATGGTTGAGCAGGGGTGTGGACATGAAGCTTGGGTTATGGTTAGCGTTATGGCTAGGTTTATGGTTGAGCAGGGGTGTGGACATGAAGCTTGGGTTATGGTTAGCGTTATGGCTAGGTTTATGGTTGAGCAGGGGTGTGGACATGAAGCTAGGGTTATGGTTAGCGTTATGGCTAGGTTTATGGTTGAGCAGGGGTGTGGACATGAAGCTAGGGTTATGGTTAGCGTTATGGCTAGGTTTATGGTTGAGCAGGGGTGTGGACATGAAGCTTGGGTTATGGTTAGCGTTATGGCTAGGTTTATGGTTGAGCAGGGGTGTGGACATGAAGCTAGGGTTATGGTTAGCGTTATGGCTAGGTTTATGGTTGAGCAGGGGTGTGGACATGAAGCTAGGGTTATGGTTAGCGTTATGATTAGGTTTATGGTTGAGCAGGGGTGTGGACATGAAGCTAGGGTTATGGTTAGCGTTATGATTAGGTTTATGGTTGAGCAGGGGTGTGGACATGAAGCTAGGGTTATGGTTAGCGTTATGATTAGGTTTATGGTTGAGCAGGGGTGTGGACATGAAGCTAGGGTTATGGTTAGCGTTATGGCTAGGTTTATGGTTGAGCAGGGGTGTGGACATGAAGCTAGGGTTATGGTTAGCGTTATGGCTAGGTTTATGGTTGAGCAGGGGTGTGGACATGAAGCTAGGGTTATGGTTAGCGTTATGATTAGGTTTATGGTTGAGCAGGGGTGTGGACATGAAGCTTGGGTTATGGTTAGCGTTATGGCTAGGTTTATGGTTGAGCAGGGGTGTGGACATGAAGCTAGGGTTATGGTTAGCGTTATGGCTAGGTTTATGGTTGAGCAGGGGTGTGGACATGAAGCTTGGGTTATGGTTAGCGTTATGGCTAGGTTTATGGTTGAGCAGGGGTGTGGACATGAAGCTAGGGTTATGGTTAGCATTATGGCTAGGTTTATGGTTGAGCAGGGGTGTGGACATGAAGCTAGGGTTATGGTTAGCGTTATGGCTAGGTTTATGGTTGAGCAGGGGTGTGGACATGAAGCTAGGGTTATGGTTAGCATTATGGCTAGGTTTATGGTTGAGCAGGGGTGTGGACATGAAGCTAGGGTTATGGTTAGCGTTATGGCTAGGTTTATGGTTGAGCAGGGGTGTGGACATGAAGCTTGGGTTATGGTTAATCTGGGTTGTGGACATGTAGCTATGAATAGGGTTGTGGTTGAAGCTAAGGTTAGGGTTGAGCCGGGTTGTGGACATGAAGCTATGATTTTATGCAGAAGTAAACCAACCATCCCTGTGGGTTAGGGTTAGGGTTAGGACTTTATGCTTGCTCTGCCCATTCTAGAGTAGAGAATTAAACCAACCATCCCTGTGCCTTATTCTGGTGAGTGTGAGGAGCTCACGCTTCACTAAACCCCATAAAACCCCATTATCTGGCTGTTCCTAAGGCATGCTACTGACCTGTATCAGACACACGCTGTTCCCACATGATACCACTAAAGGAAAAATGATGAATTACTCCCTGTACCTTTTGAGGTTGGTCCTGATAAGTATCTGTTTCACCCTGCCTAGGGAGAGATAGCAGTGTGCATCTCTCTCTCTCTCTCTCTCTCTCTCTCTCTCTCTCTCTCTCTCTCTCTCTCTCTCTCTCTCTCTCTCTCTCTCTCTCTTTCTCTCTCTCTCTCTCTCTCTCTCTCTGTCTCTCTCTCATTTTCTCTCTCTACCTCCTCTCTCCCTTTATCTCTCTCTCTCTCTCCCCCCTCTTCTGCCTCTAGGCTGCAAACAGTTTGTTTAGGAGATGGCATCTTGAGGAGTCCTTTAGTGGGATGCCAGAGTTCATTAAATGGCTATCCCCTGAAACACACACACACACACAAACTCAAACACACACCATAAACTGGACCCAGAGCATTGGGTTTTCTCTGCTGTTGGGAGCAGGGAGCTGTTTCAGGATTAAAAGCTATTAGTTCTGCTTCATTGGCCCTACAAGCACCCTCAACACATAGATAAACAATTTCCTCACAAGGGACAGAAGCTGTTAGGAAATAACACACAGAAACTCTCACCTCCAGATACACATTCAAATATATTTACTGAAATAATAAATTATTATTAATGATTATGAGGTTATTATGGCGTGTGGATAATTAATTTCAGCCATAATTCGTTTATTTTTCGTTAAGTCTGATTGTGTTATATAGGCGTATACTGATTAATTAAATGCAATAAATAGTAATTATTATATTTTACTGAAAAAAAATGTCCGCTTTGTTTTGAGCAAATATGATAAGCACGATGTCAGATAGCAAATACGTCCAATCTACTCAATACAAATTTGATAAAAATTATTTTTTAAACAATGTATTTCTTCACAGAACGGTCTGAGAAAGAAAGTCTGGTGTAAGGGGAGACGAAAAGAGGTGCAGAAATCAATCACAATTATTCTTGGTTGACAAAGTAATTAAAACCGTAGTGGCCACTACCAGTTAATATCATGTGGAAGAGCTTATCACTGCCAAGCACAGATGTATAGCTCGCCTCGCGCTGCTGAGGCGTTCATTCCTCCTGAATGGTTATAATGTGCTGTATCGCTGCCTGACATTGGTGCTGATGAAAACAGAAAATTGTCAGATCTGCATGCACTCTGACATTGTAGGTTTACTAATCATAATATGGAAACTATAGAATAATTATAATTGTATTTCATTATGATTAAATTATTGCGGTCATTGCCCTCAAACGAACCTCTTAAATCCATGGTTAGATCGCATTTCTCTTTATGTGAACAAGATTAATGTCGGCTTTATTGTTTTATGTATACCCTCGTGTCTTCTTTGTGGATTAATTGGAGTTGGAAGCGAAAGAGGAGTGACAAAACGTGCGCACTGCAGTAGGCATGCATTGTTGTTCCTGGAAGAATTGTGAATCTCCAACTGAAGATTCATTGAACATCTATTAGCAGTAAAACGTTCCTCGAAGGGCACCTTGCTATATACTCTGACGTAGGCTAAAGATACTCCCACCGACAGAGCTTTGCATTTGCATTTTCTTTCAATCTCGCTGCAGTCCTGACTTCTCTTCTCAGCTTCCGGCTGTCCTGGAATTTACTACAAACATGGTGAGTTGCATTCATTGAGCCTCAATGATTGTGGCTACTTACAGTTCTTTCAGACTACATTTGATTAAAAATCAGAAGTGGCACTTATTCAGTCAACACTGAGTGGACTACTGTAGGCTGAACTGTAGTTGAACCACTGTCGCTGTCCATTGTGCTGAAATGCATTGTGCTGAAACTATGACGCTTCTGTTTACTGCTCATTCCCTCTCTCCAGGCAGCGAAACATTCCTTACTCTACTTCTTCTGTTCAGTTGTATCTGTCATTTTATTGGCTAATCTTATTCTTGCATCTTTTTTCTTCTTTTTTGCAAGATTCTCTTCTATTGTAAGTCGCTCTGGATAAGAGCGTCTGCTAAATTACTAAAATGTAAATGTAAATGTATTGTCACTAGCTTAGTTATTTTTATACGCATATGTGCCTGTGTTCGTGTGTTTTTACTTCGGCAAATAAGTTTTATGCATCCCAATTTTAAAACAATAACGATTATTGGGTCTACACGGGTAATCGTTTTATCTATTTGGTGTGTTCACGTTTTACTACCGTGGAGAATGCCTGCTGGGCTGGGACTGGGGGAGAGTGGGCTCAACAGCTTGTCTATTGCCTGTTCAATCAGAGAGAGGGGCCGCCGCTGCTGCTGCACTGAATGACCGAGAGTAAATGAGCCGTAAAATTAAAGAATTTCTGCAATAATTAATACATAACCAATCCAGAGTCGACCAATGCACAACCAAGGAAGTCCCACAAAGATGCAATAATAGAATTGAAATAGAAAACACATTCACTAGGCCTAATTGTATATATGTTATCCAATATGTGAATAGCCAACAATTAAGCCACTTAATTTTCCAATGTATTTTACCATTTATTTTGTACAGTTGTATGTATATTGCAATATTCTAACGAATTTTCATCTCACCTTTGTAGGATTGTTCTGAAGAGATGAACAACCGGCAGGTATCTGATCCTTCCACTCAGGATTCGTTACCACAATCAGATAATGGAGCGGTCGTAGTTACAATAAACAAACAAGAGAATGTCCCAGATCTACCCTCTTCAAACTGGCAGCCTCCCTCAAAAACCAAGGAACAAACTTTTTCTCAACCGGTGGATATGCCTAACACAAGGAATGGGACGTTTAAAACCGACGCACCTGCAACGCATAATAACGACGTTGATTTTGCACCCAAGGAGGATACTGTTGGAGCGGAATGTGCCTCTGAGGATCATTTTACGATACCCTCTCATGGCACAGCTTCCTGTCCCAATCAAAGTGCTACAAGGAGCCCAGTAGAGCAAAATGGCACGGGGACGGAGATTAGTCCCACCACTGTGATACTGGGGACAGATGGAAACAATTCGGTTCTACCTGGCACAGTGACCGGGGACGGGGTAAGTGCCCATTCCTTTATTACTCAGGCATGACGCGAGAAAAAGCATGACCAGAACATAGTCAATGGCTGATTTCATTTGACAAGTGTAAACTGGTGTGCAGCCTAAACGAATTTCACTTTCCTGAGAGCATTTCGCTGGTGTTCGGTCCCAATGTATTGCTTACTGCAGAGCAGGGTGTTTTGGAGTAATTTGTAACGCTGCAGGCCCTCTCCATTGTTCTATTCCCTGGGGACATATAAAACCAGATAGCGCCCTTTGTGTGGAAGTGATGGAACGCATCAGGACTGTAGCCTAATCCAAACAGAATCATTAGAATTGATAGGTAGAATTTTCAAATTCAGTGTCGAAGAACAATAGTCCTACATTTATAAATACAAAAAGTGTGAAATGTGCAGGAATATATCAAATTGAGAGAGGATCATTAAAGACTTTTCGACATCAATCACTTATATTAGTTTTTTTAAATAACACATTTGAAGTTAACCGTTAAACGTTAATTGCTTCCCCCAGGATGATGATGATGAAGGAGGAGATGAGAATAAAGCGAGGGGAAACTGGTCCAATAAAATGGACTTCATTCTCTCAATGGTTGGATATGCTGTTGGTCTGGGAAATGTTTGGAGATTCCCATACCTAGCCTTCCAAAATGGAGGAGGTAAAAGACACATTTATGTTGCAAAACAATTTTTATTCGTTTGTTCACTTCATCAACTGCATCTGCTTATCTCAGGAAAGAAAACAGAAAATATTCAAATCATTAATATTTTTTGGGAAGAAAAAAAAAAATCCCTATCTGTTCATTCATTTTAGGGACCTTATTCGTTTTAGCATTTGACTATTATTTCAATAGCCTATTTTAACAAATTAAATAATAATAAATAAATAATTTATTTACAAGAATAATAATCTTCATAATTACAATAATAATTATGTGATTCGTTTAATAATCTAGTTAATATTATTAAATTAAACGAATAATAATTGTGATTCAACCACAATTTACATTTATATGTTGTGAAATTACATATTTCCCGTCCAATAATTTTACCATTCAGCCTATATTTCCTACAAAGCTGTGGTCGGATTGAGCTGCCTGACATTCAGTTTCGTTTCCACATTCTTCCTGCAGGTGCTTTCTTGATTCCTTATTTAATCATGTTGGGCCTTGCTGGAATCCCCATATTCTTATTGGAGGTGTCCTTGGGTCAGTTTGCAAGCCAAGGGCCCGTGTCAGTATGGAAAGCAATCCCTGCTCTTCAAGGTAAGCCAAACAACAGCGATCATACTTGAACAGTAAGTAAGCATAGTCCATAAAACATTTTTTTTAATAACCTGTACATTTCAGGTTCAAAAGAGTAATTTCTATATTTCGTCTCATTCGTTATTTTAGGTTGCGGGATTGCCATGTTGATAATATCAGTCTTGATTGCCATATACTATAACATTATAATGTGCTGGACACTGTACTACCTGTTCGCTTCGTTGAAGGGCTCACTCCCCTGGGCGAACTGTAAGAATGAATGGAACACTCAAGATTGTAAGGACAAAGACATGCTTCTTCTTGGTAAGTATTCAGAAGGCAGAACACCTTCCAATTGGGAATACAAGGATTCATTGTTGTTAGAAATGTTTATTGTGGGAAAATACTGTGTATTTCATTTATTCAGGGCTTTAAAATCAAAATACACTGTATTTGAATTGTAAGTCATATAAATAGGCCACCATCGAAAACTATGGCAAAGCAATAATGTCAGGTACTGTAAAAATGCTTACTTGACACAATTCTTGCTGTAGGGCAGGCTACTGTGACGCCCTCTTGTGTCCATCTGTTGTTCTTGCACTGCACAGTGGATTTATTCATACCACCTCAATTTTAGCCACCACAGAAGTGAACTGCTCACACACGCTACCACCCACTTTCTTTGCTTTTGCTCTCCTGTCAGATTCATGCATTCTGCGGGATGGGAATACCAACTCTATAAGGAATACTACATTCTGTTTGTCTGCCGATGTCATTGGGAATCTGAGCAAACTCACTAACATCACATCTGAGATCAACAAAACCTATGTCAGCCCAAGTGAAGAGTATTTTAAGTAAGTATAGTTTATTATGTAAAAATAAAAAAAATATCTGCTGTGTGTGTGACTGAAGTTAGATTTGTCAGAGAAAATGTGGGTTCGATAAAATAATGTATGCGCTAACTGTAAGTCGCTCTGGATAAGAGCGTCTGCTAAATGACTAAAATGTAAATGTAAATGTAAAATAATATCTTATTAATTTGAAGACATTGCGTTGTAACCTGATGTCTCCCACTCCCTCTCTCCATGCAGGTATAATGTCCTGAACATCTCCAAAGGGATAGAATACCCAGGGGACATCCGCTGGCCTCTGGCCCTCTGTCTCCTCTTAGCCTGGGTTATTGTCTACGCCTCACTGGCTAAAGGAATCAAATCATCTGGGAAGGTAATCTTTGTCACTTTCCAGCCAACGTGCTTATATTCATCTTTTGAGGCTTTTCTTAAGAGATAAAGTTGTTGTGGTTATTGGTGTCTGTTTTTGGATTGTTGTCTTTATGTCTGTGTTGCTGCACTGATTGAGTTTCCCCTCTAGGATTATTAAAGTATTTATATTCTATTTTATTGTAGTGTATTCTGTTCTGTTCTATTCTATTCTATAGGTGGTGTATTTCACGGCTACCTTCCCCTACGTGGTGCTGGTGATTCTGCTGGTCAGAGGAGTGACTCTGCCTGGGGCTGGGGATGGCATCCTCTACTTCATCACTCCCAAGTGGGAGAAACTCTATGATGCCAAGGTGTGGAAGGATGCTGCAACCCAGATCTTCTTCTCCCTGTCAGCAGCCTGGGGTGGACTTATCACGCTGTCCTCCTACAACAAGTTCCATAACAACTGCTACAGGTGAGTGGGGTTAAACCCTATGGGACGGTTTCCCGGACACAGATTCTCCATTGAGTATGCTTCTTACTCCAGGACTAGTCTTAAGGGGCCAGGAAACATGCCCTACATGCAAAGCTATACTGTAGATGCAACAACTTGTTTCAGACAGTTTCAGACTTCCTCCACTTTGATCGACTGTCTTTGATCTTTTAGGGACACCATCATTGTGACCTGCACCAACAGTGCCACCAGCATCTTCGCAGGGTTTGTCATCTTCTCTGTCATCGGGTTTATGGCTCATGAGCTGAAAGTGCCCATCGAACAGGTGGCTGATGAGGGTAAAGAAAAACTTTATTCTATTCTATTCAATTCAAATAACGTTTTGAAGTAACATTAGTGTAACCAGACAGTTCTGTTGTCTTGTTGTGATCCTGTAGGTCCTGGCATAGCCTTCGTAGTGTATCCAGAGGCCCTCACCAGACTTCCGCTCTCTCCCTTCTGGGCCATCATCTTCTTCCTCATGCTACTCACACTGGGACTGGATACCATGGTAACTATTGTTCTGCTTTCTGTTTTGTGTGGATGTAAGTGTGTGTATTTAATTACTTTGGTGTCATCGCTCCAAGTGTCGCATAAGACCTCCACAAGGTCTTAGTGGTTGGTAAGACCTCCACAAGGTCTTAGTGGTTGGTAAGACCTCCACAAGGTATTAGTGGTTGATAAGACCTCCACAGGTCTTAGTGGTTGATAAGACCTCCACAAGGTCTTAGTGGTTGGTAAGACCTCCACAAGGTCTTAGTGGTTGATAAGACCTCCACAAGGTCTTAGTGGTTGATAAGACCTCCACAAGGTCTTAGTGGTTGATAAGACCTCCACAAGGTCTTAGTGGTTGATAAGACCTCCACAAGGTCTTAGTGGTTGATAAGACCTCCACAAGGTCTTAGTGGTTGATATGACCTCCACAAGGTCTTAGTGGTTGATAAGACCTCCACAAGGTCTTAGTGGTTGATATGACCTCCACAAGGTCTTAGTGGTTGATAAGACCTCCACAAGGTCTTAGTGGTTGATAAGACCTCCACAAGGTCTTAGTGGTTGATTGTAAGTGTGTGTAGTACCAAGATCATGTCATGTTGCTTTCTGTTGATTGACAGAATCCATTGTATTAACTATGTATCTACTATCCCTGTCTCAGTTTGCCACTATTGAGACCATAGTGACGTCTGTGTCAGATGAGTTCCCCAGATATCTGAGGAAGTACAAGGCCCTCTTCACCCTGGGGTGCTGCACCTCTTTCTACATCCTGGGGTACCCCATGATCACAGAGGTAAGGCCTAATCTGATCCTCAACGTGCGTCTGCAGTGTTCAGCGTGAATGTGGGGGAAGATGCCTTGAAAAGGCGCTGTGTAGAGCACTGCTCTACAACGGCTAAATCCCGGCCCTAGTCATTTTGTGAATGCAGTAAATGTATTATACAGTTTCGGTGTCTGAGTGCCACGTCTCAAACACTAAGGAGACACAGTCAAACCAATAGAATGACATCGAGAGTCAGTGAGACTGTATAGAGGACTGCTACGTTTTTAGTGCTCTGATGGGTTTTGTATCCCATCCTGACAGAATGGAATGTATATGCTTCAGCTGGTGGACACATACGCAGCCTCGTATTCTCTGATCATCATCGCCATCTTTGAACTGGTGGGAGTTTCATACATTTATGGTGAGTCGTGTGGTTTTGACAGGCACTGGTCCAGTGTTTGTACAGTTTTTTCAGTGTCGCATTATCATTGTAATGTCACCGTATTCGACAGATGCCTTATTCGGCATAGACCTTATTCGGCATTCCTGTAAACGTTTTCAAGATATGCTTTAATTGAGTAACATGAACCATTATCCACCTTGGTACTGTATGTGAAAGGACTCAAACTAACTGGTGGTTGTGTTCTAGGTCTGAAGAGGTTCTGTGAAGACATTGAAATGATGATCGGGTTCCAGCCAAACATGTTCTGGAGGGTCTGCTGGGCCTTTGTGACCCCCACCATTCTCACAGTAGGTGCTACCATCCCCAGGCCAAGATTAAATATACTCTATATTCCAATGTTGCTCTGTGTAATTTTATATAGAACATGTTGCTTTTGGCATAAGACATGGTGTTAACTGCATAGAAATAGAATGACATGGACATTGTGCATCACTATACCACGTCCATGAGTGTGTTAGTCCAGGGTTTCCCAAACTCGACCCTGGGGCCCACCCTGGGTGCACATTTAGGGTATTGCTATAGCATTACACAGCTGATTCAAAAGATTATTTGAATCAGCTGTGTAGTGCTAGGGTAAAAACCAAAACGTGCACCCAGGGAGGGCCCCAGGACCGACTTTGGGAAACACTGTTCTAGTCAAATGCAGGGGCTTTATCCCTTCTAATAATTATGTTTCTATGGTTCAGCTAATGCTCAGTAGCCTTTAATGTCTCGGTTGTCCCTGTCTTCTGTCTGTACTACAGTTTATCCTGGGTCTGAGTCTGTACCACTGGAAGGTGATGACCTATGAGACCTACACCTACCCCACCTGGTCCATGGTGATGGGCTGGCTCATGGTGGTGTGTTCTGTTATCTGGATCCCCATCATGTTTGGCATCAAGATGCACCTGGCCCCCGGCACCTTCATCCAGGTATGAGATGATTTACTGTAGCTTTCCCTCCGCTAAAGACATTTACTGTAGCTCCCCCCTCTGCAAAATACATTTACTATAGCCCTCCCCCCGCTAAAGACATTTACTGTAGCTCCCCCCCCGCTAAAGACATTTACTGTAGCCCTCCCCCCGCTAAAGACATTTACTGTAGCTCCCCCCCCCGCTAAAGACATTTACTGTAGCTCCCCCCCCGCTAAAGACATTTACTGTAGCCCTCCCCCCCGCTAAAGACATTTACTGTAGCTCCCCCCCCCGCTAAAGACATTTACTGTAGTCTCCCCCTCCCCCCGCTAAAGACATTTACTGTAGTCTCTCCCTCCCCCCGCTAAAGACATTTACTGTAGCTCCTCCCTCCCCCTGCTAAAGACATTTACTGTAGCTCCCCCCTCCCCCTGCTAAAGACATTTACTGTCTCTCTCATCTTCCATGTTATGTAATGAACCAATAATGTAGCCTAATAATGCCCAATGTAGCCTAATGTAGCCTAATGTAGCCTAATGTAGCCTAATAATGCCTAATAATGCCTAATGTAGCCTAATGTAGCCTAATGTAGCCTAATAATGCCTAATAATGACTAATAATGCCTAATGTAGCCTAATGTAGCCTAATGTAGCCTAATAATGCCTAATAATGACTAATAATGCCTAATGTAGCGTAATAATGCCTAATGTAGCCTAATGTAGCCTAATAATGCCTAATGTAGCCTAATGTAGCCTAATAATGCCTAATGTAGCCTAATGTAGCCTAATAATGCCTAATAATGCCTAATAATGCCTAATGTAGCCTAATGTAGCCTAATAATGCCTAATAATGCCTAATATAGCCCGAGGTAGCCTAATAATGCCTAATGTAGCTTGATAGTGAAATTGAGATGCTTGGTAAGATCATCCTAGAAAAGAGTGAAAATAATTGGAATATTCTTCTGATGCTTTGTTACTACAGTTGTTCCAGGACATCTGGCTCAAGGGACCATGGTTTTTATACAACAGTGTTTTAATGGTGTCCTAATATGTTACCCTGGTATTATGACATGTTATGTAATGAATTTAACTATGTTTTTTCCTACACAGCGTCTGAAGCTAGTGTGCTCCCCTCAGCCGGACTGGGGTCCCTTCCTGATGAAGCACAGAGGAGAACGCTACAAGAACATGATCGACCCGCTAGGAACCAACTCCCTGGGGCTCAAACTCCCTCCTAAACACCTCCAACTGGGCCAGACCCAGTGCTAATGGCTGCAGTGGTCATCTGTTGTTCGCTCTATTCACCCACCTTTCTATAGATTACACAAAGGGAAATTGAAAGTCAAAGTCCAAGATTATGCATGTTGTCTTCTGACAAAGACCCTCCCTTTAATACAGCAGTAGGCCTATGATCTATTTGACAGTAAACAGGACTGATTTGGGCCTACTGTGCTTAATCTCCAGTCTTCCACAAAGCTGCTTATTTTTGGTGTTAAAATAACTATTCTGAGCACACCGAATAGTAGAATGGTTATAGATATGTCCCTCCCAGCTCAGAAAAGAGGTTGCTTCTTAACGCTGAATAGTAAAAATATTTGAAAAAGAATAATGTGGTTTGTTGTGATGCAAGTCATGTTGATGAAAGATATATTTCCATCTTCATCTTTTTGCGTGTAGCATAGTTGTATGTAAACATTCCATGTCAGCTAATAAGTACATCCCAACAGAGAAAAACGGTGGCTACAATGAACAAATCAACCTCAAATTTCTTTTGTCTCCTGTTCTAAAATGACACTGCCTTTTGTATAAGCAATGTGTAACTTGTATGTCAAATAATTTGTGTTGCATGTGCCTACAATTGAATCAGAAAACATTGTCATTTGTCAAGAATTTGGTACTTTACACATAATGTTGATCATGCCATTCTTGTATGTCATGCTTGTATTTGTCTTTGGCTGCTACTAGTGTTTCTAAATGTATTGTATGCTTGCACTTATTTGAATACAGCACTCCTATTCCCTTGCATGTAGTCACAAAGCATGCTGGGAGGCTGTACTGTTGAATCTACTGTGTTTGCCATTCTTTTACATCAATTTAGGTAATACAAAACCAAAGATGGAGTGCTTAATGAAAGATTTGGAGACAGAAACATCTATGGGAAGTTGAATATACTGCCAGTCAATTTCAATTTGATCACAACTGTTTTCCAGCATGTTTATGCCGCATCTTCAGGTAACCTTTGGCCTTTGAGATGTACTCGAATTTTAGAAGATTGTATGGATTGAAAAATAATTAAGTTATTAGATTGTTTAAAATAGTGTGCTTTTTCAGCACTTTATGGATCTTTGAGGCAATACCTCAGATTTTGTATTTATGTACACAATTGCGATATCTATATTTGCCTTTATTGTAAATGTTGAAAATACAACTTTAAGGCTGGGATTCAATCTGAGACACGCTATAACGCAGCTGCGGTAGAGGCGCACCATTTTGCCTTTTAAAGGGTAATTTACACTTGAGCCGACATTCACAGCGTTTACCATGAATGTGAACTCCGCGAACGGCTGGGAAGTAGCCTTTAACAGGAAATGTGTTGGCTGTCTAGCGCAGCTGCATTATAAGCCATGTTCGGATTAAATCTTAAATCTGATGAAATCCTGAAATACCTTCATTAATATACATTTTATGTATACTGAACAAAAACATAAACACAACATACAACAATTTCAACGATTTCAATGATTTTACTGAGTTACAGTTCATATAAGGAAATCAGTCAATTGAAATAAATTCATTAGGCCCTAATCTATGGATTTCACATGACTGGGCAGGGGCGCAGCCATGGGTGGGCATAGGCCCGCCCACTGGGGAGCCAGGCCCAGCCAATCAGAATATGTCTTTCCCCACAAAAGGGCTTTATAACAGACAGAAATACTCCTCAGTTTCATCAGCTGTCCGGGTGGCTTAGACGATCCTGCAGGTGAAGAAGCTGGATGTGGAGGTCCTGGGCTGGCGTGGTTACACGTGGTCTACGGTTGTGAGGCCGGATGGACGTAACGCCAAATTCTCTAAAACGACGTTGGAGGCAGCTTATGGTAGAGAAATTAACATTCAATTCTCTGGCAACAGCTCTGGTGGATATTCCTGCAATCAGCATGCCAATTGCACACTCCCTCAAAACTTGAGACATCTGTGGCATTGTATTGTGTGACAAAACTACACATTTTAGAGTGGCCACAAGGTGCACCTGTGTAATGATCATGCTGTTCAATCAGCTTCTTGATATGCCACACCTGCTAGGTGGATGGATTATCTTGGCAAAGGAGAAATGCTCACTAACAGGGATGTAAACAAATTTGTGCACAGCATTTGAGAGAAATAAGCTTTTTGTGAGTATGAAACATTTCTGGGATCTTTTATTTCAGCTCATGAAACATGGGACCAACAGTTTACATGTTGCATTTATATTTTTGTTTTGTATAATTTCTCTACATCACTCACATGGTGCAGTGGCGTCTTCAATACACCAAGAATAAAATGCAAAACATATGCACATAGGTAGTTTGTTCAAAAAACAACTTACTTTATTGCCATTTTCTCTACAGATAATACACTCCTAAGAGCAACAATTTAAGACTACTTCCATTTGAATTAAATACAAAAACAATGATTTAGAATAAGCAACATTCTGCTACAGTTTGCAAGATCATTAAACCAATGATTTAATAAGCATAGTTTAGTAATGCAAACTCTATTTACAAAACATTAATTACTTCATGCCATGCTCTTTCCTTCACTTCGAGAACAGAATCAATCCTTCAAGTTTTATGGGTCTTAACTTCATAAATGAAAAATAAAATTAGCAAATTTAGCAAACAGTGGTATAAACTAACAAGGCCTGGAAACAGGGTTGGGGTCAATTCCAGAAGTAAACTGACATTCCAATTCTGATTTTCCTCATTACTTCTCTATGACAATTGGAATGTCAGTTTACTTCCTGAATTGAAATGGAACACACTCCAACCCTGCTGGAGGCCCAGAGAAGAGACATGTTATGGTTTGACCATGGAATTCTAAAACCTTCTAAAAAAGGATAGGTTAAGTTACACATATTACAGCATTCTGCACATGGAAACTGTACACTATAACCCTACATTGACACTTAAAAGCATTGAGTGGTTAGCAACCATGAGTATATACAAACAATTGTGCCACGATACTAAACAAAAACTGGTCCACTTATAGTACATTATACAATGACAGGTTTTCTTTTTTTCAATTTATACACAGAAGAGGGGTTTGCCCTGAAAAATAAGGCCAGGATAAGAGCAGGGTGTTGCGGCGGGTAAAGCCAACGCTTGGTGGGTTTCGGTTTCAGGGAGGAGGCTGGCTAACACATTGGATAGACTGGGTATAGAGGTGGGGTCAGGGGTCAATCATTGGCGGTTGCTCTTTATCCGCTCCAGCCTCTTCTTGAGGTCGTCGAGGTTGGCGGCGGGGGACGAGGAGCGTGCAGGGCTGTGGGAGTGGGACTGCTCCTGCTGGAAGTGGGACTCACTGAAGACTCCTTGAGCTGGAGACAGTTTTGCTTTGTGAGCAATGTCTGTTGAGGAGGCCCACCGAGGGCTTGGACAGCAGGGACGTGATGGGGACGCGTCCTGTACACTGTCCCCCTTCCAACCTGCTTGCAACAGCTGAGCCTGCTGTTGTGCAGAGCGAGGAGAGGAAGGGGAAGAAGGAGATAGAGGGGAAGGGAGGGGGAAAGAGGGGAAGGGAGGGGGAAAGAGGGGAGAGGGGGAAAGAGGGGGAATGGAGTGGGAAAGAGGGGAAGGGAGGGGGAAAGAGGGAAGGGAGGGGAAGAAGGGGGGAAGAGCCTCTTTTCCTTTTTTGCCTCTTTTCCGTTCTTTTTCCCTATTTCTGGGAAGAAGGGGATTGGACACTCATCAATACTAAGTATTCAAATTCTACATCATAATATAAACATATAAATATAAATGTGAAATTGTAAGCCAAGTGGCATCAATGTGATCAATGTTAAACTAACCCTGGAGTTGTTCTCCAGTCCCTGTCTCTGTCTCAGTATCTTCAGTCTCTCGTAGTAAACTGCAGGTTTCATCTCCTCTCCGTTCAGAGGCACCGGGCCAGAGTCTAGGCCATGTTGGGGAATCACTGGAACAGACAGAAATATTGCACTTCAACTCTTCACAGCTACTGAGCGGCTTTTTAACCAGTCCAGCAGATGCGTATACTATCAATGAATATACATACAGTAGCTAGCTACTAGTAAACCACAACAGTAATAACACTGCTTATACCAGAGCACTAGAGGCCGGTCATATGATTGCATTCCCTAATGCTCAGTTAAAGGTTTGGGACTAAAGTATGAGGGTTGGACATGGTACACTAGTCATATCAGATAAAGTATCAAAAGGTAAATACCAATCATTCCCCTTTAATCCTGCAGGGTTAGTACCTGTGCTAGAAGGCTGGATCCTGCCTTTGCCCTCTCTCTCAGACTCGATCATGCGCAGGCCTCTCTCCACGTAACTCTGGAAGAACTGAGACGTGTTCCTCAGGAAGGGCTCCAGGTCAGCGTCTGAGTACTTCTGTTTATACTCATACAGCTCTGTCAGGCCCTGGGGAGAACACAACACAGTCACAACACACAGTTAACTTACTAAAACAACTCTGGAGTGGTACTGGGAATTCTTTAACCAGTTATTGAGAACACATTCTCTTCTATAATTAGGACCTGAGCAGGAGGGTGCAAACAGTAAAATGAAGGTATGAATACATGAACAGGAATAGCCGCCGAAATTGTCGCAACCCCTATTTCTAGCCTGTTCAACCTCTCTTTCGTAACGTCTGAGATCCCCAGAGATTGGAAAGCTGCCGCGGTCATCCCCCTCTTCAAAGGGGGTGACACTCTAGATCCAAACTGTTACAGACCCATATCCATCCTGCCCTGCCTTTCAAAAGTTTTTGAAAGCCAAGTTAACAAACAGATCACCGACCATTTCGAATCCCACCGTACCTTCTCCGCTATGCAATTCGGTTTTCCGAGCTGGTCATGGGTGCACTTCAGCCACGCTCAAGGTCCTAAACGATATTATAACCGCGATCGATAATAGACAGTACTGTGCAGCCGTTTTCATTGACCTGGCCAAGGCTTTCGACTCTGTCAACCACCGCATTCTTATTGGCAGACTAAATAGCCTTGGTTTCTCAAATGACTGCCTCGCCTGGTTCACCAACTACTTCTCAGATAGAGTTCAATGTGTCAAATCGGAGGGCCTGTTGTCTGGACCTATGGCAGTCTCTATGGGGGTGCCACAGGGTTCAATTCTTGGGCCGACTCTTTTCTCTGTGTATATCAATGATGTCGCTCTTGCTGCTGGTGACTCTCAGATCCACCTCTACGCAGACGACACCATTTTGTATACATCTGGCCCTTCATTGGACACTGTTAACAAACCTCCAAACGAGCTTCAATGCCATACAACACTCCTTCAGTAGCCTCCAACTGCTCTTAAACACTAGTAAAACTAAATGCATGCTCTTCAACCGAACGCTGCCTGCACCCGCCCACCCGACTAGAATCACTACTCTCGACGGGTCTGACCTAGAGTATGTGGACAACTACAAATACCTAGGTGTCTGGTTAGACTGTAAACTCTCCTTCCAGACTCACATTAAGAATCTCCAATCCAAAGTTAAATCTAGATTCGGTTTCCTATTTCGCAACAAAGCCTCCTTCACTCATGCTGCCAAACATGCCCTCGTAAAACTGACTATCCTACCGATCCTTGACTTCGGCGATGTCATTTACAAAATAGCCTCCAACACTCTACTCAGCAAATTGGATGTAGTCTATCACAGTGCCATCCGTTTTGTCACCAAAGCCACATATACTACCCACCACTGTGACCTGTACGCTCTTGTTGGCTGGTCCTCACTACATATTCGTCGCCAAACCCACTGGCTCCAGGCCATCTATAAATCACTGCTAGGCAAATCCCCGCCTTATCTTAGCTCATTGGTCACCATAGCAACACCCACCCGTAGTATGCGCTCCAGCAGGTATATCTCACTGGTCATCCCCAAAGCCAACACCTCCTTTGGCCGCCATTCCTTCCAGTTCTCTGCTGCCAATGACTGGAACAAATTGCAAAAATCTCTGAAGCTGGAGACACTTATCTCCCTCACTAACTTTAAGCATCAGTTGTCAGAGCACCTTACCGATCACTGTACCTGTACACAGCCCATCTGAAATTAGCCCGCCCAACTACCTCATCCCTATATTGTTATTTATTTTGCTCATTTGTACCCCAGTATCTCTATTTGCACATCATATCTTGCACATCTATCATTCCAGTGTTAATACTAATTGTAATTATTTTGCACTATAGCCTATTTATTGCCTTACCGCCATAACTTGCTACATTTGCACACACTGTATATATATATTTTTTTTGTTGTATTTTTGACTTTGTTTTGTTTTACCCCATATGTAACTCTGTGTTGTTGTTTTTATCGCACTGCTTTGCTTTATCTTGGCCAGGTCGCAGTTGTAAATGAGAACTTGTTCTCAACTGGCTTACCTGGTTAAATAAAGGTGAAATAAAAAAAATAAAAAAATAAAAAAAATGAAAATAATCACCTCTTTTGTGTTTTCCTTGGAACCAATCTTCTTGAAGATCTCAGAGAGGATGTCGCTCACTTTAGCTTTAGACATCCTGTCATCCTGGAAGCAGTAAGAAGACAGGCTATTGTGGAAGCTGACGCATTTATCCTCAGTTATTTTTAATTCAGTGTATTCACTTGAATGGTGTTAAATAAATCAAACAATTAGAGGTTGGGTTAAGTGAACATACCTGTCCTTTCTCTGTGCCCCTGTCTGTCTTCATGCCAGAGAAGTTTCCAGAGTGTTTGACCACACGTCTCAGGTGGGCCTCCAGCTCAGACTCATTCCTGTTCTCGATCATGGACATGTGGTCTAGGATCTAGACACCGCAAATCAACATGGTCAAAACAACAGCAGCTTATCTATGGTCTACTTAATGAAAACAGACAGCAGTACCCCTGAATAATGCACTAATAAATGGTAAGGTGGTTCAATTCAATACAACTTCATTGTCTCTCAAGGGGAAATTCATCTGCGTACATAAAACACAACATAATCACTGAACCATTGGCTGTGAATGTCCAGTACCTTGTTCCAGTGAGTTTACACAGTGTGTGTGTAGTACCTTGTTTCCAGTGAGTTTACACAGTGTGTGTGTGTAGTACCTTGTTTCCAGTGAGTTTACACAGTGTGTGTGTGTGTGTAGTACCTTGTTTCCAGTGAGTTTACACAGTGTGTGTGTGTAGTACCTTGTTTCCAGTGAGTTTACACAGTGTGTGTGTGTGTAGTACCTTGTTTCCAGTGAGTTTACACAGTGTGTGTGTGTAGTACCTTGTTTCCAGTGAGTTTACACAGTGTGTGTGTGTGTGTGTGTGTGTGTGTAGTACCTTGTTTCCAGTGAGTTTACACAGTGTGTGCAGCAGAGTCTTGAGGGTCCTGTGGGGTACGTCACTCTTCAGCTGCTTGAGTTTCTCTTTGGGGAACACCTTCATGAAGTTGTGGACATCCAGCAGGATGCGGTCCAGATTTATGCTGTTGATGGTCTCTGGCAGGAACCGGATCATACGCCACAGGCACTGCAGACATGGAACAAAATAAACTCAATTTAACTCCAATCATCAGTTTGTGATTGTACAGGCAGTGTAAAGGGGAAATTCATCACTTTTTAACCTCATTCATTATCCTCCATTTATGTGTCAGTTGTGAATCCAAAGAACAGGAAGTTTACATCTGCGAAAATCAATTCGACAATGTACATGATATGTAGGGATGGGGGAAAAAATGGATTGTTACATATCGCAATATTATTACTCCAAGTATCGATTTGTACAAAACATGCTAGGTAGCGTTAGCTAGCGCTAGTCAGCTGTACCTGCACCAAAACTCCTGATATTTTTCATCCTATAGCTTGTTCTCCATTTTCTTTTTAAAATAGTGAGCCAACATGTTTTCAGCACTTTTATTTCCCTGACTGATCAAAACTCATTTTCTCATGCTCTCTCTTGTCTCTCTGCAGCAGACATGGTGAGCAATATGTTTGAAACATCAAATTGCAATAAAATCGCAGTAAAAAAAAAATCACAAAACATATAATCATGAGAATCACAATACATATTATCGTGAAAATATCATATTGTGAGGTCCCTGGCAATTCTCAGCTCTAATAGTATGTACACTGACAAAAGTAAACTCCCACAACAAAATATACTGAAAGAGTGTTATTACCTTCATGACCAGTTCAGAGAACATAGGAGACCCTGATGAAGTGGTAAGGCTGTCCTGTAGCAGCACTAGAAGAGCACTGCAGAGAGATAGATCAGGGACTCTGCATAAACACTAGATACTGTAACTCCCTGGAGATTCCAACATATCAAATCAGGAAAAGTAGGATGTTTGTTTGGGGGGTAGGAACATTTCAATATGAATAGAAATTCCTGATTAAATCAGGAAGAAAAAATGTATCACATCCCCCATCAGTCTCAGAAAGTGAGTAGAATCTGACCTGAGGATGTTGGTCTGGTCAGACTTCTCCAGCACTCTGACCACCAGCAGGTTGACGGAGCGGATGAGCTGTTGCCCATCCTCGATGTCCTCCACCCGGGCATCCAGCATCAGGGTGATCAGACCGTGCATCAGGTCCTTCAGCACGCCCATCGACGCCTCCCGCGCCAGGCTCTCCATAGAGAACAGCTACAGTACACAGGAGACAGACCCAGGGCAGAGACACAGATGTCAACACCAGTCTACTAAGCCCTAAAAAACTGTTTGGTAAAATCAAACAATAATAATTATAAAAAATCCCCTTTAATGTTGCTCTACAAAGATCTGCACCAGGATACACTGAAAATCTTCAGGCTTTAAAATGGTAAAACAAAACCCCTCTGGAGAGAGAGCGCCAACTCCTTGAACCAGCCCAGTAACACCCCCTAGTGGTGTTCATGTGTAGTCATACTACTCACTGAGAGCATGTTGCCAATGATGCAGCTGTAGAGCTTGAAGATGTCCTTTTTGTCGAGGCGGTCGTCGGCCATGTGTGTGTTGTAGATGAGACGCAGCTGCATGAAGGTAGCGATGAGGAACTGGTCAATGTGACCTGACATGGCATCCGCCTTGTCCTCCTGCCTCAACACCTCGTCAATCTGGGGGAGACAGAGAGAGACCCACACCACACAGACTTTGGTACTGTCTTTATCAACCGCTTGCCCTCTCCTAACCAGAGCAGAGTACCTCAGGTGATAGATGGGTGTTAAGAGGTTACCAGAGTTTTATTTTTTAGGGGGTAGATCAGCTTTAATATTGCAGATAGATTGTAACTTCCATCAATGTAATTGTCTGCATCACTTCCAATCCCCCATATGTTTTTTTCTCTCGCAAATATATATTATATATACACACACACACACACACACACACATATATATCTATCCTTTAAAAAAAATATATATTTCCCTTTATTACTTTCCAGCCCCACCACCCCTTCCATAATTTGAGTAAACTAGTGAACAACAACGCTTAGGCCTCTACTTCCAGCTTATACATACTATATGCATTTTATGGACACAGTCAATTTTACAATAATTCTATTTAGTTTGTTTTTACTCCTGAACTTCCTCTACCCTCAACCTCTCCGATCATTTTCATGATGTCCATCCGGTTTGCTTCTATGTGCCATATCTTTCTACCAGAGGTTACCTTACTTCAATTTCTTGTGGTTGTTATTGTGAGAGATTGGGTGAACATCATTTCCAATGTATTCATTACACTTGGCAAATAAATAAATAAAAGTTTCAAGTTTAACAGTAAAGCCTGGTATTGCCCAGCGAGTGATGTTGCTATGCCCCAGTGGAGGCTGCTGAGGGGAGAATGGCTCATAATAATGTCCGGAACGGAGCAAATGGAATGGCATCAAACACCTGGAGACCATGTGTTTGATGTATTTGATACCATTCCACTAATTCCACCCCAGCCATTACCACGAGCCCGTTCTCCCCAATTAAGGTGCCACCAACCTCCTGTGCTATGCCTACACTACAGTAAATGCTGTACCTGGGCCAGAGCCTGGATGCTGGTGTTGATGTCTCCACTGGCCACCTGGGAGATGACAAAGTTGATGGTGGACGCAGTGCTGTTGTGGAGGTCGTCAAAGTGGGGCGACACAGAGCGGATCCTGAGGGAACACAAACAACTCATACCTTATATAACCACCATTAGTCTTATGATGACAGGATCTTAAGATGTTTTTTGAAGTTCTAAGATCCATCAATACACATCTCTCCCAGCCAGATTTTGTGGAAGGCTCTGGGCAGGCACTCGGCTATTAACCACATGGCTATTTCAGAACAAATGTAAGAAAGTCGGAAAGTTGGCAGGCAGACCTCCCAACCTGTGTTGGTAGAGTATTAGTCTCAGGGCAGCTGGTAGAGTATTAGCCTCAGGGCAGCTGGTAGCGTATTAGCCTCAGGGCAGCTGGTAGCGTATTAGCCTCAGGGCAGCTGGTAGCGTATTAGCCTCAGGGCAGCTGGTAGCGTATTAGCCTCAGGGCAGCTGGTAGCGTATTAGCCTCAGGGCAGCTGGTAGCGTATTAGCCTCAGGGCAGCTGGTAGCGTATTAGCCTCAGGGCAGCTGGTAGCGTATTAGCCTCAGGGCAGCTGGTAGCGTATTAGCCTCAGGGCAGCTGGTAGCGTATTAGCCTCAGGGCAGCTGGTAGCGTATTAGCCTCAGGGCAGCTGGTAGCGTATTAGCCTCAGGGCAGCTGGTAGCGTATTAGCCTCAGGGCAGCTGGTAGCGTATTAGCCTCAGGGCAGCTGGTAGCGTATTAGCCTCAGGGCAGCTGGTAGCGTATTAGCCTCAGGGCAGCTGGTAGCGTATTAGCCTCAGGGCAGCTGGTAGCGTATTAGCCTCAGGGCAGCTGGTAGCGTATTAGCCTCAGGGCAGCTGGTAGCGTATTAGCCTCAGGGCAGCTGGTAGAGTATTAGCCTCAGGGCAGCTGGTAGAGTATTAGGCTCAGGGCAGCTGGTAGAGTATTAGGCTCAGGGCAGCTGGTAGAGTATTAGCCTCAGGGCAGCTAGACACTTACTTGGGCTCTGGCATCATGATGGGCTCCAGCAGTTCCTCCAGTTTGTGTTGGACCAGGTCGGGCAGCTCACTGACCCGCGTGTGGTCATTCTCAATGATGTCCAGATCCAGCTGAAACTCCTTGGGGATGGAGGGGTGTGAGTGTTCCCGTTCTGCGTTCTGAGCCCGCGCTTGGCTGGTGGAGGGAGGACAGAAGAGGATCATTCAGAATCAGAACCATGTCATGGAAACCAACACAGACAGAGAGGCAGGCAGCACACATTAGCTCTGTTCAAATACTCGCACTAGCATACTACTTATAATGCACCCCAATACATAGCGGTTTGCTAGTCTGGACACTGGAAGGTTACCATGAACACATTAAGACAGTTACAACGAACGAGGAGGAGGGGAGGACAGTGAATTAACTACTTGGTTTAGACTGGTGAGTGTTACATTAGATGATTAGATTACATCCCCATCCGGAGTGCTTCTGGAGGAGAGCAGAGGGCACACTGTATGGGAGAGGCACGGCGGTACTCACATCCTATAAGTGCGATACATTATTCTGTCCATGGAGAGCAGAGCAGCGATAAGAAAAGAGCAATTATAAAAGAGAAGAGAGGCTCAGGATTAAGAGACCACACCATGCAATGAAACAGGGAAAACTAAAGGGAGACTGACCAGCGAACACATGTTGATTTTTGTAATTGGTTAAAGTTAGGTTTGAGGTTAGCGTTAGGGGTTTGGTCAAGGTTAGGGTCAGTTTAGGGTTGCCCACATTGGACTGTCAATGAGTTGCAGGCCAGTCACATGCCTTTAGCTGTACCCAATGAAACAGAGGTTAGAATAGGAGGAAAGATACTCAAAAGACATTGAGGAGGAGCATTAAGATATTCTTACGAGGGTTTGTAGGAAGGTCTTAAGACATGGACAGAATTTCTTTGCCATGAATGTTAGTACCACTGTACTTTACCATCTACTAGATCACCAGACTAAAGTATAGTAAAAACCCCATAGGTAGGTTTGTTAGAAGAGAGAGCCATGCTGTAGCAGGTAGTTGAGGAGGCAGTAGACAAGGGAGTTGATCCTTCCCATACTTGAGCTTGTTGGGCACTTCTTCCTGAGGTTGCTGAGCAGGCTTTCTCATGAAGGTAGCGTTGGGGTTGGAAGGGTGCTCTCTCTGGGGCCTCTCCCTCTCTGCAGTCTGTCTGTTGGGTGGTGGGGCTGCTGCCGGGGTCTTCTTAGCTGAGCGCTTGACCCGCTCCTCTAACATACTCATCTCCTTCTCAGACAACTGCAGGAGAAAGACAGAGGATGTTCGAGATTAACACCGGAGATGATATATCCAGAGGGGTCTAGTCCAAAGCAGGATACTAAGTTAGCCAAATTTGATAAACATACAGATTTTAATGGTTCATTAATAAATTAAATTAGTTGTTGGTTGAAACAGTCCATGCCCATTTCAAGCATATCTTTTTAAAATGTATTAATTCCAGAAGATTTAAGCAAGTTAGCTGGTTAACTCATTGATCCTGCGTTGTGACATACCCTCTATTGTAGTATACACTGTGTACAAAACATTATGAACACCTTCCTAATATTGAGTTGATCGTTGCAGTTCTTGACACACCCAAACCATACCCCATTCAAAGTCACTTAAATATTTTGTCTTGCCCATTCACCCTCTGAATGGTCCACATACACAATCCATGTCTCAAGGCTTAAAACTCCTTCTTTAACCAGTCTCCTCCCCTTCATCTACACTGATTGAAGTGGATTTAACAAGTGACATCAATAAGGGATCATAGCTTTCACCTGGATTCACCTGGTCAGTCTATGTCATGGAAAGAGCAGGTGCTCCTAATGTTTTGTACACTCAGTGTTACAGTCCATTGTACTAGTGAGTAGCTTACATTGCCAATGAGTTTGTAGACTTGGTCGCCACAGACGTTGTACACAGCCACCACTGTGTTGAGGGCAGCGTTGCGTACCGAGTTGTCCCTGTCTCCGATGTGAACAGCAATCTCTTTCAGGGACTTGGCCGGTGTTGGCTGACATACGTTCATCCCGTAGTTCTCTATCAGACAACCCAGCTCCTCAAGACATTCTGGGAAAATACAGGGAGAGATGGATGGTAAGATCTGGAGCTTTTCACAGACAGGAATTAAGCCGATTAAGCCTAGTCTTTGACTAAAAAAACATATTTTAATATTCCCCCCCAACAATGTTATAGTTTTTATCCAGGACTAAGTATAATCTGTGTCTGGGAAACTAGCCCATAAGAGTATTTATTAAGAACCTGAACGTTTTTACAATGACTTACAACATTTGACACAATCACTTACTGTAATGAATTCTATCATCTCCTATTTTAGTCCTTATAGCCTTGGTCCACCTTAGTCACTACTAAAAATCTCTTTCTTACCAGCTCTCTGTTTGGAGTTCTTGGACTTGGTCCCGTCCATGAGGAATGGGAAGACTTTGCTGGCGGGGTAGACCTTACACAACATGGTGAGGATGGCACGCACGTCTTTACGCACCACATCCTTTGACTCTCCAACCTGTCAGGTGAAACAGGGTTACAGATGGTTAGACAATAGTCATATTGGCATTTGCAGCTTCACTGTGTATCAAATGTTCTACTAAACCTTTCTTGTTATTAGACAATTTTTAATTTCCGTAAAAAATATTTAACATACCCAAAGTCAACTTTTATGGCACAATTCACATCAACATACAGGTCAACCGTCACTCTATCGACAGAGACTTTCTACTGACCTTAATCGAAGACGACTTAGTTGGAGGATGAGGGAGGGGCCGACTTACTTGGGAGGATGAGGGAGGGGCCGACTTACTTGGGAGGATGAGGGAGGGGCCGACTTACTTGGGAGGATGAGGGAGGGGCCGACTTACTTGGGAGGATGAGGGAGGGGCCGACTTACTTGGGAGGATGAGGGAGGGGCCGACTTACTTGGGAGGATGAGGGAGGGGCCGACTTACTTGGGAGGATGAGGGAGGGGCCGACTTACTTGGGAGGATGAGGGAGGGGCCGACTTACTTGGGAGGATGAGGGAGGGGCCGACTTACTTGGGAGGATGAGGTAGGGCATTGGTCACCAAACTTTTCAGTCATTATTTTCATGACTTAAAAACATAAGCCTATGCAACATTAAAAGCAGCAGCTCTTTGCTGTATTCATTGAGTTTCTCTCTAGTCATGGTTTTAAACATTTTGAAATCTCTCAGTATCAACTTTGCTGTGCGCTCAACGCTTCTTCTTACAGCCTATTGCTTGAGGAAACTGCAGACACGGTGATCTGAGCTATCTGATTGGCCAGCGGAAGGACTATAGGTGCACTTGATTTGCTCCCTGGGCCTGCCGGGTATACTGAGTTCTACCTTCAGGCACGTGAAATGGTTTCAAATGGGAAAACATTTCCTTCCCGGCACTAGGGCTGCTGAATTTAGTGCACCAACCACCCCCAAAAAAGGAACGAAAGGCTTTATCGTTGTTGTTTTTTACAGAAATGTTTGGTGATCGACTAGGAATGCCTTTGAGATCCACCAGTTATCTCCATCGATCGCAATCGACCGGTTGGTGACCACTGAGGTAGGGGTTGACTTACTTTGAGAATGAGGTAGGGAATGAAGGAGGAGGCCTCGTATTCGTTGAGGTGGTAGTTCTCTCTGCTAAGCGTGGGGAAGAGCTGCTTGAGGTACTCCAGCACCTTCATCAGCACAGTGCTATTGGTCTCAAAGAAACGCAGCGTGAACCACTTCAGGATCAGGTCCAAGCAGCTGACTGTGCCCTCAAGCTCATCCTCCATACGCTACAGAGTGGAAACATAACATTGTGGTCAGTCAAGTAAACAAGCAACTCCCTTAGGTTTCTAAGAAACACTAATGGTTTTGGTCTAAGAGAAACTAAAAACAAGATTTGATTTTTGAAGCCTTTTCACTCTTCAGACTCAAACACCAAAAGCGGTTATGTACAGAGTGCAGGTCTCTACTGTAAAATAGATTTCATCTCAGTAACACTAACCTGTATAAAGGTTAAAGAAAAAAGACACTCAACCAAGGGCTCCATCCAATCATTAGTGTGTTTCATTGTCTCCTGCAGGTTTCTCACCTCTCCCATGACCCCGATAGCCTTGACCTGGCGTTGGAAGTCAGAAGCGTGGAACAGCTCGTCCTGGAGCCATCTGGCGAAGCAGGTGGACATCTGAGTCTTTAGCTGATCCACGTACTCATCTCGCGGTGTCTGGAAGTTCCATTTCAACACCTGCATCACAAGTTAGATGATTATCATTATTCAAGAATTATAGTCAGCATTCTTACTCACATTACCAGTTATTTCTTGTTCAGCAAGAAAGGTTGTCATAGTAAATAAGAATTTGTTCTTAAATGATTTTGCCAGGTTAAATAAAGGATAAAATAAAACAATATTTTCCTTTACACTTTTGCAAGAGACTTTACTCTCAATGGGACTCCCTGTTAAATAACATTAAATAAACAGTTAAAATGTCTTGCTCAGCAAACAGTTATCCTGGGCATCCAAAAAAACACTGTCAGGGAGCAGATGAAACACATAACATGACTGTCCTTTATAGCAACCTCTAGCTTCCATCTCCACTGCACAATTTATTTTTATTTATCCTTTATTTAAGCAGAGAAGTCACATTGAGATTTACATCACTTTTTCAAGTGATTACAAAGAGAAACCTCCCTTTTATCAAAACTGAAAAGCTACACGGTGACAAACTGAAAAGCTACACGGTGACGTGCCTTGAGCCCTTTCTCCTCCTTGATCCTCTGCTCCTTGCCATTGGGGACCAGGATGAAGATGACGCCAGACCGGTCCTCCTCATCCTTGGCATTGGCCTTCGTGACCGGGGCTTTCTTCCCAAGCACACCCTGAAGACGGGACGGGGACGGGGGAGAGAGAGATGTGGAGGTTTACAAGACAAAGCACAGAAACGTAATCATTACAAGATACAAAGCTAGATAAAAGCTAAAGGGTTGTTCTCAGAATATGTGATAGAGGTTTAAAAAGACAGAAACATTACTACAAGATGTAAAGCTTTATATAAAAGTAAGCTGTAAAACTCATGTATAGCGTGGTCAGACAAAGACAAAAAGGTTAAGACAACACGAAAACACCATCATCTTGATAATGTAAAGAGCTTTGTGATTTCAGCCTGTAAATGAAAAGCGCTACACACTAACCATATATTTTTTTACCAAAAAACACAAAGATGAATATAAAGCTACATTTAAAAGTATTTGATATTGAGCAACGCCTCGGACAGAGTGCATGTGTGTTAGTACCCACACAACATTGGAGACAGACGCGGGCGCAGTGCCTCAACACCCGACGCAAGGCTCCACCCAGTTAGTCATTCCTGAGTCACACATTAGTAAACATGTACCTGCTGGCTGCTAGGCTTCCCCTTTGTAAATCTTTTAGGACTACAGACACTATCTTTATTCGAGCTCGCAACAGATTCCTGGGGGGCGTTCTATTAAATGCAGAATGAAATATCCATTTCACAGAGAGGAAAGCTGGCACATTGTAGGTGTTTGGTGTGCCGAGAGCTGAATGAGATTGTACTGAATGAGATTTTCATGACATTGGCAAGTAAGATTTCCAGGGACTGGAGATTAACATTATCAGTCTAGCTATATGTGGAACAATGCATATGTACATGGTCCCTGACAAATAAACTTAATACAAAAGAAAAGATGAATAAATGCATACCTTTTTAGCAGCTCCAGGCTTGACCACTTTCTTAGACTTAGTCTCAGGCTCCGGCTCGTCATCATCATAGTCATCAATAACAGGTTTAGGTTTAGCTTTAGACGGACCTGCAAAAACAAAGTGGGCAGGATGTTTTTTTTCACACTTTTATATATCTTAACAGACTAAGCCTGCATCTTACAAGACAGGCTATGAGTCCAAGGGAGCTAGAGAGATGTCAATTATACCAGGCGGTGTCAGAGGAAGGCCCTACAAATGGTCAAAGACTACAGCCACCCAAGTCAGACTGTTCTCTCTGCTACCGCACGGCAAGCAGTACCGGAGCGCCAAGTCTGGGACCAAAAGGCTCCTGAACAGCTTCTACCCCCAAGCCATAAGACTGCTGAACAGTTAATCAACTGGCTACCCAGACTACTTGCATTGACCCCCCGTTTTCCTTGCACTGGCTCTATGCCCACTCACTACACTGACACTCAAACACATATAAACTCAGCAAAAAAAGAAACGTCCCCTTTTCAGGACCCTGTCTTTCAAAGATAATTCGTAAAAATCCAAATAACTTCACAGATCTTCATTGTAAATGGTTTAAACACTGTTTCCCATGCTTGTTCAATGAACCATAAACAATTAATGAACATGCACCTGAAGAACGGTCGTTAAGACACTAACAGCTTACAGACGGTAGGCAATTAAGGTCACAGTTATGAAAACTTAGGACACTAAAGAGGCCTTTCTACTGACTCTGGGCATCTTTCTTTTGGTGTTTTTCAGAGTCCCTGCTCATCTGCGTGAATGTGCCTTAGGCATGCTGCAAGGAGGTATGAGGACTGCATATGTGGCCAGGGCAATAAATTGCAATGTCCGTACTGTGAGACGCCTAAGACAGCGCTACAGGGAGACAGGACAGACAGCTGATCGTCCTTGCAGTGGCAGACCACGTGTAACAACACCTGCACTGGATCGGTACATCCGAACATCACACCTGCGGGACAGGTACAGGATGGCAACAACAACTGCCCGAGTTACACCAGGAACGCACAATCCCTCCATCAGTGCTCAGACTGTCCGCAGTAGGCTGAGAGAAGCTGGACTGACGGCTTGTAGGCCTGTTGTAAGGCAGGTCCTCACCAGACATCACCGGCAACAACGTCGCCTATGGGCACAAACCCACCGTCGCTGGACCAGACAGGACTGGCAAAAAGTGCTCTTCACTGACGAGTCGCGGTTTTGTCTCACCAGGGGTGATGGTCGGATTCGTGTTTATCGTCGAAGGAATGAGAGTTACACCGAGACCTGTACTCTGGAGCGGGATCGATTTGGAGGTGGAGGTTCCGTCATGGTCTGGGGCGGTGTGTCACAGCATCATCGGACTGAGCTTGTTGTCATTGCAGGTAATCTCAACGCTGTGCGTTACAGGGCAGACATCCTCCTCCCTAATGTGGTACCCTTCCTGCAGGCTCATCCTGACATGACCCTCCAGCATGACAAAGCCACCAGCCATACTGCTTAAGTTTGCTGAAAATAAACGCAGTTGACAGTGAGAGGATGTTTCTTTTTTTGCTGAGTTTATACACACACGCATCTTGACGCCACACACACGCATCTTGACGCCACACACACGCTGCTGCTACTCTCTTTATCATCTACCCTGATTGCCTAGTCACCTTTATGTCACGAGAATGTATATCTCTAATTCAACCTAAGCTTGAATCATTACCAGGGGTTGTAAGGTCCACAACCAGCAAGAATGATCTGTATTTTTATTCATGGTGAGCTCTGGCGCCAAAAACCCATACATACTGTTTTATACCCCTTGACACACAAAGGCACTTTGCTCCGCCCACCTTTAGGAGGCTTTCTTAAACAGTTTCCGCAGTCTCCTTCACCCTGGAATGTTTAGTCCCGCCCCCCTCTGTTAGTGGGTTGCCACTACATTATAACTCAACACCGTTCACACATTTATACTGTATTTGGGGTGAAATCCTTTAGTCATTATTCTTAAAATACAAATTAATCTAACACTTTACCACTACCTACATCTACATGTTACCTCCATTACCTCGTACCCCTGCACACTGACTCGGTACCAGTACTCCTTGTATATAGCCTCGCTATTGTTATTTTATTGTGTAACTATTTCCTTGTTTCCTTCTTATTTGCCCAAAATGTTATTTTTCTTACTTTTTAATTCTGCATTGTTGGGAAAGGGCTCGTAAGTAAGCATTTCACGGTAAAGTCTACACCTGTTGTATTCGGCGCATGTGACAAATACCATTTGATTGATTGATTGGATTATTGCTCAAGATTAGAACATTGGAAAGATAGATCCCTCCTTGGCTGATGTTACTTAGTTGGTGTAGCACATGATAAGGAATGTACTGGTGGTAGTGGATACTTTGCATGTCCCAAATGGCACCCTATTCCCTACATAGTGCACTACTTATGACCAGAGCCCTATGGAGCCTGGTCAAAAGTAGTGCACTAAATAGGGAATAGGGTGCAATTCGGGATGAAGACTCATCCATCATTCAGACAGTAACTGAGAGGCAAGCCAACCTGACTTTGCAGCGGGGGCGCCGCCACTGATAGACTTTGTTGCGCCAGCTTTGCCAGGTGGTGGAGCAGGCTTGGCTGGCATCACTGCCCGGGCCTTCTCCAGCAGGGCAGACACTGGCTCCTTCGAGGCCGGCTGCAAGGAGAGGAAGACAGGGACACACAGAGTCAGATTACAGAATAACAATACCGCAGCCCATTGTCTTCTGAGTCAGTACCCAATAACCATACCCCAGCCCATTGTCTTCTGAGTCAGTACCCAATAACAATACCCCAGCCCATTGTCTTCTGAGTCAGTACCCAATAACCATACCCCAGCCCATTGTCTTCTGAGTCAGTACCCAATAACAATACCCCAGCCCACTGTCTTCTGAGTCAGTACCCAATAACAATACCCCAGCCCACTGTCTTCTGAGTCAGTACCCAATAACAATACCCCAGCCCATTGTCTTCCCACAGATGGTGTCATTCCAACGTGAGTGTTGCCATGAACCATTGCGCTATCTGACATAAGACAGTGTACTCTAGCCTCGAAATCCAGACTGAATTCAGCTCTGTTTTCCAATTTCTTCCACTCCACTATGAATTAGTAATTCAGTCTGAATTTCGAGGCAAATTATACTCTACCATCTACGCTCATTCAGTTGTTTTCAAAAGCTATCTAATGAACTTACACCTCACCCATCTCTGGTAGATATATATTTTAGCCAAGTTATCTTCAAATGTAGCATGTCTAAGTCATCTCCTCCATGGCATAACGTACCTTCAGTTTGTCAGTGGCCTTCAACATCTTCTCATAGCCCAGGTGCATCATAAAGGTGGGCAGGGCGTCCTGGGCCTTCTTCCTCACGTCTCCGTTGCGGTCCTCCAGACAGGTGTACAGGTAGGGCACACACAGCATCAGGTCAGAGGGCACCGTACGCATGGTGGGCAGCTTCTCTGCCAGCCAGCCCAGCACCTGGGGAGCAGAGGGGCGTTACATGGGTCTTTCTCAAACATGGCTGGAGGTATTATGCTTCCAAATGCCCCCAGTGAATCAACCTTGTGCTCAGATTCCACACAATACCCATGACACAGCCATCTATCCACATTGTTAGTACACATTACTGCCAGTTACAAGAGGTAGGCTTTAACAGAGATTTTAAGAGAGGACCTGAAGGGCTGTGTTTGTACCTCCTGCCTGAGGAAAGGGTTCTCTCTCTTGAGCTCTTCAGAAAGGTCGTCTCCCTCCAGCCAGTCCTTCATGCCGGTCTGTTCTACCCAGGCCTGCAGGGTTGTCATGGCAGCAGCACGCACGTTGGTCTACAGGGGAGGAGGGGACACAGAGTCAACACCATTATTCACTCAATACGACACAGAGAGTGACAACTGATACTGACAACTCCACACTAGTATATCACTTGTATGAGATTGTTATGCTTGTAATATGTATGTACTATGCACACGGTATAATATTCTCTATCACACTAATCATAAATAGCTACCCATGCCTTTGCGTAGGTATTTTAGATTATGATAGTCTTTACCTTGCTGTCTCCCAGTACAGTGATGATGGGCATGCCCAGACTCTTGACATGTTGTTTCAGAGCTGGGCCCATCGCTACGGCCATTTGTTGAAGAATAGTCAGGGTTTGCTGGCACTGGGGAGAGACATAATTCAGTGTCAGAAATACCTACAATATCACAGGACATCTACAAATGATGTTTGCACTGATACGCCAATATCCTGGAGAAAAACAGATCGCTTAGGATCTCTAAAATGTTAATTTATGTCATGGTATCTTATGGTATCTGTCAGATACATTGGCCTCTTCAGTCAGAGCAGAGACCATTTCTTACCAGGATCTTGTTGGAGTCGTTGAGTCGGCCCTTCAGTGCCATGGGCAGCTCTCCTATACTGGGCTTGATAAACTTGGCCTCAGAGATGACCGCTGCTACCTCATCCAGACCTTCCTTACGGATCTTCCAGTTCTTATCACTCATCTTATCCACCATGTCTTGTGTGATTTTATCACTGCACAGGAGATGAAGAAAAGAGTGAATTAATAAGGTGAAATGGCTAAACCATTAAACATAGAATGGAACCATCAAAACCAAAATAGTCCTAGTAGTATAGGGCTTTTCACACTGAGCCAGACCAATCCAATCCAAGCAGGACTAAGCTGTCCTGATTACGCAACCACCATAGTTGCTGAAAATATGGAAGAGTGCTGAGAAGGAGCGGTGAGGTAGTGTGAAAAGGGTATTAGTGTGTGAATTCAAACCTGACGTCAGTTCTAGGTAGCAGATCCATGATGTCAGGTGCTCCTCCTCCATCCTCCTCCTGGTCGTCTGCCTCCTCTCCATCCTCCTCTGTCCCTCCTTTCTTGGCTCCTCTGAACGCAGCCGGAGGAGACTGGCCTTGCATCTGAAGAGGCAAAAGCAGCAATCTCATCAGTCAAATTGAAAATATATATACCTGTGCATATAAACATTTCTTATATGCCTTTCTGACATCAATCTTATGTTAATCTCAGTTTAGTTAGAACGAAAATCCCACGTAATTTGGTCAGATCCTCAGTTAGGTTCGGGGGGGGGGGCGTGTTAGAAATTGAGATTTCTGGTTTTGCGAACTCTCCACTAGGGATGCACATTTTGGTCAAATTTGCTGCCGACTAACTGACCCTCATTAACCGGTCAACAAACAGATACATTTTTTTTTTTTTTAAGTAAAAATGACGTGACCAACAGAAAATACTATCAGAGATCTGTATATAATGACGAGATGCTTATGTTTCCAACAATGGGAAGGCGGGAATGCAGGCAACAAGTTAAGGACCAAAATAAGCCCATAGAAACGCTTTGGACTTATTTTGGACAGATGTTGGCGAGAGTGGAACCTCTCGCTTCGCTTCTTCCTCCCTGACACTATGCATGCATACAAGGACTGGACATTTTTCATTAATAGCAAGTCGATCATCTTACAGTCAAAAAGCTATAGCCTATTATTGAACATGCAACTCCTGAAATTAAGCAGCTAATAAAACATCATTTTCAAACATTTGTCCAAAAGCAATTAACAGAAAACACAGTTCTAAACTGCACACCTAATGTGAGCAGTTTCATGTGACAGATGAAAATCTCAGTTAGAAACTTAGAAAGAGGGTGAATCTAATAGCAACTACTATGATGGGTTGCTAATATGACTAGGATTGTGCCTTTGGCTTCTGGACAACGAAAGAAAGCTGATATGAAAACCAATAGAACAGGAGAAATGCTGGTTAACGGCATGAGGAAGTCTTTATAAAATAATTGCCTCCACGTTTCTATGGATGGATTTTCGCAAGGCTACTTTAAAGCAAGGTAAGAGATGCCTCATTATTTGAAGTAAAGTAAAACGTTCAGGTTTCAAACAATTATACTGCCTCAAGCTCACATTGAAAAGAAGTGGGTGACGTGCTGATAGTCAACAGTAGGCAGGCTATAGCCTTGCATCCGAATGGCGCATGGGGGGCCCGCTTCACAAGAAAAGAAGAAGAAAAAAGCTCCTTTTTAAATCGGGGCCACCAAAATTGACACGCGATTGCATTTAGAATTGTTATTTGTTGCGCAATGACTGGGCTTCCAAAAGCAGGTTTTACTCCAGTAGCCTACTGGCTTTTTGAGGAGCTACTCTGGTGCTGTCTGACAGGTGGTGGTAGGATTGTCCACTCCTCCAACTAGTCTCTGTATGCTGTGCGCGTGTGATAAATAAAATGCATGACGACTAACACGCGCCAATTTAATTCCACAAAATAACCTATAAACCGTTAAGCATGATCGGTCAAATGTATTTCCGGCAGCTAACCGATTAACATCACTAGTCTCCACCCTCGCAAAAGGAAACTCTCAGCCTCCCCCTCCCCGATAATTCCACCTGTTTTTAAATCAGGCTGGATATCCCCACCCAAAGTTGGACCACTGCCTTCGCCCAATCCTGATTCGTCCAAATAAGCAGTGACGAAAACCCAAACACTGGAACTAATGCTGCTCATCCCATAGCATGATGACAGATCTACGGTACCAGAATAGTTTACATAGTCTGTTCACAAGAGATTCAACTTATGTAGACCGAACAGATCGAAGTTTAAATAAACCTCAAGCTACCAATTTCAAAGAGACGGCAGTCATAAAAATAAATGACATTATATACACCAAATACTATATTGTTTACTTCACTCAACATGTTGCTCACACATGTTTTTCCTACCTTTTCAAACTCATCGTCTATCTGTTTCAGTAGGGCAGGTTTCTCATCCTCGAAGAACATGCGTAGAGGAGCTCCCATGTACAGGTACATGACTCCTAGGAGGGTGATGGCTGCTGTCCGCACCGCAGGGTTGGTCGCTCCCAACGCTGTTTTTACGTTGTTGATGAAACCCTTCACATTGATGCTGCAGGAATAAACATGTACATACGTACCATTATCATACATGTTTATAACACATAAAGCATTTTACCTGCAGACTTGTGTTACCACAATGATTTTGTGAATTAGAATATCTAAATCATAGGACACAATGCTTTGATATTGTTATATGAATACACCTCCAATAATGGAAAGTAAGAAACTTACCCAGCAAATCCAAATTCCTTCATGGCGTTAGCCAACCAGTTGAGGGTTTCAGCTTGATTTTTAGGATTCTTCTGTGCAAAAACCATGGAGACCACCTGAGGGATGAAGCACACTAGTGAACAACTTACATACACAAATAAAATAAAAAAATGTCCATGACTGAAACTTAAGGCGATCTCAGTTCGATTGGTTGGGGCCAAGTTCAACTCCCTTTCATGTAAGAAAGTCATGACCACCATCATGCTTTTAGGGAAAAATCGTCATTTTGTACATGTACTAAACTGAGTGTTTGACCAATTCCAGTCCCCTTGCTTAGGGGGTCAGGGGCCTCCCCAGGATAATGCTTAGGGGGTCAGGGGCCTCCCCAGGATAATGCTTAGGGGGTCAGGGGCCTCCCCAGGATACTGTTTATGTAGAAGGACTGGGAAGCTCAGTTTGGGTGACTTTTTAAAAAGGACATTCTACTACAAAAACTATGAAAATAAAATGCAGACACAAAAAAGGGCCCAATGACAAAAATATTGGTATAAATGATGGTCTATATTATCAGATGTGCTATTAGCAATAAGCATTATCACTTGTAGTCCAACTGCTGAAGCATAGTGGCTATAAAATACACATAGGCTGAAACATGGGGTTTGTCTATCTGCATTTACCCCATCGGACACATCCTGATTGTTGTTAATATTATAAATATGAATATATAATTTATTATTATTCACTCCGACAATTTGGAGAAAATAATATATATATATATTACAAAGTATGTCATTGTCCTTTTAAGATGACAATGCCACTTTAAGAGCTCTATTGAGCAGCTGCGCCTAAACCTGGTTGTAAAACAACGGCACACGCACAATTTCACGAGTAGAGAAATAAATGTGGTAGCAATGTAAAACTGGGATCCCCCTCTTTAAAAACAAATCAAAAGGCCAAAACTGCTTTCAAAAGTGTTCTCTCGCAATTGCATTAAGAATTGTTGTGCATTGACTGCTTGTCAGAATACGTTTCCCCGCCAATGGCTCTCGCAACTTGAATGCACCTCGAGAGGAATATTGACCTTGTATAGAACACACAACTAGCAGACTAGGTAATAGGTCAACTATCCTACTATGGGGCTGTCTGATTTATTTTTAATAACACCATTACATGGCAAAGATAGTAGCACTGGAAAGTACTAAAGGCTTTGAATAACTTTTCCAGCAGCTACAGTAGGCTACACACTGCTGTCTGAGTTGAGCGACGCTGTGATGTCCATCATATAGACTATTTAAATACCTTGATCAGAACATCGGCGTGTCATCAACAATCATGCATGTCAGTTCAGTGCACACATTGTAACAGAAAATAAAATATTTGGGAATATATTTTGTAGAACAGATATGCAACTGTCTGTTTTAGGCTAGGTCGTCTCTCCCCCCCCCAGAGATGTTTATTGTGGCTCTACACTTCTCAAAAATGACTTCTCCAGAATCCTTGACGGAAACCCGTCGCAGTGACTGAGAACTTTAACTCTTGTGATATTTATCTTACTCGTGTTCTCATATTTGTTACTTTTATTATTTTCATTCTAAAAACAACAGACTAACAGAACAGCAGTGTCATCAACAAATACTGACAACATCAACAGACCTGTTCAGCAGTCCAGGGGAGGGAGCAGGCCTCGGCAGTAGCAGTCAGGCCCTCCTTAGCTTTAACCCCACACTTCACATCTCCTATTTTATCAACCAGGCCGTCCAGCACCACGAAGGCAGACGTCTTGGAGAAGGAGCCCTTCTGGGCTATCAGACCCACGATGTGGAGCTTCATCTGCATCACCTGAACAGAAGACAGAGCCATGTGGGTGGATCAATCTAGTGAATACATCTTTTTTTCTACACGCATCCAAAATAATGACAGGACAAAAACATTGTCCAATACCCAAAAAAAGGGACTGTCCTCTAAAAAAAAAGATATACGATGAGTCCATTTAAGCGGTAAGTGTTTAAACTTGGTATGCTGTACCTGGAAGTTAGTCTCTTTCCAGCCTGGTTTCTTGGCCAGCATCCTGACCAGAGCCTGGCAGGGCATCTCACTCTTGTCCATCTGCTCCACAGCCTGATGACAGTCACATGACAAGAACATAGCATAAGACAACAGTCCATAACTCCACCACTTCATCTATGTCTATAACCTATTTACACATGTAATTCCCAGTCAGGTTAAAGCAACAAAAAAAAGGTTTATATGCCAGTTGTAGATGTTAAAAACACATTGGAATTCAGTAGACAATAGCATTATGTTGTACGGAGCATGTTCGTGACATGAGCAAAAGCACAGAATTAAACAGAACACAAAATGTATTATATTATGAGGTACAGTGCATTCAGAAAGTATTCAGACCCCTCAACTTTTTCCACTTTGTTACGTTACAGCCTTATTCTAACATTGATTAAATTGTTTTTTGTCCCACATCAATCTACACACAACACCCCATAATGACAAAGCAAAAACATTTCAGAAATGTTAGCAAATGTATTATAAAAAACAGAAATATCACATTTACAGTGGGGGAAAAAAGTATTTAGTCAGCCACCAATTGTGCAAGTTCTCCCACTTAAAAAGATGAGAGGCCTGTAATTTTCATCATAGGTACACGTCAACTATGACAGACAAATTGAGAAGAAAACAAAATCCAGAAAATCACATTGTAGGATTTTTTATGAATTTATTTGCAAATTAATGGTGGAAAATAAGTATTTGGTCACCTACAAACAAGCAAGATTTCTGGCTCTCACAGACCTGTAACTTCATCTTTAAGAGGCTCCTCTGTCCTCCACTCGTTACCTGTATTAATGGCACCTGTTTGAACTTGTTATCAGTATAAAAGACACCTGTCCACAACCTCAAACAGTCACACTCCAAACTCCACTATGGCCAAGACCAAAGAGCTGTCAAAGGACACCAGAAACAAAACTGTAGACCTGCACCAGGCTGGGAAGACTGAATCTGCAATAGGTAAGCAGCTTGGTTTGAAGAAATCAACTGTGGGAGCAATTATTAGGAAATGGAAGAAATACAAGACCACTGATAATCTCCCTCGATCTGGGGCTCCACGCAAGATCTCACCCCGTGGGGTCAAAATGATCACAAGAACGGTGAGCAAAAATCCCAGAACCACACGGGGGGGACCTAGTGAATGACCTGCAGAGAGCTGGGACCAAAGTAACAAAGCCTACCATCAGTAACACACTACGCCGCCAGGGACTCAAATCCTGCAGTGCCAGACGTGTCCCCCTGCTTAAGCCAGTACATGTCCAGGCCCGTCTGAAGTTTGCTAGAGTGCATTTGGATGATCCAGAAGAGGATTGGGAGAATGTCATATGGTCAGATGAAACCAAAATATAACTTTTTGGTAAAAACTCAACTCGTCGTGTTTGGAGGACAAAGAATGCCGAGTTGCATCCAAAGAACACCATACCTACTGTGAAGCATGGGGGTGGAAACATCATGCTTTGGGGCTGTTTTTCTGCAAAGGGACCAGGACGACTGATCCGTGTAAAGGAAAGAATGAATGGGGCCATGTATCGTGAGATTTTGAGTGAAAACCTCCTTCCATCAGCAAGGGCATTGAAGATGAAACGTGGCTGGGTCTTTCAGCATGACAATGATCCCAAACACACCGCCCGGGCAACGAAGGAGTGGCTTCGTAAGAAGCATTTCAAGGTCCTGGAGTGGCCTAGCCAGTCTCCAGATCTCAACCCCATAGAAAATCTTTGGAGGGAGTTGAAAGTCCGTGTTGCCCAGCGACAGCCCCAAAACATCACTGCTCTAGAGGAGATCTGCATGGAGGAATGGGCCAAAATACCAGCAACAGTGTGTGAAAACCTTGTGAAGACTTACAGAAAACGTTTGACCTGTGTCATTGCCAACAAAGGGTATATAACAAAGTATTGATAAACTTTTGTTATTGACCAAATACTTATTTTCCACCATAATTTGCAAATAAATTCATAAAAAATCCTACAATGTGATTTTCTGGATTTTTCTCTCTCATTTTGTCTGTCATAGTTGACGTGTACCTATGATGAAAATTACAGGCCTCTCATCTTTTTAAGTGGGAGAACTTGCACAATTGGTGGCTGACTAATTACCTTTTTCCCCCCACTGTACATAAGTATTCAGACCCTTTACTCAGTACTTTGTTGAAGCACCTTTGGCAGCGATTACAGCCTTGAGTCTTCTTGGGTATGACACTACAAGCTTGGCACACCTGTATTTGGGGAATTTCTCCCATTCTTCTCTGCAGATCCCCTCAAGCTCTGTCAGGTTGGATGGGGAGTGTCACTTCACAGCTATTTTCAGGTCTCTCCAGAGATGTTCGATCGGGTTCAAGTCCGGGCTCTGGCTGGGCAACTCAAGAACATTCAGAGACTTGTCCCGAAGCCACTCCTGCGTTTTCTTGGCTGTGTGCTTCCAACAGGTCGTTGTCCTGTTGGAAGGTGAACCTTCACCCCCCAGTCTGCAGTCCTGAGCACTCTGGAGCAGGTTTTCAACAAGGATCTCTCTGTACTTTGTTTCGTTCATCTGTCCCTCGATCTTGCCTAGTCTTCCAGTCCCTGCCGCTGAAAAACATCCCCACAGCATGATGCTGCCACCACCATGCTTCACTGTAGGGATGGTGCCAGGTTTCCTACAGACATAACGCATGGCATTCAGGCCAAAGAGTTCAATCTTGGTTTCATCAGACCAGAGAATCTTGTTTCTCATTGTCTGAGAGTCTTTAGGTGCCTTTTGGCAAACTCCAAGCGGGCTGTCATGTGCCTTTTACTGAGGAGTGGCTTCCGTCTGGAACTACCATAACAGGCCTGATTGGTGGAGTGCTGCAGATATGGTTGTCCTTCTGGAAGGTTCTCCCATCTCCACAGAGGAACTCTGGAGCTCTGTCAGAGTGACCATCGGGTTCTTGGTCACCTCCCTGACCAAGGCCCTTCCCCCCCGATTGCTCAGTTTGGCTGGGCAGTCAGCTCTAGGAAGAATCTTGGTGGTTCCAAACTTCTTCCATTTAAGAATGATGGAGGCCACTGTGTTCTTGGGGACCTTAAATGCTGCAGAAAGTTTTTGTTAACCTTCCCCAGATCTGTGCCTCGACACAATCCTGTCTCGGAACTCTACGGACAATTCCTTCGACCTCATGGCTTGGTTTTTGCTCTGACATGCGCTGTCAACTGTGGGACCTTATATAGACAGGTGTGTGCCTTTCCAAATCATGTCCAATCAATTGAATTCACCACAGGTGGACTCCAATCAAGTTGTAGAAACATCTCAAGAATGATCAATGAAAACAGGACGCACCTGAGCTCAATTTCGAGTCTCATAGCAAAGGGTCAGAATACTTATTTAAACAAGGTTTCTGTTTTAATTTTTCATTAAATGTGCACAAATTTCTAAAACCTGTTTTCGCTTTGTCATTATGGTGTATTTTGTGTAGATTGATGAGGGGAAAAAAATTATTTAATCAATTTTAGAATAAGGCTGTAACGTAACAATGTGGAAAAGGGGAGGGGGTCTGAATACTTTCAAACTACACAAGGTTAAAACTAGTTACCTTCTGAAACTCCTCCATGCTGGCCAGTCTCTCCTTCCAGTTAGCGGAGTCCAGCAGCTGCATACAGGAGGCTGGGAGCACCGCGGACGACTTCTCCTCACATACCTCAATCTAGTGGACACAGAAGAACGCACTCAAGTTAATGAAAGAGTAAAAACTCCCTAGAAAGAAGAAACCTAGAGAGGAACCGGGATCAGAGGGCCAGAGCCAACCATAGAGATGAGTGCTTCACTCACGCACTCATGTTGAAGTATATCACTAAAGCATCAAAACGCAATTGAGTATTCCAACGGTGAAATGGCTGCACATTTCAATCTGCGAAACAGCCATGTAACGTTATGAGCCAACTTACCGATAGCTCTGTCTCTATGAATTCCTTTGTTTCAGGAACTTTCTTTCCTTTGGCACTCGGAGCAGAGGCAGATTTCCCTTTCTTAGGAGGTCCACCAGACTGCAAAATAATGAAGAACACAAAAAAAAGATATAACTTCTTTGAACACCTACTGTACGTGGAAAGGCACTATATAAATGTAATCTATTCTTATTCTTATGGTTCCTGTGTCTCATCAGATGTAGTGTAGTGAGCCTGGTGAACAAAACTGGTAGCCTGGGATTCACTTTGTAAAGTTGTCTCAGGCTGAAGTGGCTTTATATGCATTTTAATTGTACAATCAATCACACCTTAGCTGCTGGGGCCTTCTTGGGTGGTCCAGAGGATCTAGTTGGATTCGCAGCAGGGGGTGCTACCTTGGCAGCAGGTGCCACCTTCTCCACCCCTCTCTTTCCCGGCAGTTCCACTTTATCAGCACTTTCTTTGATCTGTTCATTTAGAGATGGATGGAGGTCAGTTAATTTCATTTGTTGTCAACCCTTTAAAAACGGCTAAACTTCAAAAAGGGTACAACCTCACTCACTCATAATACAACCCTTATCCAATAAAGAACTCATCTACATTGGCATTAGGCCACAACTAGTCTGAAGGGGTAAACTAATTTCACACAGGATAAGCAACACAAGATAACAATAGACTGATAGTAATAAAGACACCGATAAGGATATATATTGAAAATGAAAGACTGATACATATTTTATATAGCCTAAGGCTGTGGCGGTCACGAAATTTAGTCAGCCGGTGATTGTCAAGCAAATAACTGTCTGTTAATTAACAAACACATTTAGCTTCTCCTGGCTTCCACGCGTCGCCTACAAGCCACTGATGCAGACCTTTGGAACATCTACATTTAAAAAAGTAATAAATCCATGTAATATAGCCTACACCTTCACAATAAATCCATGATTTATTTTAGACAGGTCTAAAGAAACATGATATGAAGAAAATGTAGTCTATTTCAGAAGAACAGAATAGCATACTCTGAGTTGTCCTTATGTTAGGTCCTAATCTGGCTATGCAAAATGGCTGCGGGCTACACTAGTTAATTTAGCAGACAAGATTTGCTTATAATTCTGTGGCATTGTTTTATAGTATGAAGAATACAATTGAACAAAGCTGAATAAATAGAAAGGATATTTTCTCCAAACGATTTGAAGGAGTGCGCACATGCGGCTATTCTGTGTTGAGCAGTTAACAAAGAAATAGGTACTCCTATATGCTTAATTTAGAGTTATTCATGTAACTTTAGTTGTTCTACAAACGTTGGGCTGTATGTTTAGATTTTTAATACATTGTAAGGCTGCATGATGAGACTAAAGTCGCTTGAAAGGCATGAGCTCTGCTTTGTTTTTTGCACAGACTGTACGCACTTCATTAGTCTCTCATTCACAATTTGACAAGCACTTGATAATGCCTCGAATTTCCCGGCGGCATCCACTTTATGTGGCAGTAATGCACCCTAAAAAAATCCATGCCTTTTGCGGCCAGTGGCCATTGTGCCCTTGGCCAGGAGTGCTGCGTTGTGCCCTTCTCCCCGAGTGCTGCACACTCCGAAGCACCTCTCACTCACATGGCTCTCCATCACGTGATCAGGTATTTCTCACAGGCTACAAGTGAAGACAGACACATCGGGGACTCAACTGCGCGCGTCCTTATCCAATTCCGAGGTGCATATTGCAGATATTGGAAGAACTGTCCACATTTACTTTTCGTCAGCCAACAAGATGAGTAGGCCTAACAAACAGCAAAAGCACTTGCCTATGTCAGTCTACTATCCCCCATAGTATAAAAGTTGACCTATTCTGTCTGGGACAGTTGTGGGATGCGATAGATCTCAAATTAATACAACCACTAGAATCAAAAACCCTTTTTCACGCAATGTGGCTGACGCAACAGATCAGAACATTTAGCTTAAATTGTTTATAAACTATTAGGCTACATTATAAGCGCAGCAATGCGCACACGGCAGTAGACTATAAGTGCGAATGTTCCATTAGCGGGAAAACACCATTATCAAAAGTGACCGCAAATGCGATTATGCATGTAATGCTTTTATTGTAAAGGTGCATTTTTATGGTGAAAATTATCTTCCCCAAACTTGAAACTCACGCACTGCTTATGTATGCCAGTTAGGCTCTACACCCCTTGTAAAGCAGATTAATGTGTTTCATTTTAAGAAGGTATTTGGCCACTTTAGTTGTGATACAAACCTTATCAAAACATATAGGCCTATGGGCTAGGCTACATGAGGTGTGCGACTATGTTTTGCTACTTTTTCTAATCAAAGGCAGTTTCTTGCTTTACGCTGGGCATCATTCACAAGTGATAATATATCATTCACAAGTGCTAGGCTAATATTGTCACCAATCAGACTGTTCTTGATTTAATCTTGTCTTTACATATACTAAATAATATGTGTGAAATTTGATTTGAATTAGAATGGACCATTATCATGCACCTGTCTCGAAACATGGGCAGGGGAAAAATACATGTCATCTATGCACTTAAATAGCGAATGGAGGACGCTTTTCCTGTGGTTCATTTTCATGCTAGCCAGGTAGGCTATACTCCTGTTGTAAAGCTAAGCAATGTGCTTAATATTAGGAAAGTTGAGAAATAAATATAGTAGGCCTAGCCTATAGAAAGCTGATGGGATCCTCCTCTTTTTAATAGAGGCCATCACTCTGTTTTCTCGCACAATTGCATAGCAATAGATATGTTGTGCCACATGAGCTCTCATGAAGTGTTTGATTAGATTTTCGATTACATTTGCAATGATGTCAGAGTGATTAGAGGGAAAATAGAGTGCTGAGTACCAGGCAGTTAGCAAGTTTGGTAGGCTACTAATGACCATCAGCAGAATCAGACCTTGGAGAAGCCTAATTACCGTGACTAAACGGTCACGTGGAATTTGACTGCCTTCATGACTCGTGACTGCCGGTGTGGCGGTAATACGGTCACCGCAACATCCCTAGCCTTGTCTCACCTTGTCAAGCTTGAGTTTATCAAGATCAGCCAGGAATGGGTTGACAGCCTTCTCACCCACCACCTTCATGGCTGTACCCAAAGCTTCATACGCAGCATCTCTCACCTCTGGGGCCGAATCATTCACTTGCTGAGAGGGTTAATCGAGAGATGGGGAGTAGGAGCATTATTCCACACACTCATTCACAAATTGGAGGACATACAGTGGGGAAAAAAAGTATTTAGTCAGCCACCAATTGTGCAAGTTCTCCCACTTAAAAAGATGAGAGAGGCCTGTAATTTTCATCATAGGTACACGTCAACTATGACAGACAAAATGAGGGGGAAAAAAATCCAGAAAATCACATTGTAGGATTTTTTATGAATTTATTTGCAAATGATGGTGGAAAATAAGTATTTGGTCAATAACAAAAGTTTCTTAATACTTTGTTATATACCCTTTGTTGGCAATGACACAGGTCAAACGTTTTCTGTAAGTCTTCACAAGGTTTTCACACACTGTTGCTGGTATTTTGGCCCATTCCTCCATGCAGATCTCCTCTAGAGCAGTGATGTTTTGGGGCTGTCGCTGGGCAACACGGACTTTCAACTCCCTCCAAAGATTTTCTATGGGCTTGAGATCTGGAGACTGGCTAGGCCACTCCAGGACCTTGAAATGCTTCTTACGAAGCCACTCCTTCGTTGCCTGGGCGGTGTGTTTGGGATCATTGTCATGCTGAAAGACCCAGCCACGTTTCATCTTCAATGCCCTTGCTGATGGAAGGAGGTTTTCACTCAAAATCTCACGATACATGGCCCCATTCATTCTTTCCTTTACACGGATCAGTCGTCCTGGTCCCTTTGCAGAAAAACAGCCCCAAAGCATGATGTTTCCACCCCCATGCTTCACAGTAGGTATGGTGTTCTTTGGATGCAACTCAGCATTCTTTGTCCTTCAAACACGACGAGTTGAGTTTTTACCAAAAAGTTATATTTTGGTTTCATCTGACCATATGACATTCTCCCAATCCTCTTCTGGATCATCCAAATGCACTCTAGCAAACTTCAGACGGGCCTGGACATGTACTGGCTTAAGCAGGGGGACACGTCTGGCACTGCAGGATTTGAGTCCCTGGCGGCGTAGTGTGTTACTGATGGTAGGCTTTGTTACTTTGGTCCCAGCTCTCTGCAGGTCATTCACTAGGTCCCCCCGTGTGGTTCTGGGATTTTTGCTCACCGTTCTTGTGATCATTTTGACCCCACGGGGTGAGATCTTGCGTGGAGCCCCAGATCGAGGGAGATTATCAGTGGTCTTGTATGTCTTCCATTTCCTAATAATTGCTCCCACAGTTGATTTCTTCAAACCAAGCTGCTTACCTATTGCAGATTCAGTCTTCCCAGCCTGGTGCAGGTCTACAATTGTGTTTCTGGTGTCCTTTGACAGCTCTTTGGTATTGGCCATAGTGGAGTTTGGAGTGTGACTGTTTGAGGTTGTGGACAGGTGTCTTTTATACTGATAACAAGTTCAAACAGGTGCCATTAATACAGGTAACGAGTGGAGGACAGAGGAGCCTCTTAAAGATGAAGTTACAGGTCTGTGAGAGCCAGAAATCTTGCTTGTTTGTAGGTGACCAAATACTTATTTTCCACCATAATTTGCAAATAAATTCATTAAAAATCCTACAATGTGATTTTCTGGATTTTCTTTTCTCAATTTGTCTGTCATAGTTGACGTGTACCTATGATGAAAATTACAGGCCTCTCTCATCTTTTTAAGTGGGAGAACTTGCACAATTGGTGGCTGACTAAATACTTTTTTCCCCCACTGTAATTTGAACACAGAGGGCCATTTTCCCAGACACAGATTAAGCCTAGTCCTGGACAAAAAAAAAAGCACCTTTAATGTTAGAGTCTAGACTAAGCATGATTTTTAGTCCAGGACTAGGCTTAATCTGTGTCTGGGAAACCAGCCCTGAATTTGCCTGTTTAGAAATAGGAAATGTTCAGATACCTTGAGAAATGCAGGGCAGAAAGCTTTGAGCATGCTCTTCGGCAATGTGGTTTGGGTACAGTGGCGGAAGCTTCTGGCCAGGAACAGAGACGCCTGTTGTTTGATGGAAGGGTTCTTATTGTCCATCACCCCCAATACATCCTCACTGATATTCTGGAGAGTTGTCTGAAAAACAGTGATAGCATTGTGTCAAAAACAAGACATTGAAAATATACAGAGGCAGCCTGGAATGTTTTTAACTGGATCAAATCATTATCAAACAAATAATATCTCAAAACAAGCACAATATCTGATGGATCTTTGATTGAATATCCAAACTTTGACCAGTTAATTCACATATAGATATAGTCAAATCAAAGTTTATTGGTCATGTTACTAGCTCCTAACAATGCAGTATAATGTCAAACAAGTACACAAATAACCAATAAAAAAAATATTTAAAAAATTGAAATCAAGAAATTGTGGAAATAATCCAATTAACAACCCAAATAGCACTATAACAGTAATCCAAATGCAATTTATACGTACATACACTGGATGATAGTATACTCACAGTAAGGAAGACTGCATCAATAGCCTCTTGCAAGGCCTGGACCACTTGAGGTTTCTTCTCTTTAAACTTTTCTAAAATAGTTGGCACCACCTTGAAAACATATGTTACGCGCTAAGTATTTCTCCTTTTTGTCAGAAATCAAGATGTATAAAGAGATGTTCCCACTGCCTTGAGGATAGCTAGCTAGTTAACTTACATGTCCTGCATATGTTCCAAACTTCTTCCGGAGCCCAGCAGCTAGTCCAGCCAAACATTTGGCTGCCAAGGTCACCAACATAACATTCGCATCCTTTCCAATAACCTGGGTAACAAGACAGTTGTTCAGTAGATTTTTCATTGTCCGTCCGACCGACCTACTTCCTTGAGACACATTCCATTTCCCAGGATCCCTGGCATCCCCATGAAGCAGATATGCATGTTACTGTACCTTTTTTAGTGCTCTGACTAAGTCCCCATAGTCACCATTCTCCAATTTAGGATTTTTAGCCAAGGTCTCCAACGCTTCCATGGCCTCTTTCCTCTCCTGCCATTTTTTGGCCTCCTATGGTCAGATAAAAATCAGATCGTTGTTACAAGAAACACATTTGCATTCAACCTTATAATATAAAATAATTTAGAAGCATTCAGCATTATATCACATCCATAGATCCACTAGGGCCTTTCCTAAAGCACTGGTGCCCAAACTTACAATTTTGTCATAGAAGTCTTTAGGTAGTTTTGAGAGGATCTCCACTGGTTCCAGCAGCTCATAAGGATCAACCTGAGGTGCAGGTTTGTCATGGTCATCTCCTGAAAGAGTTTACAGACTGAGACCGTCTGATATTGTAGGCCTAGACCCATCTCATTAGTAAGATTATAGAACAAAAAGTAAACAAGACGAGGGGATATATTGGAGACGGTTTGATGTCGACGTTTCAGCACAAAGGCCTTTCTCAAGACCAGTTTCCATCATACGTCAACCTTCTTGTCTGTCAACAACACCTGGGCATTTCAAGTTAACTTTCACAGATATAAAGCATAGCACAAATTCACCCTCAAAAGCCATCGATGAAGATCAACCGTTCCACAAATGGAATTAAGCTGCAGGGGGTAAAAAGCAGCCTAGTCACAGAACTGTTTGTGCCATCTAGCCAACATTTCCATAAGGAGTGGGCAAGATAGCACAAACACACTGGCACCCAGGCTAGGAAAAAAGGGGGTAAAATACTTAAATGTGAACATCAAAACTATTTCTGATAAAGCTTACCGTCTGCCTCGTCTCCTCCAGCCGCCTGCTGCTGTTCAAACTTGGCCTTGAGGGCCTGCTGGGAGCGGAGGAAGCGGCTCTGTTTAGGGGCCGTCGTCGGCAGCTTCACCCACTCCTCTTCCAGCTCTTTCAACTTTGAAAGGAAGAGGAAGAAACACAACTGTTAGACATCCCATTCATCGTTGTTCCGGCATTTTGGGAGACCCATATTGCATATGAGCATAGAGAAACTCTGGCTGCATCTCAATTAGTCTTTCCACGATTCCATGCTATAATCCTATTATTGGAGAAGGTCCAAAGTCCCTCCCCTCAGAACTTCTTCTCCTATGAGTTTTGAGAAGGTGGAGAGGAGAGGGGATGTGAGAAATTGAGGAAAGATGAATTGAGAAAGAGCCTCTGTATGAAAGTGTTCAGAAGTGTCATCTCACCTGAACAGAGTTGATGCCCTGGAGAGGAGGTCGCAGAGCATCCCGGATCCATTTATAGATCTCTACTGCTAGTAGTTTGGCCTCGTCTCGGACCGCCTTTTCTCTCGACTCAAACTGTTTGGGCAAAACTTTCACCACTGGCTTCAGGGTAATAATTTTGGAGCCAAATTCACTGGAAATGAAACAAATCATGTTACATTTCAGAATTTAGGCCTATGTATGTAATGACATAATAGCTAGGGTAAAGAAAATATATATATATATGAAACTAGGAAGTTTAACAACTCACCTAAGTGCCCTCCTTAAAGTTTCAATACAGGTGACAACAATCTTGGGGTTTTTGTTATCGAGGCCTTTGATGAGCTCATCCTGAACCACCTCAGCCTTCTCGATTTCTATGTACATGAGGCAGATGTCTGAGCCAAGCTCTTTGGCCCTGGCTTTAGGCTGGTTAAACACTTTACTGACCACTCCAGACACCACCTCTCCTGATGTTCTGGAACACAAGCAAAATCCAGAGAAGAAGAATACTGTTTTTTTACAATATAATACCATGTTGTTCATAACCAGAAGCTGTCCAGGTGTAAAAGAGGTAATCTGGAAATCCCACCTTTTAGCTAAACTCAAGAGGATCTACCAGTCATTCAATAGCGTAACCCTTGCCCAATAGGCTGCACACAATAGATGGATCTGATGTCAGACTGACTCGATCCATAAATAAATATCAGGCAGGCATCACATTTCTCCTGACTGTGTTGCAGCTCACTGGAGCTTTCCACAACAAGCCCATATTCACACAGAGAGCAGTACTTATAACACAAACAGAAAGCTTTCACCGGGAGATCATGTAGATATATTCACCCATAGAATTACGATGAGTCATGTATTTTAATTCTATGTATTCACCTAACCTGTAGACCCAGGCTATAAGTTAAGGCAATGCATTACTTCTTTAAACAGTGTTTACATCAGGAAATATTCAAGTAGCCTGAAGACGGAGAACAAGTTATTTATTACTTATTTTTACACAGTACAATCCGTGTAGTCAGATAACTGATGTAGGTTTAGTACTTACTTGCCAGCCAAATGAGCATTCTCAACGTAAGCAAGTGCTGCCTCGAGGCCCTTGAGCTGAGCCACAGCGTTCGAGTCTGTCACAAACTTCTTAAGCAGGCCCAGGTATTTGCCCCATTCTGGGCTCTTCTCGTCCTCTATACGCTGGAAGAGCTTCAGGGCATCTTCATATCCATTTAGTCTGGCTTTCCACACCTTGGTTGGGATGAAGCAGGAGAACAGTGAGCATTGTGAGGAGAGGGAGTCAAGGTAATTTAGAGTTTATAACTAAGGGATAGGATGATGTGATCCAGATTCTAGTTGGAATGACAGGGTAGAGAAACTAATTTAAAACGGGCCTTCTTTGGTAGTTGTTTGGCCTAGCATATCATCCATTGTGATTGAAGCAGTCAGTGTAAGTGGTTTGATCATTTGAGAGAAACTCTGAAGACAGGGATTAGAAACTATCAAATCATAAGCGTCACTGGGTTTTAAGTTATCCTTTTGGAAGAAGCCAATAAGCCTTCTCCAGTCTAGCTCTATGCTGCTGGAAATCCAGTCTAAATGAGATGTTTTTGTGGAAGTAAACAAGTTCAAGAAAAGCTGCTCTATAAATGAGCTTACAATGAGAATGCTGGGTTTGCTATTGGATAACATTTTATGAAACAAAACCACAGCTGCTGAAAAACATCCAGCAAGGACTCAACACTGAGGAAAGTCAGGTTTGTCTTATTGTGTGTGTGTGTGTGTGTGTGTGTGTGTGTGTGTGTGTGTGTGTTAAAGGGGTAAATCACCTTGTGTTCACACTTCTGGTCAATGGGCAACTTCATCCACTCACTGTCGTCACCCATGATGACCTCTGTGTGTTTGCCTTTGGCCTTACAAATTCAACTGTAAGGGAAATATGAAAAAGTGTTAGTCACCATTTTTTATGTGACATTATTTTAATTTGGAATGAGTGCTCGTATGTCAATAGTACGGTAATTTCCATAGTTATCATACTAATGTGAATTTAGAAAACATCATGCAATTTATTCATGAAAGCATCAGTATGATACTCTGGCCTGCACCAATAGCACTTGTGTGCAAAGTGCAGCCATAATTCAGTAGAACCATTAGCTTGCCTAATGCAATGTTTGAGTAGAGATCTAAAGACAAAACGTATCCATTACAATAGCCAGCTAGTTATGTGGTTAAAATGGCTGTGCTACAGCTCTATTTGAAAGGACAAACCATGTGATTCTATCCTAATGCATTCTCAGGAGAGAGGCTGCCATGTCAGATTTCATATTGATCCATACACTTTGGGGTAAACAGCTTTAACACATGAAGTGCATATATCTTCAACAATATGTTAGCCATCTATCCATATGGCTAGTTATCTAACTAGCTAGCCAAATTAGTTACTTGCAAACAGAACCATATATATGTAAAGATTTGCCCAAAACCATGGCAACAGAGTCTGCCAAGCTATGATATGTCAGACTGGCTGGCTGGGGCGAGTTCAATTTTTGTTGCTGGGTAAGGTTATATGGCTTAGCTACTCTAACTAGCTAGCTACATTAGTTAACTGCAAGTCTGCGACACTAGCAAACATTGATTTAACTAGCTAGCAATGTAATGCCAAATATAGTGTGGTCAATGATAACACAATAAACACATGGCATGATGGAAAAACGTTTGGCAAAGGCTCCATCTTCAACGCAATCTCAATAGGTTAACTAGCTAACGTTAGGTAGCTAGCTAGCTAACGTTAGCAAGTTAGCGAATGATAAACATTGCTGATAGAAACTTGCCCGCATGTAGTCCAGCTATGTTAGGTAACAAATCAAATAACGATATATGTACTTTAGAAACAAGCAGCCCAGTGTTAAGGACCAATGCACATATAGTTAGCTAGTTACCTAACGATGCTAAGCTAAGACTGTTGTTGCAAACATCAGCTGACAACATCAAGCTGAAGCTAGCTAATAATGGTTAGCAACAGTAGCTCGCAACTTTGCTAGATGGGCCTGTCAACACGTCCAAAACCCAACCAACCGTTTTGACTATTTACAACTATACTTTCTCACCAACCAGTATAGCGTAGAGTAAAATATAAGCCATGATGACATTGTATTAAGCTGGCATATGCACCCAATAGGACTCACTATTGTCTGCCACAAAGCTATTCCATCCGCGCACCACAGGGCCCAGAAATCGCAGCACTGAGCAGAATAATGTCGAAGCGCGGGCTCGCCTCTCAGTATGTCGCTAACACGCAAAACAATGAATACAGGCCTTTTGGTTACCTGGGTGGTCTTTCTGGTTGACAAAATGACGTTAGCTAGCTAACGTTATATAGATGGAGACGATATGTGATCATTACTCTCTGCAAGCTTTGAAACGCCTCCAAGGGCGGAGAGTCAGAGGGAGTGGCCAAACTCCACAGAGAGGGGCACCGCCTCAAGCAGTCACACTACGTCATTGCCAGTTAAAACAAAGATTTTTAGACCTCAACCAAACTTTGCATACATGGCAACATTCAATGACAATTATTCTGATGCCAATTCCTGCTCATAGAGCACATTGCATATCTGCATACAGCTCACGGCATATGCATTGAACATAATGTCAGCCCTGAAACTGTGAAGGTACAGACAGACATAATGAGCATTGGCTTTTCAATTTCATCCCCAGGGCCTGAGGGTTCATGAATCAGTCCTCAAACTAATACCACTGCCTGCCCTGAGGTGAGCTTGCTGCTCTCTACTGTCTTCAGTCCACCTGTCCCTTCGTTTCTCTGCCTTGCCTGCCTTCTCCTGCTTGCCCTGGCCTTGATATCTGCCTACAGTACATATATTTCACTCATTGACTGATGTATACATAGAATAGCATAGCATAGACATATAATCTAATGATATGGTATACTGTAACAGTATGCTGTAAGCTTGTACAGGTACATTTCAGTTTTGTGTACTTGCACGTTGGTGTATCCATGATAATACTGAGAGGACAATGGCTTATCTTGCCTCCATTGTTAGGCTATGGTTCAACCCAGCACTCAGAGAAACAAACACGACTAAGGGAGTGGAAGAAACAGAAATTATTTTAATAAAAGTTCAATTTGTCTTAGTCCAAAAACAACTGAAGAAAAGGAACAGAGTGGGCTAGTCGGCTCCGGAGGAAGGAGAGGCTGAGGCAGGCAGGCAGGCAGGCCGGCAGGTATGTCTGAACTGAAGACAAAACAAACGACAGGTTAAGGAGAGTAAAGAGCCAGGCTGAAGACAAAGACAATTTAACTCTACTGGTGAGCCAAGTTACCGCTCTGGTAAGAACAACGATCTGGCGCCGGTGGAGAGCCATGCCCAGGAATTAGTAGTGCAGGTTGATGAGAGAATAGGATGCAGCTGCGTAGGCAGGAATCACTGGAAACAACCCGCAGCTGCACAGGAGCGGCAGATCCTGAGCACGCCCCCCGATCCACTCCAGACACACCCACATAATGGGGAAAAACACACATACAGATACAACAGACAAAGAGGGGACAAAACAAGGAGGAAGGGAAACAGAAAAGGGAGAGACAAGCTGCCCACATAACAGTACCCCCCCCCCCCCCTCAATGGTCGCCACCTGGCGACCCACCAGGCCTGTCAGGGTTGTCGTGATGGAAGTCCGTGATCAGCTGAGGATCCAACACAAAACGCTTAGGGACCCAAGACCTCTCCTCTGGTCCATAACCTTCCCAATCGACTAGGTATTGGAGACCCCTACCCCGCCTCAGAGAGTCCAGGAGCCTACTGACGGTGTAGGCCGGATGGTCGTCAATGAGGCGAACAGGTGGAGGTGGATCTGCCGGCGGACACAAAAGACTGGAGGACACAGGTTTCAGTTGGGAGACGTGGAAAGTAGGGTGTATCTTCATGGCTGAAGGCAACTTCAAACGAACCGCAGCTTGGTTAACGATGGACTCCACCACAAACGGACCCAGGTACCGAGGAGACAGCTTGCGTGATTTGGTACGAAGAGGTACGTTCTTAGATGACAGCCAAACTTCTTGACCAGGATGAAACACAGGTGCGGGAGTCCTGCTCCTATCCGCTGTCGTCTTGTTCCTGTCGGTGGTCCGAAGCAACGCTTCCCGAGCGTCGCTCCACACTCTGGCAGCGGCGGAGGTTCTCCTGAACCGAAGGAACAGCCAATTCCTTCTCCTGAGCAGGAAACAGAGGGGGTTGATAATCCATGGTTACTTCGAAGGGTGAAAGGCCGGTGGCAGAGGTGGTGAGGGAGTTGTGGGCGTACTCTATCCAAGGCAGATGTTTGGCCCAGGATGATGGATGTTGAGCAGCCACACAACGAAGGGTTGCTTCGAGGTTTTGATTGGCTCTTTCTGTTTGACCGTTGGTCTGGGGATGAAACCCTGAGGACAGACTAACGGAAGCACCCAAAGCAGAACAGAACACCTTCCAAACACGGGAAGTAAACTGTGGGCCTCTATCAGATACGATGTCCACAGGTATTCCATGGGGACGGAATACATGTTGGACTAGGAGGGCCGCTGTCTCACTGGCAGACGGTAATTTTGGTAATGCTATATAGTGAACAGATTTAGAGAATCTGTCCACAATGGTAAGTATAGTATCATTACCTTCAGACTTGGGTAGGCCGGTGACAAAATCCATGGCTATGTGGGACCAGGGACGGCTGGGAACTGGGAGGGGTAGCAGCAGCCCCGAAGGGGACTGATGGGAGGCTTTGCCCCGAGCACAGGTTGAACAGGCTGCCACAAAAGCCCGAACGTCAGTTTCCATTGAAGGCCACAAAATGTCTCCTAAGCAGCGTCAACGTGCGTCTCATCCCAGGGTGACCAGCAAAACGGGAGGTGTGAATCCACTGCAACACCTGAGACCGGACCGTCTCGGGAACAAAGAGTAGGTTGGGAGGTCCATCACCCGGTCCCGGGTCCGTGGCAAGTGCAGTCTTCACAAGAGACTCGATCTCCCACTGTACTGCCGCCACGACGCATGAGGAAGGTAGGACTGCCTCAGGCTCGCTGGTCTCCGAAGGGTCAGCAAACTGGCGGGACAAAGCATCTGGTTTAACATTTCTTGACCCCGGTCTGTATGTAAGAATAAAGTTAAACCTACTAAAAAACAGGGCCCATCTGGCTTGGCGTAAGTTGAGTCTCTTAGTGGCTTGGATGTAAGCCAAGTTTTTGTGGTCTGTCCAGACCACAAACGGCAGTTCAGCTCCATCCAGCCAGTGCCGCCATTCTTCCAGTGCTAGCTTGACCGCCAGCAGTTCCCGGTTTCCAACGTCGTAATTCCGTTCTGTGGGTGACAATTTCTTGGAGAAAAAAGCACAGGGGTGAAGCTTTTGGTCAGTGGGGGAGCGCTGGGAGAGGACTGCTCCCACACCTGAGTCAGACGCGTCCACCTCCACAATAAACTGCAGAGAGGTATTGGGGTGTATCAACACGGGGGAGGTGGAAAACAGTTCCTTCAAAACCCCTACCCGCCTGCTCCGCCTCAGGGGACCACAGAAAAGGGACTTTTGGGGATGTGAGTCTAGTAAGGGGTGCCACCACTTTACTAAAACCCTTAATGAATCTACGGTAGAAGTTAGCAAAGCCCAAAAATCGTTGAAGTTGCTTACGGGTGGTGGGTGTGGGCCATTCCGTCACTGCCCGGATCTTCTCGGGGTCCGCCTTCACCTGCCCGCTCTCAATGATGAAACCAAGGAACGATGTAGACTGTTTGTGGAACTCACACTTTTCTGCTTTGACGTACAGCTTATTCTCCAAGAGCCGTTGAAGGACTTGACGGACGTGTGACTCATGCTCCTCGGGTGACTTGGAAAAAACAAGAATATC